TTTCTTGTTCTTGTTTCTCAGTGATTCTTTTCCCGGGGGGCTTGTCATCATGTGTTGACAGCCAGGGCAAACCGCACGTTTTTGGTTCCATTTCCCTTCGGGTGCCATTTCGGTCACCGCGTTTTTGAGCCACAGCCACTTAGAGGCTTCCGCGGTGTTTTCTTGGATGCTCCCCAAACAAGTCATCCCGCCGCCCCTCGAAAATGGGACACTAGTTTCGAGCCATCGCCATTTCACCACCAACTCTTTTGGGCCATTGCCATTTGGTAGGTGTCAAAATCGGGGGCCAAAAAAGAAGGTCAACATTCCCGTCGTCTTGCCTGGCGTTTTCTTTCACAGTGTTTTTTGTTTTTGTTGGGGGGGGGGGGCGCTTGTCCACATTTCACTCGGGTGCCGTAGGCCCCACTTGGCCGAGCCAGGAGGAGAGCCAAGCGAAGGCCGCTGAGCTGAAGAAGCTGTGCACGCTGAACCGGGCGGCCTGCCAACTGAAGCTGCGGCTGTTTGGGGAGGCCAAGGCGGGCGTTTCTTCCGGTGGGGTTGGTGGCGTGGAAGGGGAAGCCAAAAGGCCAACCGAGGAGTTTCTATTCCTTGGATGCTGTGGCGTTGGTTCTTGCTTTTCTTCTTTCTGCTTTCTTTTTTGCGGGGTAAACGAAGCCTACTTGGGCGCTCGGCCAAGTTAGTAAGTTGTTGGCAATCTAGGTTACAACCCGCTTACAAGTGCCTTCAAGTGTGGTTTACCCTGATTTGGTGGGTTATAACCCACGTGGGTAACCACGTACTAACTTGGCCGAACATCCAAGCAACAGGCCTTCAACGCTAAACCATGCAATGCCCTCAATGTGGTTTCCTTGAAGGGGATCCCTAGGTTCATTCCCAAAACACTTGCGAGCCACAGTTCAGAACCAGAAAGGAATAGGTTGCGTCCATTCTTGGGGTACCCATTTGAAGATGTGCTCCAATGGCACCAAGGAAGAAAAAGCACATTCACGCCTTGGGGGCACCCTTTTGCGATTGCCTTGCCGGGGCCGGGGGGGCGGGGAGCCAAGAAAACTCCCCCCTACATGTCCCAACTTTGCGTGGCGGGAAACGGGCAATTTGTGAACCGTGTTGTTCCTTTTGGAAGAGTGACGTTTGAACGGGAATGGATGTTTCTCAAAATTAGAGACTCCATGTGGTTGGGTTCCTGTTGGTTTTCCTTTAAACTCGACCAAACAAGGACCCTTCTGATAAACACCCAAAAGGGAAACGGCTCTCCGGCTTCCTTGTTTTGCCCCTAAAAAGTCACAATCCATAGGCGGGCTTGCTTTTGTGTTAAATAGAGGTCTGGACAAAGTGGAAACTGCCAATCCCCCTTTTGGATCTCTTTGGGGCACGTGAACAGGTATGGGCTATGTCGCGCAGTGTCTGCTATGTTTGTGTCAGCCAGGTGCTCCGCACGAGCGGCGCCTGGCTGACTTCGCTTGGTGGAGGAATCCCTTGTAGGGGTCGGAGCTTTCTTCTGTTAACCTGGGGGAGTAGCAGGGAGGATATGGGCGAGTCAAAGTCTCATCTCTACTCAGGTGATCCAGATCTTGCAAAGAAGGTGGTTTCTGGATACAACCTCTCCGCAGGCGTGGTACCCGCAGGCTTGGGCCATGCCGTCCGCGGATCCCGGGAAGGGCATCCCTCGCTTCGCAATGCCCCGGATGAGGCCTCCTGCGAAGCGGTGCTCCAGGAGGACTCCTGCTCTGTGAAGGCGCTCTTCCGACGAGCCCAGGCCGCTGGGAAACGCTTCCGGCTTGGAGATCTTGGAGTTAGCCATTTCGGGGGTCCCCTATGGCGAGCCACGCCCTTTTTGTTGCCTTTTGTGTTGGGGGGGGGGAGTGTCTCGGATGTTGGCTGGTTTTAAAAGCATGCACCAGGAAGCCAACCCTTTTTTGGGTTCTGTTATGTAGAGTCACACCCATATTCGCTGTCCTGTCGAATGTGTGTGGTTTTTCCTAGCCTCAAACCACTGCCTCAGGGGCTTCACGTTTTGAGCAGTCAAAGCGAGTTTTCTTTGATCACCTTGCCCTGCTGGGCATCTGCGACTGGAAAGAGCCCCGCAGACAGGATCGCTTTGAACCGCAGGTGAGGAAACCGCAAGGGTAGAACACTTGAACATAGTTTCTTATTGATTCCCCTTGACAATAGGGCCAATTTTCCACCCTTGCACTCAGGGTTTTTGGATACCCCGGTGCACTGACATTTTACCGTGGTGAAGAGAGTGGCATTGTATAGACTCATCAAGTTACTTTTGAGAAATGGGGAGGCTACCAATCCAGCACTTGGGGCACAATTAGTTTTGACTGTGGCTCATCAGCGCCGCTCGACTGTAAACTGCCGGTGCTAGCAGGGGCGCGTAACAGCCGCAAACTGTTAATTTTTATTTTTATGTTTTTTTTGGTTGGAACGACCTACACATGTTTGCACAGATGTGAATGTAAATGACAGGGGCGCCAACCATAGAACAACATTGACATCGCCATTTGTGTGTTTGTGGCTCGGTTTGTTCATTTGGTGGAGGGGAGGTGGGCAAGGGGGCCACCGTTTCCGACGGTCGCGTTAAAAGATCTGAATAATGTTGAGCCCATACTACTCAACTCCAGTTTGTCAATAATTTAAATAGCGGGGGTGTCCAACTGGGTTTAGCGGGGAATCAGACCCCTTTTGGAAGGGAGCACCCCCCTATTCATAAACTGGGTTGGTTGATATGGGGTCAACCTTCTTCCAGTTGGTTCAGCGACATGCTTTTGACGGATGAGACCTCTCAAACGTTGACACTTCATTGCCCTCCCTCCCTCCCAAGAAACTCTCGTTGGCGCGCAACTTGAAACCCCCCGCTTGCGCAGCCCACGACAAACACGCGACGCGTGCGCGTGCGGCGCGGTGTGGCGGGTCGCCGCCGCACTGAGGCCCTCTTTGGGCTGAAGGACTTCGTGGGGTGTGTGGCGGAGGTGACCCAGTTGCCCAGTGGATCCGCTCTTTTTCCCTTTTCTGGCGGAAGGGTTTCCCTTTCAACTCAACCAACCACAAAAGATGTGGGCTCCACTCGCTCCATTTTTTTGGGGGGTCTTGAGAAACGTGGCGGAACCAACCACACAAAAAAAAATAAAGATTTCCAGTGGATCCGCCCTTTTTCTCCATTTTTTTTGGGGGAAGGGTTTCAGCCAAAAAAAGGATTCGCCCCCTTTCCCATGGACATTTCCACGGGTCTGAGGTGAAGAAGGTCTTGGACTTGGAGCCGCAGAACCGGGAGGCCCGGCTTCTAGCGCAGGACGCCGCGAAGGCACAGAAGGAGGAGGACAAGAAGAGCCGCGGCCTCTTCGGGAAGATGTGCCAGGCGGGGTCTTGTCTTCTTGGGCCGGGGCCAAGGCAAGCCAGGGGTAATGAACATAGTGGATTGGTTGGTTCAACTGATTGCTTGGTTGGTTGGTTGGTTGGCTGGCTGGCTGGCTGGATGGCGTGCTGGTTGGTTGGTCTGCTGGTTTGTTGCCTGCCTGCCTGCCTGCCTGGCTGGTTGGCTGGCTGGCGGGCTGGCTGGCTGGCTGGTTGGTTGTTTGGTTGGTTGGTTGATTGGACAAGCGCCCAAGTTAGGCTTAAGCTTACGTGAACCTTTCCTAGCCCCACTGCAATCTGCCAGTTCGGGCAGGCCTCGCGGAGGTCTAGCGGAGGTCTTGTTGCTCCTGCTCAAATGCTGCACCGATGTGCAGGCCAAATCCCAAGCTTCCCCAACCTACGCGCCGCCCACGCTTGAGCCCGAACCCTGCATAAACCAACCCGAAGCCCAGCAATGTAACCTAGAGCCTGAGCCCAGCCATTGGCCCGCTCAGCTTAGCCCAGCCCTCAAAACTCACACCGGCGCCATTATTTTGACCGTGTCTAAGGCTGTCAAAGTCAGAAACCGGGGTGGTTTCCCTTCCACCCAGTAAAAGAATGAGGCTAGTCAGGTCTCCCTGGCATTTGCGAAGGCACCAAGCCTTAGTCCCACTTCAAGGTTTCCTCTAAGGCCCAACCAGCGCAACCCAGCCCCAAACCCCCAAACCCCCAAACCGGCCTCAGCCCTTCAAGGCTTCAACCAGCGGACCCCAGCCCCAAACCCCCAAACCGGCCAAAAATGGACCGCCAAAGACTGACCAGGCGCTGGGCACGGGGCCCATCCCGGAGCCCTACAAGGACAGACGCTTGGAGCTGGACGGGGAAGCGGAGGAGCATGTGGCCTGAGGCACGCCCGGCCTGGTGGTTTCGGCACTGCCCCAAAAAAAAGAAGCGCCGCGCAACCAAGCCTTTTTCTGTTGGTCGGATGGTGGGGGTGGTGGGATGGAAGCGCAGAGGCCAAGCGCAGACATCTTTGTAGGCCAAGGTGAGTTCCCCAAGTTTTCAGACACACATCGATCGTTTCCCATCCGGATGGCACCTGCCGCAGCCTTGCTCAAAGGGGATGCTGAAGCTGCGGGCCCCGCGGGCGCCGCAAGTCTCACCTTGTAGCCCGCACCAGACGGGCTGTAGAAACCCAAAGCTTAGCGCCACGAGCGGTGGAGGAAACATGCTCTTTGTCTTGCTTTCGAGTTTTGGCACTGCCTTTGCAACCAGCGCAATGGCAAAGGAGGCTTCGAATGGCGAAGATGTGGCCTCGTTCCTTCTGCCAGGGCTCGTAAATCCATGATGGTGTCTCTGTGGCATGTTTATCTTGGTGATCAAAGCGCGCCTATAGGCGTGACCAGTTTTTCTTGGCCGAGCCTGCACATCTTAGCAGAGCTCACTAAGCCATTTTCAAACCCACTAATTAAGAACGGCTTCAATCAATCGCAATTCACAATCTTGCTCATGTGCATTCGTTCAGGCTTACGAAAGGCTTACTAAGGCTTACTAGCTCAAACGATAACACGTAGCAAGGCATTGCTGGGCAACCGCACGCTTGATGCGTTGTGTCTTTTGATTTCACCCCCCCCCACCTCGAAGAAAGGCGTCTCCATCTCCAGGCCCCTGCTGCGGCAAGCTTTGGGCTCCAAGGTGGACTGCGCCCCCTGGCCGCGTTTCTGAAGGCTGCCTTTATGCGCGGCTCAAAGGACCCCAGGTTGTTCTTCTGCAGGCGTCCTTTTGATCGGTTAGTTTGACTGGAAATGGATGGGTTCCACCTGGTTTAGATGTAGAAATTGATGGATTGCACCGGTTTAGATCGTTTCATTACCCATTTGCCAAGGGAACCCATCGAATTTTCGAACAGGACACCTGTCTTTGCAAGGCTCCTGGTTCAGATTTTGCCCCGGATGCCTGAAGTCACTTTGTCGACCTTTTTTCCTGCGGGACCCAGGGCCTCAGCAGCTTAAGCACAGCGGCGGAGAAGTGAACCACTTTTGCACGGCCAGTGCTAAGATCCCCACCCCCTTGGACATGGAATTGGGGAGGGGGGTGACCCCTGGAGATCTCCATTTGTGGTTCCATTTTCCCTTTTTATGGGGAAGACTCGCCCCACCCCCCGCTGCTCCTGAAGGTAGGGGGGATTTGCTAAGGACAGCTCAAGCTTCAACGAGCTGGCTCGGCACCTGGGAAGCTGCCAGTGCACCGCATGAGCCTGAGTCACCGGGCGGCCGGGATCTCGAGATCTGAGGCGGACCAAGCTTGCCATGTGGCGAGGACGTGGTTTGAGCCGGTCCATGCCTCGGATGGCACTGTGGACTTGGTTGTCTTTCTGGCGCGCGAGATGCAGGGAATGAGAAATGGAGTCTGAACCCGAGACAAACCGTCCCGCTGGCGGTTTCCTGGTTGTTGTTGGGTGGTTTAGTGGGAAATCCCCACTTAACTGCTAAACAATAATTTGTTTGCTCCCCTGCCAACGTCAACCAAGGTTTCCTTTATTCCCAGGTTCATTCCATTTCTCATTCAAACCCAGCTTTGGGTTGGTTTTGTCAGGTCAGCGCCACGGACCATGAGTGCGTGGACTTGAACCAGTGGCACGTCCTCTTGTTTGCCCTGGCGACCGGCTTGGGCCTGCCAGCACCTCAGCGACCGTCGGTCGGAAAAATCCGTTCGCTCCACTACACCCTGGTTGAAACCATAACGTTTGTTGGTATGGAACATGAACGAGCGCAGGTTACGCCGTTGAAACCACTCACATGCCCTCAAGAGTTGATCTTCCAGGGAATCCACCTTGAAACCATGGTTGAAACCATGGGAATTGCTGGTATTTGCAGGGGAATCGAATCCGAAACCGGGGTCTCTGAGGTGGTGCGGTCAATGGATTTCGCAACCATCCACAGTATTTCACCTTTTTGGCCCATCGATCCCACTTCTCGGGGTCGAAATATGGGAACCCCCCGTTTGGCAGCTTTGAACCTCACCTTGTGGGCCCACTGAAAGTTGGGTGATGTTTACTGGCATAGGGAGCCACCCCCATTCCAGGGCATCTGCTGCACCGTGGCAGCCTTCGAAGAACGGCCGGGGGCACCCAGTCACTTCTGGGCAGTGCCGGAGATTGCCCGACAGTGGGCGTTGGTTTGTGGGGCAAGGTGCGGTGGGCTGCGGTTGGAGGCGTGGTCCAAGGTGAAAAACACGTTTGGATGACGGCGCCTGTGCCAGGGGATGCATTCTCCAGCCAAGAGCAATTCCGAAGACAAACCCGTATCAGCTGGGGATATCTCCTCGGGGAGGGACTGCCTCTCTGATAGCGTGTGCGATGACCTCAATTCCACGACCATCCTTTGAATCGCATATTTCTTGCAACCACTCTGCACTAGAGCACCAACTTGTGGGCACGCTACTTTCATTTGCTGGCGCGGCATGCCGTAAGACCAGCTGCCGAAATGCGCTGCCGTAGGACACACATCATGTTTGGCTGCAAGACGACGCAACCAACAGTATTTCCAGAGTATCGGTTTTGCGTAAGCCATTTCCTTGCGGTGTGGGAGGTTTGTCAGCGTTGGTTTTGGAAAGTCCCCCTTTCTCTGTCTCTCTCGGTTTGTGGGCGTATTGCCAGATATTCAGATACATTCACTAGTGCTGTCTAATGGACGATTTCATTGCCTTTCGTTTGCTGTTAGGTGTATTGTTAAAAGCAGATATCCTTTCTTCTTTTCTTACTGCGCCCAGCAGGGGCCTTCGGGTTTAAAGGCCGAATGCATACGTCTGTATAATATACTGTGAGCTCACCGGTCCGCGGGTAGAATGGCGAAAGTCATGGTAAGGATCATTTGCCTGGGGATCCAGCTCTTATTTCAGGTTTTGGACATGGTAAATATTCTGCGGATACATTCACTCGGGTGATAAGACCTCCCACCTATATTAGCAATGGTCAACGGGGTGCAAGACTGGTCCGAAGGAAAAAACACCCTGCTTCGAGGGGACAAAACCTTGGAGACTTGAGGAACAGAAAACCTCTACACTCCTTGATGGCTCCCAGCCATCCGGTTCCTTAGCTTTTTGGCTTTTTGGGGGTTCTGTGGGCATTTCCATTTACCCACTAAAAGTTGCACTTTTCGCGGAGGATCTGAGGGCCCAGAATTCACTTGCGTAGTTTGGTCTCGTTTGGTTTCTCCCTTGACGCCTGTGGCGGCATTAGGCTGGACCTTGGCCTGGCTCTCAGAATCCGCAGAATGAGGGGGGCTCTTCGAGGCATCTGTTGCTGGCCGGAAGGGGGGGTGCCGCCGTAGAAACTGGTGAGGGGATGCCAACGGGTGGGCTAATTTCGACAACCCCCACCAGGCCTGCTGGTTGTTTGGGGGCGTGTGAAAGAATTGCACCTAGTCATAGGGAGGCGGTCTTGCAACAGGTGCGGCTGCGGCGAAGCCATGACGTGTGTGAAGCAGCACGGTTGGTGCGTGGCTGTGTGTTTTGGTTTTAGTGTCACGATTTTGATGCCAAGCCAGACCAAGCCAGCTCCCCTTGCAAGTGATGACGTCACCGCGACCCACTTTGCTTCCCCGGAAAGGGTCCGCAGTGTGTTTTTCTGTGGCAAGGAACTGCCGGACTTCGCCAACCTTTGCCAACGTCTCGCCACCGGCACCACGAGGCAGCACGTGGAAGCGAGCGACACGCGCCAGCAGAGCGGCACCTTGTGGGGTGTCAGATGTCTGTGCTTGGCAACCTGATTTGACAGAACGCAGGAATGCATGACAGCTAGAAACATGGCTGTCAAAAACACAACTCGGTGATTTTGCGGGTGCCGCGTGAGAATTCTGCAACTTGCTTGGGTTGGTTGCCCAACCCCGTGCAAGGAAGGAGAGGAATCTAGTACGAGCTGAGGGCACTTGGAGTCATTTCATCACTGCCCTCTCCAGCCAGGCTTTCCGACTACCCCATACCGGAGGCGCCTGGCTGTAGAGATGTGCGGCATGACCTTCATCAGCTTATCCCCCAATGGAAGCGCCGAACAGTTGCTGTATTGGAAGACGGGTATTGTCTCACTTGATTAGTGGGAGTAGTGGTTTTCATTGTGATTTCTGTGCATCACACATGATGACCGTGCTGAAAAGATGTGGGGAAGGTGCAGCCCTGGCTCAATTTTGGGTCATATAGAGAACGCACTATATGTTGGTGCGTCCAAGCATCCGCCTCAGACTAGTATGGATGGAAGGAAGGATGGATGGATGAATGGATGGAAGGAAGGAAGGATGGAAGGAAGGAAGGAAGGCAGGAAGGAAGGAAGGAAGGGAGCTTCTGGCAGACCATTTTCCTTGCGCTGCTTTGGGGCGTTTTCCCCCTCAGAAGTAAAAGTGACACAAGCGTTACTGGTTCAGAGGCCCCTTTTCTCGCCGAACGCTTCAGGGGTCACAGTCGCTGGCGCATTCTGGTCAAGGGAGGTTTGGTCCAGTCAAAGAGATTTCGGTTTAGTCAGAGAGTGGTGGCATCTACCCCAATTGCTTAGTGGTGCCCTTTTTGTCCCTTTTTCCAGGAAGGGTGCCCCTTTCAACTCAAGTCAGAAAAGGATCGATGTTCTTGTTTTTCTCTGGAAATCCACTTCCGGCATGGGCCTTCCCGGAAGGTCTTTGGTCTGCCGATCTGAGCCGATCTGAGCCGCAGGCGGTGCAGGAGAAGCTCCGGTCCTGGGCCTCTGCGCCTTCAGAAGCGCCGCTGGACATGGAGGCGCCCGATGCGGATCGGAAAATCGGAATCGGCGATGGGGTGGGAGAGGTGGCTGGGGTGGCTGGGGGGGGAGAGGTGGGCTGTTTTTGGGATAGGCTCGGTTGAACATAGATGGGTTCCAAGCTGGTGCCAGCGCGGCTTTCTCATGATTTTGTCAGTGCCAGCCATATTTTCCCATGGTTGGGACTTGGGAGGATGGACGGGCTTCGGGCGGATTCGGCCGTTTTGGGCTGCCTGAGGGTGCTTTGCCGACCTGGCAGGGCTAGAAGTTTTGTCGCCCAATATGATTTGACCCTTTCATTGGGGGACCTGCCGGGTTCCCAGTTGGGGCTGGGTGTACCGTCCCAACAGACAAGCGCTCGCAGCTAGACTGACACTTTTGTTTATTTTAAGTGTTGCTGAGCATGAAACCTCGCAGAGGGAAATTCCTTTGGGGCAATTGCAGCTGCTCTTTGCCGCGCCGCAAAAAAGCGGGGGGCAAAGCCGAACTTCCCCGAGGTGCTCAAACGACTCGTTTGAGTGCCCCCCTTGCTTGACTGCTATTGGATTATTGGGTTGGGTCTGTAGACTTTAACTGTTTGGTTGAAATCAAGTTGGGTTTTCCACGAAACCCATTGGGTAACGGATCTTTAGACTTGAACTTTTTGGTTGAAATCAAGTTGGGTTTTCCACGAAACCCATTGGGTAACGGATCTTTAGACTTGAACTTTTTGGTTGAAATCAAGTTGGGTTTTCCGCGAATCCCATTGGGTAACGGATCTTTAGACTTTAACTTTTTGCTTGAAATCAAGTTGGGTTTTCCACGAAGCCCATTGGGAAACGGATCTTTAGACTTGAACTTTTTGGTTGAAATCAAGTTGGGTTTTCCACGAAACCCATTGGGTAACGGATCTTTTGACTTGAACTGTTTGGTTGAAATCAAGTTGGGTTTTCCACGAAACCCATTGGGTAACGGATCTTTAGACTTTAACTTTTTGGTTGAAATCAAGTTGGGTTTTCCACGAAACCCATTGGGTAACGGATCTTTAGACTTTAACTTGTTGGTTGAAATCAAGTTGGGTTTTCCATGAAACCCATTGGGTAACGGATCTGTAGACTTTAACTTTCTGGTTGAAATCAAGTTGGGTTTTCCACGAAACCCATTGGGTAACTGATCTTTAGACTTGAACTTTTTGGTTGAAATCAAGTTGGGTTTTCCACGAAACCCATTGGGTAACGGATCTTTAGACTTTAACTTTTTGGTTGAAATCAAGTTTGGTTTTCCACGAAACCCATTGGGTAACGGATCTTTAGACTTTAACTTTTTGGTTGAAATCAAGTTGGGTTTTCCACGAAACCCATTGGGTAATGGATCTTTAGACTTTATCATTTTGGTTGAAATCAAGTTGGGTTTTTCCACGAAACCCATTGGGTAACGGATCTTTAGACTTGAACTGTTTGGTTGAAATCAAGTTGGGTTTTCCACGAAACCCATTGGGTAACGGATCTTTAGACTTGAACTTTTTTGTTGAAATCAAGTTGGTTTTTCCACGAAACCCATTGGGTAACGGATCTTTAGACTTGAACTTTTTGGTTGAAATCAAGTTGGGTTTTCCACGAAACCCATTGGGTAACGGATCTTTAGACTTTAACTTTTTGGTTGAATTCAAGTTTGGTTTTCCACGAAGCCCATTGGGTAACTGATCTTTAGACTTTAACTTTTTGGTTGAAATCAAGTTGGGTTTTCCACGAAACCCATTGGGTAACGGATCTTTAGACTTGAACTTTTTGGTTGAAATCAAGTTGGGTTTTCCACGAAACCCATTGGGTAACGGATCTTTAGACTTTAACTTTTTGGTTGAAATCAAGTTGGGTTTCCATGAAACCCATTGGGTAACGGATCTTTAGACTTTAACTTTCTGGTTGAAATCAAGTTGGGTTTTCCACGAAACCCATTGGGTAACGGATCTTTAGACTTGAACTTTTTGGTTGAAATCAAGTTGGGTTTTCCACGAAACCCATTGGGTAACGGATCTTTAGACTTGAACTTTTTGGTTGAAATCAAGTTGGGTTTTCCACGAAACCCATTGGGTAACGGATCTTTAGACTTTAACTTTTTGGTTGAATTCAAGTTTGGTTTTCCACGAAGCCCATTGGGTAACTATCTTTAGACTTGAACTTTTTGGTTGAAATCAAGTTGGGTTTTCCACGAAACCCATTGGGTAACGGATCTTTAGACTTGAACTTTTTGGTTGAAGTCAAGTTGGGTTTTCCACGAAACCCATTGGGTAACGGATCTTTAGACTTTAACTTTTTGGTTGAAATCAAGTTGGGTTTTCCATGAAACCCATTGGGTAACGGATCTTTAGACTTTAACTTTCTGGTTGAAATCAAGTTGGGTTTTCCATGAAACCCATTGGGTAACGGATCTTTAGACTTTAACTTTCTGGTTGAAAGCAAGTTGGGTTTTCCACGAAACCCATTGGGTAACGGATCTTTAGACTTGAACTTTTTTGTTGAAATCAAGTTGGTTTTTCCACGAAACCCATTGGGTAACGGATCTTTAGACTTGAACTTTTTGGTTGAAATCAAGTTGGGTTTTCCACGAAACCCATTGGGTAATGGATCTTTAGACTTTATTATTTTGGTTGAAATCAAGTTGGGTTTTTCCTTGAAATCCATTGGGTAACGGATCTTTAGACTTGAACTGTTTGGTTGAAATCAAGTTGGGTTTTCCACGAAACCCATTGGGTAACGGATCTTTAGACTTGAACTTTTTTGTTGAAATCAAGTTGGTTTTTCCACGAAACCCATTGGGTAACGGATCTTTTGACTTGAACTTTTTGGTTGAAATCAAGTTGGGTTTTCCACGAAACCCATCGGGTAACGGATCTTTACACTTTAACTTTTTGGTTGAAATCAAGTTTGGTTTTCCACGAAACCCATTGGGTAACGGATCTTTAGACTTTAACTTTTTGGTTGAAATCAAGTTGGGTTTTCCACGAAACCCATTGGGTAACTGATCTTTAGACTTGAACTTTTTGGTTGAAATAAAGTTGGGTTTTCCACGAAACCCATTGGGTAACTGATCTTTAGACTTGAACTTTTTGGTTGAAATCAAGTTGGTTTCCCATGAAACCCATTGGGTAACGGATCTTTAGACTTGAACTTTCTGGTTGGAATCAAGTTGGGTTTTCCACGAAACCCATTGGGTAACTGATCTTTAGACTTGAACTTTTTGGTTGAAATCAAGTTGGGTTGTCCACTTTGTTCCCTCAAAAAGTTAAAAAAACAAAGAGACTTTTTGCAGGGGGTTGGGCTGGGTTTTCCATTGTTTTTTCCACAACAAGTGAAACATTGGCTTGGTTTTCCATTGTTTTCCACTGGTTTTCCATTTTTTCGCAGGGGTCGTTGCAGCAACCAAGACCTTGGGTCAGTGTTGACTGACAGGGCGCTCCGAACTTCCAGCTGTTCCTCCAGCGCCTGGCGCCGGGCTCGAGCGCCGTTTTTTTCTTTGTTTTTCTTTTCTTTTTTTTCTTCCTTTTTTTTTTCTTTCTTTCTTCTTCTTGTTTTGTTACCTGTTTTTCTTTTTCTTTTTCTTTGTTCTGTCTGTTTTTTTTGTGTGTTTTCTCTCTTTTATATTTTTTTTCTAGAATTACTATTGTTATTAGCATTGTTATTATTACTCTTGTAATATAATTATGACTATTAGTTGTTTTTCTTTCCAGCGCTTGCCTGGTGAGGAGAGGGGTCGGTGGGAGAGGTCTGTCAAAGGATGTAGGATTTGGACACCCCACCCCTTTGGCAGGTTTCAACGGAACACCTTGATTTTTTGGATGCTCAAATGGCGAGTTTGATGGCGCCTGGCACCGCAACGTGGCTTGGAATCAGTATCTCAGGACAGCGCAATAGGGGAGAGAAAGAGAGAGAGAGATCTGCCATAGGAACCATCTCTCCTCTTAGCCTGCCTTGCCTTGCCTCTTTCGGTTTTTCTTGTTGAATAGGGCTCCCTGTAGTTCTCTTCAAGCATCCCCCCCGACAAGAAGCTCACTTCAACTTGGCCAGGCGTGCTTTTAAGCCACAAGATGACAAAAAGGGAATGCTGAAGGTCACAAGCCAGCTGCCCTACTGGCATACAGCGGAAGAAGAGCTTCAAACCCGCAAGAGGCCCGGGCTGCGTTGGCTTGTGACCACGGGTTCGGCCTAGGGCCTAGGAGTCTGGGTCACAGCCATGGGCACGGGGCTCATGGCGAAACAAGTCTCTGAAAAAATGTGGATGACTCAACCGCGTTGGCGTTGGTTCATGTTTTGTTTGCATTCTGCGAAGTGTTGGCTCTCTTGATGGCAAACAGAAACCAGCCAAGCCATCCAAGGATTGCGGATGGGGTACCATCAGCTGCCAATATATGTCCTAGTGCTTTGTTTATTGCTTGGCACGAGCTTCCCATAAAGCGCGGTGCACACGAAAAAGATGCGGCCATGTCAAGGCGACCTCATCAGCAAGTTTCTTCCATTCAGCAAGGCTGCCCTTATTTCCCCGCAAGCCTGGCCTTTGAGTGGCTCTCTGTTGGTATCCCTTCTGCTTCTTCTCCCTCATTGCCATGCCTCACAGCTCCGTCACGTCGGTAACCAACCAACTGTCACCTCTGAGCCCACACCCGCATGGCCCGGACAATTGGAGGCTTCAAGGCTCCATGTCCTGGCCAAATCAATAAAGTTATCTTCCCCTCTTGGTTTTAAAGGGAACCTCTCACGACCTGTGATGTGTTTTCTATCAGGGGGCTTAAGCAGATGGAAGAATACTGGCTCAACGCCTTAAGGGCAGTCGAGTTGCCTCCTGAGTTGCTTGCGCACTGCGCCACTGAAGCCTAAAGGTCTCAGAACGCAGCTACTCCCGGAGTTGTATACTTGCCGTGTATCGAGATAATAACGCAATATTGACTATCTTCAATACTTCATTTTTTGTTGGCGTGGCCCTCCGCCAACACCCTTCCCCCCCCCCAAAAAAAAAAAAACACCATCCGCCGCCTTCTCTGGAAGTTGGAACCCCGGCATCCAGCCACCCCCACAGGCGGGAAACCAACAGAAAGTGGGCGCCAGGGCCTTTCAGCTGCTGAAGCTCATGAACAACACGCCCTCCCTGCCCAACTCGGCCTGCCTGGCAGCCTTTGGATTGCCATGGCCGGCCCAGGTCTCCATCGCGCCTGAAATGGGCGCCATTCGGGTGTAGTATCCTGTGTGTTCGGGAGGCTCCAGCTATGTATGCGGAACTCTCGCGCCGCCAGATTTGCAAACCCCAAATGCCTGGCCCAGGCACAGGTTTTTCATAGGTTTTCCAGATTCCAATTTGCCAACCCTTGGAACCAGCACTTGTGTTTCATTTGGAGGATACCCTTTTCGAATGTTAGGGCAAAAGGGGTGGAACCTGATGTTCGAGTGTAGCTTATCGGTCTGCTTTGGTCTGGGATTTGTGGCGTGGAAAGTGGAAAGATGGCTGCCCATGTCACAATCCTCTGGCCTTCAATGTAACATGTGCACTGAACCTGACGAACGGACCTATGTTCGAGTCATGCAAAGTGGGCGTCACGCTTTTCCCCACCAAATGCAATCCCGGAACCAGAGGACTGCATCTAGAGACCCCTCTTCAGGTTCCACGTGTGTGGGGTAACTTGCAGCAAAATGCCTCTGTGCGCCAGGTGCCGGGAAAGCTCACGCCGTCGCCCGCCCAGCCCGGCCGGGGGGGGGGAGGGCAACCGTTCCCACTTCCATCTTCCATCGCTGGAACGCTGGAATCAACTTGGGACATGAAAAGTGATTGGTGGACATAAATCCCCACATATCAGATGTCCACCAAAGAGTTCCCAATTCAAATTTATACCCACAGCCACCCTCAAAAATATCTAAGATGCGGTCTCATGGATGCCAGGGAGGATAAGCATCCCTAGCCGGAGAGATCAGCCTTTAGGACCCTGGGCGCCCTTCTATAGGCAGTTTTCACGGAGCCAACAACCCGCAAGAGAAACTGAGTAGATCCTTAGATTCCCTTTTTATGTGAATAAATAAATAGATGACTAAATTGATGAATACATATATATATATATAATATATATATATATATATACATCGATATTTGTACAGGCTCAGGTTTAGCGTCGTATACCAAGCTCTTCCGTTTTTTTTGTTTTTGAGTCTCGGGGGTGGGGTGGGGGGAACCGAGGCGAAGCTCTTGCGCCAGCGTGGCGCCGCTGCTGACTTTGCCGCCCTCGCAGTGGCAGTCCGCCACCAGGCGCCAAAAAAGCCGCGGGGAACCAAACGCGGCTGTCGGTGTTGAGAGCCCGCAGGGTGCGGCAGGGTGTGGTGCTCGCAGGGTGCCATTAAGCAAGTTGTGGGAAACATTCCTGCCACTGAAGTGCTGGGCTGAACCGCAGGTTATGACTATCACTGCATAAGGAGACGAGTTCGAGCCATCCCGGCTTTCCAAGGCTGAACCATCCTATTCGGGCTTCCCCACTCCCATTCAGTTGCACCCCACATTGGTTGTTCAATTTGCTGCCGCGTGGTTTGAATATGCCGCATGCCCTTCCAGGTTTCCTTCATTCTCAACCAAAATGTCCAGCTCGGCGAGTGGTTTAAACCACTCATCGGTATGGGGAAACCGGGACTGGCCGCATTTTTCGGGTGGTTCCCGCCCGGGCATCCGGTTCCTTGGGGCTAGGCTTTTGCTCGGGGTTTCGTGGGAGTAATTCACCCGTTTCACCGTCATTTCAGTCGCCAGAAGTTAGGCTTTCAGAGGAATATTTGAGGACAGCCCAGTTTGGTTTATCCAGATGAAGGGAATTGCGCCATCTGCTTTCACCCTGGTGTAAGACAAGGGCATAAATGGCATAAAATCATTAGGTATGGTTAACTCCTTTCATCACGACGAAGTTTCGTGTACGAATCACCCGCAAAACCCTATTCTAATTCTTTAGGCATCCTATATTATTTCGGGGCCACTATCCTCATCTTTCCAGTCTTCCAATTTTCCCTTGCTGGGTGCTTAATTGCCCACATGTTGATGTTTTCGCGGGATGGGTCATTGTACGGTTTTGAGAACCATTCGTTCAGCACCCAGTCGTGACTGCTTAAGCACCATAGGCGGAGGAACACCAAAATGGGTGTTTTTGTTTTTCTTTTTTTTTTTTTGGGGGGGGGGGTTGTAAATAGAGACAACAAGCTGGTCTCCAGGATCCCCTTCAGCGAAATGTGCTTCGGAGGGCAGGTTGTAAAGCAATCCTTGGCATGCCTTGCTGAAGAGCTGCACCATCAGAAATATATATCTATATACGTATATACATATGCATCTATAAATACATGTATATATATATATATATATGCACGTATAGATCAGCCTTTTGTGAAAGTTGTTTTGGGCTTGATCCAAGATCCAAGATGGCACAGAGCACGTTTTTGGAATTATCGGATGCAACTTCGGGGGGTGGACTCAAGATCCGAGATCCAAGATTGCAAGTAAACGTGTTTGTGCAGTCTTTTGATGCTGGATCTTGGATCCAGCCAAGATATTTTTGTTGTTCGCCCTATTTGTTTGATTCAGGAAGTGCCAAGTGTGGCCCTTCTTTTGAGGGGAGCAAACGCATACATTCCGCCGTTTGACCTTGTTGAGCAGGGGCACGGTGATCTGAGAAATGCTGAACATACTGCAAATTACCGCATTTTGCCACGGAGCAGATCATTGTTGTTTGAGACACTTTCCTTTTTTTTGGCTTGGCTCAATCCGTGCTTAGTTAAAACCACATTGGATTAGACAAGGAAATTCACCCTATTGAAATTGAGTTTGATTTCAATTTCAACTAGCAATTGCAATATTGGTTTTCTCCATGTGTTGTTCTGTATTCCAGATGCATAAGGGCATGCAATTGGTGAAAGTTGAATTTGGCTTGAAGTTGAAACATCCTTTTAAATTGGATCCGACAGTTGTAAATCGAATTAGCTATGCAGTGTACTACGCAACACTTTTTTTAGACACATAAAACAATTGCTTTCCAAATTTGCCTCAACACAAATTGACTTAGATGCTAAATACAATAAACCTGCAAATGCAACTCAGAATGCAAATGGAGCTGCGCAAAGACACGGATCATTTCACAAATTCGTCTGGTGGTCAATTTCAAATGGCAACTTCGATGGGAATAAATGACAATTTGCTTCGACTTTGCCTGCAATTCGATGGGATTTCAAAGAAAAAAGCAACTCGGATAGGAATGATTTCCTTTCCCCCACATTGATGGTTTGTTGATTTCCCTGCTAAACGACATAGTAAGCACAATGATAGCAGAGCAGTTACAGGCACGTTGAATCTGCTAAAGTGTACCTCGTGTGAAACATGTGTAATCACTCATGCCACTTTCGAGCAGCCTGATATAGGAGCTCCTTTCCAAAGTTGATGCTTAGCTTTTGTTTAGTTAGAATAACGGGCTACTTTAAGATTGAGTTGCATGATAATCTTGCAGAGCCGTTTGAATAAGGCAGGTCCATCAGTGGGGGGGGGGGGGTAACTATGTATATAATGTCATGTATTTAATATGCATGTACGTGCAGTATAACGCAGCTGATGTACATGCATACCATAGCATCAGGTGCGCAGCAAGGGTGATCGGCCCTGAACCGCTGGGTCCAGGCGATCCTTCCCGGAAAAACGCAGAGAAGCCAAGAGCTCAGAGCCAAGCGGCAGCGAAGCCCCTAGTGTGTAGGTGGCTTTTTTCCCAGTCACTTTTTGTGGGCTTCACCTATCCCAGGGGTGAGTTTTTTGGTGTGGTTTACCCACAGGCTAGAAGCCCAATGGCTGCGGTTTCCCCTATCAACTCAGATTTTTTGCCCGCCAGCTGAAGCCCGATGGCCGCCCTTGTATTTTGGTTTTGGTGTCCCTTCAAGCCAACTCTAGAAGCCGCGCGTTTGGAACGCCGAGCGAAAACCGCCATGGGGGCTACGCCGAGGTGCCCGTGGCACCGAAGTTTGTGTGGCCCTTGACCACGCGGCCTGGCCGCGAGTGCGAGTCGCTTTTGGGACGCAGATGTCGCACGAAGTGAAGTGATTGGGAACCACTTATGGCCTCAAGAAGTTGATTTTCCGGGGCATCCACCTTGAAACCATGGTGGAAACCATAAGGCTTCTTGATATTTGCGTTGGGGAATCGAATCATTCCCTTTTGTTCCTTGCGTGGTGCAAAATGGTTTTCGCAACCATCCACAGTAGCGTTCCTGCAACGCATGTGCTTCAGCGGTTGGGCTTCGCGGCTGAGGAATTGATGCAGACTTTGCCTGAGTGCCGGGAATCGCCGAAGACGGGGGGCACATGTTTGCCTTCAGCGTGAGCACTTCGGAGTTGTGAGCAGTCAGGTGCCACCAAGATTCTCATGTCACTTGGGCAATGTCACAAAATCTCCCTGGCTCACACCGCGCGGCGCAGTACGAGGCGTCCACGCCGCCCGAAATCAGGACGAATTGGTCTTTCGGGCTCCTGAGTATTAGGGCAATGGGAACACCATGCCCAAGACATCCCCTGGCCTTTGCCAAAGCTAGCAGGCCGAGTGGATCCCAATACAAAGTAGCCGATGCAGTTGCAGCCGCTCCATTTCTATGTTTCACCTTTGCCCGAAGACCGGGCCCAAATGGTGCATTCGGGGGCTCTGGGGTGGGGCCGCATCTCAGCTACGCAAGGCATAGGTTTTTGGCGGTGGACGCGGTGGGAGCCCAGGTGCCGCCGATGTACTCCGCAATCAAGGCGCGTAGCGAAGGTTCTGAGCTGGTCCTTCGGGCTGGGGAAGGTGTCAGGGGCGGGCTGGGGGTCGAGTGAAGCGCGCCCGTGTCCAGGTCGGTGGGCAGCGGCTTTATAAGCTCGAGGGGGGGCCCAGAGGAGTGGTCTGCAGCGTCTTCAATTCTTATGGGTCTCCTTTCGCAACCTCTACGCACCTGTGTCTGGCTTGAGGGCCCCAACGCGGATTTTGCTCCACAAATCGCTGGCAACTTCGGCGGGCGGCGCCCTGGGGTCAGCGAGCGCCACGGCCGGCGGGACACCGAGGCCATGGAGGGTAAGGAGGTGGCGCGGGCGCCGCGGAAGGCGGGGATCGGAAGCTGGGGAGATGTCCGCGTGTGGCGGGGGTTCCGCCCTGACTTGGTCAGTAAGACCCTCCCACCAGCTCTTTAGACCCCTGTAGAAAGACGACTTTCCTTTTGGAAAGGGTCTTTTTGCACTTTCATGTTGGTTGGTGGGAGGGTAATTAATGTCCCGGGTTCTTTGCCTCTTGGTGGTATCTGTGTTTTCCCCCCTTTTGAGTACATGCCAAACTGGATAAAGAGACCACTTGGAGAGGAATGAAGCGTAAGGTGGGCGCGGCCCTTGGGCATATGGCTCGATGAAAGCTCGGGGCTACGGGGTCTCCTCTCCTCTGGGCTAAGGGTTCCTGGAACGGCTCCGGGGGTTGCGGTTGCCGGATGCCGCCTGGGCTAATTTTTCACAAGCGCATTGTGCGCTCCAAGAGGTCATATTTTTGTGGTTTTGTTCGGGTTTCGTTTTCCGCCAAAGCATGTCGCAACCGGTTGTGGGTCTTGAGAATGGAAAGACCTCCATGAACTAGCCCTTGTGCTTTCTTTAGGGCCATCCCTAGGTTCATTCCCAATGCCGCAGCATAGCATAGCTCGAGAATGCCTGTGCTCTAGTTGCTTGGGCGCCGGGGCCTCAGCAACCGCTGGCTGGGGCGTTGGGGTTCGAGCCCGGGTTGACGAGTCTTGTTGGTTTGCCCGTTTTAGGCGCACCTACGAGGTACACTTTTTTCGGGGCGGTGAATGGCGGCGAGGATCAAGTGAAGGTTTCTCCTGCCGATGCGGGAAGGGCATGTGAGAAAGCAGAGGGCCAGGGTTTGAGAGACCAGGCTGGCCCCAGCGCCCCATGGGGGATGATGCAGACTGCCTGGAGATGCCGGGGCCGCTTGGCTGAGAAACCCCGGGAGGTGAGCTCGGCAACTGACCGCAATATCAAACCCCACAAGAAACAAAACAACATCTCACCAACCAATCCAACAGTTTCCATGAATTTCTAGAATAGCCATACAAAAGTGAAACAACGCCAAGAGCAAGTACATTTTAGCCCTATTGGGTTGCAATCAAGTTGCTCAGTCGGTTTCGTTGGCGACCACGACGTCCAAGTGCCGGGCGTGAGGCAGCCGTATGCCCTGGCCTTGTGGAACCTCATCATCCGGCCACCCCGCAGGCCAGGTGCGCGAGCCAAATGCGAGCGTTAAACGTCAGGGAAACCAACTAGCAGGGATACAGGCGGAGCCAGGGATGCGCACCTAAGTTTGAGATGGGAAATGGCGCCAATCCCCCCATCTCCCCGCTCCCGAACCCCCGCTGGTTCGTTGGGTCAGACCGCTGCTGGGTGACCGGTCAGGTCAGACCGCTGCTAGGTCCCCCAGCTAGGTGCCCTTTTCCTGTTTCTTCTTTGGGGGAGAGTTCCCCTGCTAAAATAGACAAAACTGAAAAAGCATCGGGTACCAACTTATTTCTAGGTTCCCCTGTTAAAAAGCCAACAGAAAAATTGGGTACCAGCCTATTTCTAACACCTCAAATCTGGAGGAGGCTGGGTGACCGGTCAGGCGCTATGACCTCCTGCGCCTGGGGCCCACGGAGTTCCGCCTGTGGAGCTGCGGGGTCAAGCGGGTGGCGGCTTGGCTGCCACGTTTTCGGCGGGTGAGTTTTTGCCGCGGGGTTTTTTGAGGCGGTGCGGGCATAGGTGTCCTTTTTGGCTGGTTGAAAAGTAGAGGGCGATCCCTGGTTGACTTGGTGGTTCAATCGACTACCAGGGCCATCTATTTTCCCTAAAAGGACACCTATGGGAGTAAGGTTAACCCCGGGTTTTTATAAACCCCTGGTTGATTTTGATTGGGGGGTGTCCCCTTTTTGTGGTTATTCAGATCACTTTTGGAGGGAACCTGCCCCCGAATAGTGGGACGGGTATGTTAATCCGGGGTCAACATTAAAATTGGCAAGGCGTGCGGCGTAGGTTGTGGGATGGCACGTGTGGCCCGGGGTGAGGGGTGCGGCCTCGGTGTTTGATCAATTCTTTCTTCCATTTGCTTAAGAATATGTGTTATTTTCTCCTGCTGGTTTAAAAGGAATCTGTCACTACCGGTTTTTTTCCAGGGGTCTTAACCAAATGGAAGCTTTGGTTTCTGGTTTGGAAGCACGGGTGTCCAACAATTGCGTGCTTTTTTGTTTTTTCTTCGCAGGTCCGTCAGGGTGGCGCCACCCCCCTCTGTTTAGCTTAGACACATGTTTAAGCCACCACTCCTCTGCGCAACCTCCTTTTGCTTTTTTAATGGGGCAACCAGGGTCTAGATTCAGGTTTCCCAGAATCCCCTACTTAGTGGTTTGGATTGGTGTTTTGGGGATGTGAACCCCTGGTTCTGGTCTTGTAGAGGGTGTTTCTGGGGCTTAGCCCTCCGCTTCACCACCAAACCACCTATATCCACCCTTTTGAGGGAAGCTGAAGCCAGGGTCTGGTTGTTTAAGAACATTTTGCAGCTATCCCCAGCATCCAAACCACCCTTTCTTCATTCTTGGGGAAGATATATGGAAGCTGAAAAAATCAGGGTCCAGGGTCTGGTTGTTTAGAGACATCTTGCCACCCACCCAACTATCCACCTCTTTGAGGGAAGCTGAAACCCGGGTCTGGGGACTGGTTGTTTCACGCCAACCCGAGCTCAGGACTATGATCTGAACTGCAGCCGAGGGCTGAAGCTCAGGCGCCTTTGTCACGGGGGTCGAGGGCCCTGGAAGTTGACATGGTTGTGTCTTGTCTTCGGCCAGAAAACGCCGTAGGGTGTGCACAAAATGCCTTTTGTTTGCCTTTAAAAGGCACACAAGACGCCCCTTCTGATTCCTTGAGGCCCAAAAGTTGTGGTGGTGTTGAAGGGGAAGATTCCGGGAAGATAAGGATCACACATCATTATTGACCCGCATGGAGCCCCAAAATCGGTGGTTCCCAACTTCAGGTTCTCCTACAGATGCACGGGGTTAGGTGCCAATCCCCTTTTAGGGACCGCCGTTTTTGGTTTCCATATCCACCTGGAGGTCAATTTCAATGGCGTGCCTGGCTCCAAATGTCGGCCCCGGATCAAACCCTGCGAATTGGTAGGGGGATTCTCCAAAAAGCGCGAATCTCCTCCAAAATGGGATCGGGACGGTTTCCCTGTAAACCTCAATTCAGGGCATATGTTTGAGGATGTGGCCTGGAACACACATACATATGACTTTAATGGACCCAGTCATTTGTCTGTAATCTGAGTTCAGCATGATTGGCCCAGAATGATTATATCTCCAGAAAACCAGAACTTCTATTTAATATAAGCATTACATTGCATGGCGGTCGTATGATCTTCTTTTTAGTAATGCCTGGCTTGTTTGGAGGATTTGGAAATTATTTTGTACCTATCTTTCAATGATCTCCAGAAGTGGTATATCCTAGAGTCAATATTTTTTCTATCATAATTCTTTTACTTTCATATCTTTTCCTAATCCTTTCTTTAATCTCAGAATTTGGAGGTGGTACAGGATGGACATTATATCCACCATTATCCACTTCTTTTATGACTTTATCACCTTCAAGTACAGGACATCTTGTATTAGGATTATTAATCTCTGGTATATCTTCATGTCTTACATCTCTTAACTTTTGGACAACAATTCTAAATCTGAGATCTTATTAAAGACTATCCCATTATGTCCTTTCCCTTTCTTGATTACAGCTTTCATGTGTTTATTAACATTACCTATCTTATCTGGTACACTTCTTTTAATGTTGGGTGATCTTCATTCTAATACACCGGTACTGATCATGAAGTAGCTTCACCCTTACGCATCAAAAAAAAGGGGTCACGGCGTTAAACAGATGTTGTAGCTTTGTAGGGGGATGAGACTGTGAATGGATCCCCAAATCTCGCTTCGCGCCAGTTGGGATGAATCCCTTCGCAGGGTGTGTGTGTGTGTGTGTGTGTTTTTTGTTTGTTTTTGTTTTTGTTTTTTTTTTTTGGGGGGGGGTGTTCGGAGCATAGGTGTCCTTTTTGGTTGATTTGGTTGAAAAATAGAGGGCGGTTCCTGCTTTACGTGGTGGTTCAATCAACTACCAGGGCCATCAATTTTGCCAAAAAGGACACCTATGGTTCGGAGGGGTTCCAACGTGGACGGGCCAGGTGCTCGCACTTTGTGCCGGAGCTGGGCGAGGCAGAGGCAAGGCCCTGCGCTGCTCGGCCAGGTGGGCTTTTGCCGGGGTGAGCCAACAGGGTAGCAGGGTTCGGCCCCTTAGTTGGCAGTGTTGGGGCCAAATTTAGCGGAGCAGTAGCATTTTTGGCCATCAACTTATCAACTTCAGATGTGGCAGTGGCAAAAAATGGGTTTGGACGACTGCCATCCTTTTGACAATGATTGGAAAAGCGGCAGACCCCAAGTCATGGGCCTTGCGCTCCATCAAAGGTCCCTTTTGGAAGCACTCGTTCATCACTGGTCTTTTTTTTTTTCTTCGATGGGCGGCGCATTTGGTTGGGTTCCTGCGTTCCTGAGTTGCGGGGCCGGCACTTAGGTCATTTACCTGCACCAGAACGCGTCCTGCAGGCTGGAGCTCTGGGTCTCAAATCGCGACGTGAAAGCATGGGCCATCGCGTGGGAAAGGAAGCTATGGCGCCCGCTGATGCTTCAGCAGATCCGAAGGCTCATCCTAAAACTGGGCGCCTCCGATGGTTTCTTGAGGGAAACCAAGAGGAAACTTGGCGGCTCCCGGCCATTTCCTTGGCTTTTCAGCTTTTTGCACCTTTCCGTGGGGATTTCTCCATTTCACCCACAAGTGAAACTTTGAGGGGATCTGAGGAAAGCCCACAGAAACTAAGCATTCGGAGTCCGATTTGATTTGGACCGGCACGCTGCTGAGGTTAGAAGCCTTGCAGCTGGTGCCTATGTTCCTGCCGCTGGGGATCTCGCTGCCGCCTGGCTGCGATAAAAATCGCCGGGCGAATTCTGGGGGCGCAGCGCCAAGGCCAAGAATTCCCAGGGCGAAGCGCCATATTTTTGTTTGAAACGCGTGTGCGTTTCAGACCGAAATTGGGGGACAGTCATCAATTTCCCTTGGTGAGACACGAGCAAATTGTTCAGGAGGGTGTCTATTGTTGCAACCACCTGGATCGTCAGTTGCTGCTGCGACTGTTTTTAGGGTAAAGTGTCTGCAAAAAGCAGCCAGAGGGCTATCTAGACATTTAGTTATAGACTCTATTTGGTCAGGGCTCCTTAAAAGATACATTTTGCCCATTTGAAACATGGCTTTTTCCACCACAATAAAGGGAAACCACCATTTACAAGGCAATGTTCAGGTGTAAGGCTCCCTGCTGGTCCATGCACTCGGGAGGTGAGTCTTGGCGCTTGGTGCCAAGGTTCTGTTTCGATTTCGCCGGCTGCGGGGAGAGCGACGGGGACTACATTTCTCTTGGGTGGCTCCTTGGATGCAAAAGTGCAGATCGCAGCACTTTTGCAGCTCTTTCCCTGGCCCCCAGCCGTCCGGCTCCTTAGCTTTTTAGGCTTTCAGGGTTTGGTGGTAGTTTCCATTCAAAACCCACTAAAAGTGAAACTTTTGGCAGAGGATCTGAGGGCAGCCCAGTTTCTTTAAGATGTGCGGGGACCCGCTGGATATCAAGACTGCCGCTCCGGTCAGATTCGAGAACATGAGCCAAAGCTCATGGGCAAAGCTCATTGAGCATGCCAGCGCAGACCAAGGTTTGAAAGAGATGATCTAGCTGATGTTGCTGCTTGGCTTAAGCAAACCACAAGAAGCAGTCGCTTGCATTTGTTCATTCGCCTGCTTTCTCCTGCGGTGGGTAAGCTTGTCACATCAGGATTCTTGGGTCCGCAGTATCTAACCCAGCCGCATGTTTGACATGACCACGCTGGAAATAGGGATTTGTTGGATTTATGGACCTGGTGGGTTGATGGGCGGTGCTTGGGCCGCCCTTTGAGTGGTTCCCTCCACCTACTGTTGATGCACGAAATCCATTTCGCACCACCTCAGAGACCCTGGTTTCGGACGATTCCCTTGTAAATACCAACAAAGAATGGTTTCAACCATGGTTTCCAAGTGGTGCGGATTATGGATTTCGCAACCACCCAAGAAACAATGGGAAACTATTTGTTTGTTGATATTTACAGGTGAATCGAATAATGCCCAAGGTTTCTTAGGTGCTGCGGTTTATGGATTTCGCAGCCATCCGCAGTATGGGCTCTCGACCAATCGCGCCCTAAGAGACTTGGAGAGACGCAGGTGGAACATCTCCGAGCCTCCGGGCGGGTGTCCTCCATCGGCCTGCGCCTGGGCGACAAGGCTTCCGGACGGTTCCCTGTAGAACCCAGCTCCGGGCATGCCAGTGTTCCTGTTTGGTCATTTGAAGCTGGTGCAAAAACAAATCATAACAAATCAGCTGCAGTAATGTGAAGGGAGCTCCAGAGTGAAATGAGCCAAACAAAAAGCTGCTTCAGTGACTGTTCAGGGCGAAATTGCAGGCCGAGATCATCAAGTTAAGTCGCTCCAAAGGGAAGCGATTGGCAGCTTGGGCTCCCCGGGAGCAAGGGATGTTCTCATAACCCCCAAAGTTTCTCCTGCTTCAGTTGGCTGGGCCCATGAGCAGTGCCAAAGAACCCTCTGTTGGCCATTGTAGGTTCTACCACCTGGTTAGGGGTGGTAGCAATCCCGATAGAAAGCATTCACAAGTTTACAAGCGTGTTCATAAAACGTCAATGGGTTTTGAGCGCTGCTCACGTGAGTTCCCTTTGGAGGTGATGTCACTCAAGACCTGCTTGGCCAGTTCCAACTGAGGTGGGGTCGGTCCATGGGCGCCGTCACTGCGTTGCTGCATGCGGACCGTGATCACTCCATCGCAGGGATGGCCCGACACTCAAACCTCCCGTGGGGTTGCTGGGGTCCCTGGAAGACCAGTGTCCTCTAAGGGCTCTCCATAGTGGTAGGGTAAAGGTGGCCACCAGTGTTGACCAGGGGTCTGGAACCCATCGAATTGAGCTTTTGTCATGGTTGCCACCAGTTTTCTTTGAAGTTCCAAAAGCCGTGCTCAGATGTCTCGTTGCTGCGTGTGTCGAAAGCACCGAAGAAGTTCCAAAAGCTTTGCCTTGATTCTGGCTGGCGGGCCTAGCTGGCAGGCTGCTTGGTTATTTGTTGATCTATTTAAGCAGTGTTTTAGGATGAGTTCGTTCCATGTCACGTCCTTCGGTTTCATGTCATTTCATGTCCTTTCATTTCAAGGCATTTCATTTCAAGGCATCTCATTTCATGGCATTTCATTTCATGTAATTCACTTTATGATATGTATATATGCCATGTCAGTTTATGGATGGGATGGGATAGGGTGCGGTGGCATGGTACGGGATTGATTTCAGTGCTTGATGTGATTTGTCTTGTATCGATCTGTTTTCATTGGTTGATTGGACGAATGGGCGGCTGGATCTGACCGCATTGCCTCCTGAAAGTACCACGGCTGCGGCAAAGCCAAGACGTCTCAGCGCTGCTGAACAAAGAAACTCCAAGAGTTGCCGGAAAGACTTGCCCTGAGTCCTGAGGTGTTGGACAGCCCATTCTGCAACTTGCGGCAGCTCGCCGGTGAACTTGCGCAAAGCGCGACTTCGCTGCAGTTTCTCTGAGCATACCTGCCTCTCACTCGCCACACCCTGGCGCCTTGCCAGTGGCATGTTTGTTTTCCAGGTGCAGCACTTCTGCTCCTTTGTCCCAGTCTTTGCCCCAAACCGCTGGCAACATTTCATCATACCCACAACAACAAGCACAATCATATGTTTTAAGTCCCGTACCAAACATTATTGATTTATGGATATCTAAACTCGCTCTCTCCACCTTTCGCACTAAAACGCATCTCCACCCCCACTAAATACATACTTGCCTTTTACTCGCCACACCCTGGCGCCTTGCCACTTTGCCCTAAAACGCCTTTTGACCCACCGCGCCTTCACTCCAGAAGGACATGGTCTCGGTTTTGGAGTTCCGGGGCGCTTTCTGAGGAGTACCTGTCAGTGAAGGTGCCCAGCTGGCTGCTTTCTGGCGCGCTGGCGCTGGGCCGCATGCGAATTAAGCTGCTCGGCGTTGGTTTCTTCTCTTTTTTTTTGGGAGGGGGTTTCCCCCGTTTTTTGTTGTTGTGCGTGTGCGTGTGTGTTTTTTTTGGTGGGTGGGGGGGGGACAGGGGGGGGGGGGGCGGTGGGGGACAGGGGTGGGGGGGGGGCCCCATGTGACGGGGCAAGCTTGGAGCCGCTTAGACAACACGCCTGACGTAGCCGGGAGCTGCAATCGGAATTGCATTGCGCCGTGCCAAGGTTGCTTTGCAACTTTGACATTGACGTGACTCAGATGCATTGGGGACCAGTGCAATTTGCAGAGAAGTGCTTGTCAGGTCATTTGGCTGGCTGAGTTTGTTCCTGGTGTCTTCTGTTTGCGCTGCCCGTTCCAACAGTTGTTTTTCTGTTTTTTGTTTTTCCGCAAACAGCAAAGCATTGGGGTTCTAACTTGAGGTATAAAGAATGGGAAAGTGTGACGCCGGTTCCGGTGTCCTGTTTTCCGCTTGTCTTCCTGTCTCCCAGTCTCTCCGGTCAGATGCCAGATGCTGTGACGCTGGCTCCGGGGTCGTGTCTCCCGCTTGTCTCCCTTTGTCTCCCAGTCTCCGCGGTCAGATGCCAGATGCTGTGACGCTGGCTCAGGGGTCGTGTCTCCCGCTTGTCTCCCTTTCTCTCCCAGTCTCCGCGGTCAGATGCCAGATGCTGTGACGCTGGCTCCGGGGTCGTGTCTCCCGCTTGTCTCCCTGTCCTGTGTTGTCTCCTGTGTCTCCCCGCGGTCAGACTCCCGCTTGTCTCCCTGTTCCCAGATGCTGGGGTCGTGTCTCCCCCTTGTCTCCCTGTGTCTCCCCCTTGTGTGGCCCATCAGCAGAGCCCTGTCGAGCCTTAAAGTACTTTTGTTCTCGATAAAAAAATTCTGACACTGATTGCTTTGCTCAGGATTCTGAGCTGCTTGTTGGAATCACCTCTTTCTCAAGTGCAGGTTTTGCATCCTTGTTTCGCATCAGCAGAGCCTTGTCGAGCCTTTAATCTGTATATTGTTCTCGATAAACAAATATACCGCGACATCTGCCTGATTGCTTTGCTCAAGATTCTGAGCTGCTTTTTGGAAGCCGGTGTGTCCATTTTGTTCTCGATACACAAATGTACCGTGACATCCGCCTGATTGCTTTGCTCAGGAAACTGAGCTGCTTTTTTGGAAGCTGGCGCATCAGCAGAGCCCTGCCGAGCCTTAAATATGTACTGTTGTTCTCGATAAACAAATACCGTGACATCTGCCTCATTGCTGTGCTCAGGCTTTTTGGAAGGTCAAGTGCAGGTTTGCATCCTTCTGGCGCATCAGCAGAGGCCTTAAATATGTACTTTTGTTCTCGATAAACAAATGCCGTGACATCCGCCTGATTGCTTTGCTCAAGAAACTGAGCTGCTTTTTGGAAGCCGGCGCATCAGCAGAGCCCCGCCAAGCCTTAAATATGTACTGTTGTTCTCGATAAACAAATACCGTGACATCTGCCTGCCTGCTTTGCTCAGGCTTTTTGGAAGCCAGTGCTGCACTTCCTGATCAAGTGCAGGTTTGCGCATCAGCAGAGGCCTTAAATATGTACTTTTGCTCTCGATAAAGAAATACCGTGGCTTTTTAGAAGCCGGCCGCACTTCTTGGTCAACTGCAGGTTTAAATGTGTGTCTGTTTTCTCGATAAACAAGTATATTGGGACATCCGGCTGATTGCTTTGCTCAGGGTACTGAGCTGGTCAAGTGCAGGCTTGCATCCTTCTGGTGCATCAGCAGAGCCCAGCCAAGTGGCCGTAGCTGACTGGTTTGCGTCCTTGTGGCGCATCAGCAGAGCCCAGCCAAGTGGCCGTAACTGACTGGTTTGCATCGGTTTGCATCCTTGTGGCGCACCAGCAGAGCCCAGCCAAGTGGCCTTAACGGCGCATCAGAGCCCAGCCAAGTGGCCGTAACTGACCCAGCAAAGATGGCACCGATGTGTCCTCTTCCCAAAAAAGGGAACTATGTGTTGCTCACATAAGCTACTCAATTTCGCACCTTGCATGAAGGAGACAAGAATTCTTTGGGTTACAAAGACCTGTCATGTTTTTTTTTGCTGTTTGGGGTCGAGGCTGGTGTAATTTAAATGTTTTAAATGTTTTTCTTACTTGCCCAGCGCGAGAGAGGGAGAGAGAACCCGAGGAGCTCTCTCCTATTGACCATGTCGGCAATACGTTCATCCCAGCATTTTTCTTGCACGGCGTGGACGATGAGTCTCGGCTTCTGAGAGCTCACAAAGCGGCGGCTGTCCCACATCACATGTGTCGTTCGAAGAACGCTGCGTGTGGGCCATGGGGATATGCAGGGATCCTTGTGAGCTTGTGATCTGAACATCCATTGGGCCAACGCTTGAGCTTCTTTTGGTCGAATGGCTTACGTGGGACCCGCATGGAAGCAAGCCAATGCTACATGCCTCCAGAGCGCATCCCTGCGTCTCCATGTGGCCGGACAAGCTGGTGGTAGTCATGCATGTGTGTGTGTGTGCGTTCTTAGTGGCCCAAGCAACTTGCAAGGGTCTTGGGCCTCAGGACTTCATCAATCCGCAGCATTCGCAGAAACTCCACGAGGCGAGCTGGGCATGTCCTTTTTCTGAGGGCACCATCTTGTTTTGATGGTGTTGAAGGGAAACCCAGAGGAACGCCTCCATTTGGTCCCCCAACAAAAAGATGTGCCATGATGTGCCCACGAGGCAAGGGTGCTGGGGCATCGAGCTTTGCAAGGGAAGTGGGACACGTCCAGTGCTTGCAATCATTTGCCCGGGGTGTCTTGAGGCTCGGGCGGCTCGGGTTGGATCTGAGCAAAAGCTTGAAGGGCCCCTGACATGAACATGGTGCCGGGCATATCTCGGCCTCGCCTTTCTGTGCTGTCCAGGCCTACACTGGCGATAAGGAGTTGGAGCCGCTTTGCGGATATTGTGCCTGGCAAGACTCCTCCCAGCGTTGAAGGCTTGGCTTTCCTCGCGCAGCCCCGCGCGCCCAGGATTGTCGCAGGGGATCACAACACGCAGCGAGACATGCACGTGACGCGCAAGTCGGCCTCTCACCTGCACTTGCCTTGGCGCATCCGAAGCAGCCAAGAACCCAATCCCTCAGCTGCCCAAAGCGAATCGACCTTTCAACCTGTTGATTTTCCGATTTGATCCATTTTTAGTCATGTCCACAAAGGGTTAACCTGTACCTTTTATTTCTGGGTCCTTTGGCCAACTGAGAATCCCAGACAGTCTATATGTTCTTCTTTTAGGCAACTTTCTTCGAAGGGCCTGTGGCCGTTGATTTTGCTTACGTAGACCGCAACCCTCTCTTGTCATTCCTTTTCGGGCCCCCGTGGTGCATTGCGTATGATTGTCCCCTCCCTGGCTGCATGTGTGGGGTTTTTGTCCTTGTATGTCTTTTTGCTGGAGTTAAAAATGGTGACTTGAATCCAGGGAAGGTTCGGGTGAATGCCAAAGCATATTGTCTCGGCCGTTCTGCTTTGGCCGCGTCGAAAAGAAGCAATTGTAGAATGCGATCCAATGCCATCTGGAACGACACTGATGACTTTGACGCAAGATAACCCACGGACCGATAAGGATGCACCTTCGTTCTCGAGGGGGAAACCAACAAATAAGCCACCCATCTTGAGTTTTTCCAGAGCTACCCAAGCTCCGCCGTTTTTCCTCCCGAGGTCTTCTTCCTCATGCAGGCCCTCCGGTGCAATATGTCGCCTTTGGGCGAGGGGAGCCTCGCATCTCTGCTAGGCTGGGCTTGTGCTTCATGGCCGTTTCTCCTGCCTTCAAAAACAAGGAGGTGTTTGGTTGCGTTTGTTTAGGCGTTACCAAAAAAGGCAGAGATCCCGTTCAAAACCTGACAAGGTGAGTCTGGGATCAACAGCCACTGCACTTTGCTTGCATGTCGCCTGCCCTGTGGCAGAGGTCCAACAGTCCCTAGTCCCACGCATTCCCCGCAGGTTTCGATGCCGGCGAAGTAGACTCCTGTGTGGATCGCAAGGCCGGGGCCAAAAGCTTTGGATGTGGGGCATGTGGGCATGTGTGCAAGCTGGAGATCCCTACAAAATGGTTGGTTTCCCTCCGGTTTTCCCTTTCGTTTCCCAAAATCTTGGTTTCCCTCAGGTTTTCCCTTTCGTTTCCCAAAATCTTGGTTTCCCTCCGGTTTTCCCTTTCGTTTCCCAAAATCTTGGTTTCCCTCCGGTTTTCCCTCCGGTTTTCCTGTTCGTTTCCCAAAATCGTGGTTTCCTCTCCGGTTTTCCCTCCGGTTTTCCTGTTCGTTTCCCAAAATCTTGGTTTCCCTCCGGTTTTCCTGTTCGTTTCCCAAAATCTTGGTTTCCCTCCGGTTTTCCCATTCGTTTCCCAAAATCTTGGTTTCCCTCAGGTTTTCCTGTTCGTTTCCCAAAATCTTGGTTTCCCTCAGGTTTTCCTGTTCGTTTCCCAAAATCTTGGTTTCCCTCCGGTTTTCCCATTCGTTTCCCAAAATCTTGGTTTCCCTCCGGTTTTCCCTTTCGTTTCCCAAAATCTTGGTTTCCCTCCGGTTTTCCCATTCGTTTCCCAAAATGTTGGTTTCCCTCCGGTTTTCCCATTCGTTTCCCAAAGTGTTGGTTTCCCTCCGGTTTTCCCATTCGTTTCCCAAAATCTTGGTTTCCCTCCGGTTTTCCCTTTCGTTTCCCAAAATGTTGGTTTCCCTCTGGTTTCCCCATACGTTTCCCAAAGTGTTGTTTCCTCCGGTTTTCCCATTCGTTTCCCAAAATCTTGGTTTCCCTCCGGTTGTTTATCATTCCCTTTGTTTCCCAAATCTTGGTTTCCTCCCGGTTTTCCCTTTCGGTTTTTCCCAAAATCTTGGTTTCCCTCCGGTTTTCCCTTTCGTTTCCCAAAATGTTGGTTTCCCTCAGGTTTTCCCATTCGTTTCCCAAAATCTTGGTTTCCCTCCGGTTTTCCCTTTCGTTTCCCAAAATCTTGGTTTCCCTCCGGTTTTCCCATTCGTTTCCCAAAATCTTGGTTTCCCTACGGTTTTCCCTTTCGTTTCCCAAAATCTTGGTTTCCCTCAGGTTTTCCCATTCGTTTCCCAAAATCTTGGTTTCCCTCAGGTTTTCCCTTTTGTTTCCCAAAATCTTGGTTTCCCTACGGTTTTCCCTTTCGTTTCCCAAAATCTTGGTTTCCCTCCGGTTTTCCCTTTCGTTTCCCAAAATCTTGGTTTCCCTCCGGTTTTCCCTTTCGTTTCCCAAAATCTTGGATTCCCTCCGGTTTTCCCTTTCGTTTCCCAAAATCTTGGTTTCCCTCAGGTTTTCCCATTCGTTTCCCAAAATCTAGGTTTCCCTCCGGTTTTCCCTTTCGTTTCCCAAAATCTTGGTTTCCCTCCGGTTTTCCATTTCGTTTCCCAAAATCTTGGTTTCCCTCCGGTTTTCCCTTTCGTTTCCCAAAATGTTGGTTTCCCTCCGGTTTTCCCATTCGTTTCCCAAAATCTTGGTTTCCCTCCGGTTTTCCCTTTCGTTTCCCAAAATCTTGGTTTCCCTCCGGTTTTCCCTTTTGTTTTTCAAAATTTTGGTTTCCCTCCGGTTTTCCCTTTCGGTTCCAAAATCTTGGTTTCCCTCCGGTTTTCCCTTTCGTTTCCCAAAATCTTGGTTTCCCGGTTTTCCCATTCGTTTCCAAAATCTTGGTTTCCCTCAGGTTTTCCCTTTCGTTTCCCAAAATCTTGGTTTCCCTCAGGTTTTCCTGTTCGTTTCCCAAAATCTTGGTTTCCCTCCGGTTTTCCCTTTCGTTTCCCAAAATCTTGGTTTCCCTCCGGTTTTCCTTTTCGTTTCCCAAAATCTTGGTTTCCCTCAGGTTTTCCCTTTCGTTTCCCAAAATCTTGGTTTCCCTCAGGTTTTCCTGTTCGTTTCCCAAAATCTTGGTTTCCCTCAGGTTTTCCATTTCGTTTCCCAAAATCTTGGTTTCCCTCCGGTTTTCCTGTTCGTTTCCCAAAATCTTGGTTTCCCTCCGGTTTTCCCTTTCGTTTCCCAAAATCGTGGTTTCTGTCCGGTTTTCCCTTTCGTTTCCCAAAATCTTGGTTTCCCTACGGTTTTCCCTTTCGTTTCCCAAAATCTTGGTTTCCCTCCGGTTTTCCCTTTCGTTTCCCAAAATCTAGGTTTCCCTCCGGTTACCCTTTTCGTTTCCCAAAATCTTGGTTTCCCTCAAGTTGTCCCTTTCGTTTCCCAAAATCTTGGTTTCCCTCAGGTTTTCCCTTTCGTTTCCCAAAATCTTGATTTCCCTCCGGTTTTCCCTTTCGTTTCCCAAAATCTTGGTTTCCCTCCGGTTTTCCCTTTCGTTTCCCAAAGTCTTGGTTTCCCTCCGGTTTTCCCTTTCGTTTCCCAAATTCGTGGTTTCTGTTCGGTTTTCCCTTTCGTTTCCTCGAATGTTGGTTTCCCCCTCAGGTTTTCCCGTTCGTTTCCCAAAATCTTGGTTTCCCTCAGGTTTTCCCTTTCGTTTCCCAAAATCTTGGTTTCCCTCAGGTTTTCCCTTTCGTTTCCCAAAATCTTGCTTTCCCTCAGGTTTTCCCTTTCGTTTCCCAAAATATTGGTTTCCCTCAGGTTTTCCCTTTCGTTTCCCAAAATCTTGGTTTCCCTCCTTTGGTTTCACCAAAATCTTGGTTTCCCTCCGGTTTTCCATTTCGTTTCACCAAAATGTGGGTACCCCCAAACAATGCGCCCAACTGCCTGTGACTGAGCACACGATTCGATTCCAGAAGCTTGTCAAAGTCAATCACCGGAGTTCCAATTCATATCGTTGATGGCAGGGTAACGTTGCAAGTGTGAGCTGCTTTTCGAGGGTTTTCCGGCGTGGCTAGGTGCTGTCTACACGGGTTCAAGCAGAGGCCTGGCAGTCGGGATGGCCGCCATGGAGTCGGTTGGACGCAGGTTCCCGTGCCAATTGGCGCCGCCAGGATCTAAATCGCCCCTGTAGGTGTCTTTCCTCAGGGCTTAGACACATGCCCAACTCTGCAAACCTTTCCGGATCTTTCCGGCTTTTCCGTCTCAGGGCGATATGGGGGCAAAGTTCACCCAAATTTTGTCCTCAAGCCACACCCCGCCAGGCAGCCAGACTTTTGGCCACCTCGAGTCCAGTGCCTTGGCTGGGAATGAGGGTTCTCAGAACCCTCCTGATGAGAGACCCTCAGAGAGTGCTCAGAGCCTTGCTGGGGCTTTGGGCTTTTGCCATCAAACCTGCGTTCAGCCCATCCAACTGTTGAATTGGTGTTGAGGGCCACCTCTGGGAACAAGCAAGCGCCAGTTTCGAGCATCACACCATATTGCCATGCAACCATGTAGTTTGCAAGATGGCAATCCTGCTGGCAATGCCCAATTTTGCCGACTCGGCCAACAAAATGAGCGCAGGGCGTGGGAGAAACCAACCTGCAAACACGGCCGACCTGCAAACACGCGCAGAACTATACACTTTCCAAAAGTCTTCGCGTGTTGGGCCAAGGCAATGCGATTCCAGACTTAACCAATCTGAGTTTATATCCACCTGCGTACGCTGTTCTGGTAGGCTGGCCGCTGCCTTTTAGCTGTTGCTTTGCAGCCTTACCTTACCTGGGTCGGCTTTGGATGGCCATCAAGCCGTAAGTGCTTGGACGCCTGTACGTTGCCTGCCCTGATATTCCCCTACAGGAGTTGAATGCTGTTTCCAGATTATGAGAGCAGGGTCGGCTTTTCCAGTGGTCGGGTTCAAGAGCAAAGGCCGGAATCACCATCGCAACAACTGCCATAAACATGCCGCATAATCACCCCTGCAATCTGAGTGACCAAACCACGAGACCTGCCCGAGGATGCTGGAGAGAGAGAGAGAGAGAGAGAGCAAGTTTTGCCCACTTTCCGCACCATCCTCCTCAATGCACCCTAAGAGTCACCAGTCGCCTATTGGTCTGCAATGGCTCCCAAACCCCAAACCGCGTGTCTCTCCAAATCGCACTGAACCAATGGCACGGGTGTCCTTTTTGGTTTCCCCTTTAAATACCTAACCCGTGGGTTGAGTTCCTCTTTCTTTTTCTGTTTTCCCCAAATTAAGGACTTGACACCACCTCCCAAAAGCGGCCCTCCACTTGGCACCTAAGAGGCCGAGAGGCCAAGACCAAAGAGGCGCCCGCCCAAAACGGGAAGCTTCCCCATTCTTTCCAGGGATCAGAATCTTTCCAGAAAACGATCTTAAAACCCCAGGGGAAACAGCTCCGGTTTTTCTGAAAAGAAGGATGGTTGAAAAGAATGGACAAGGAATGAACCCCAAGAAAAAGCGGCCCTTCTTCCACTTGAGCCACTTGCTCAAAATCCGGGTAGATGAAGTTTAGTAAGGGACGATCCCAAGCATATCTGATTACGTGGTTCTGGGTCGACCATTTTAATACCGGGTTTTGATTATGACTCACTTGGCACCTTTTCGAGGAGCGGAAGGGCATCCGCCTGCGGGAGGCGCAGCGTGTGTCGCTGTCCTGTCGCCTGGAGGGGGCCATGCAGCTGACCCGGGCGGCCCGGGGCCCTGGAAACGTCCAATGGGTCCTGGTTACTTTGTGCGAAGGGAAGCCGAAAGAATACCCTCCCTCCAACTAACGCGGAAGTGCAAAAAGCAGCAGGACCGTTGCGAAGTCATGATGGGAACCCAGCCACAGAATGGGGTTTCGCTGCATGAATGGAGGCTTAGGAAGTTAAAATACGTTGAGATGAACTGCTTACAGGCATCAAACAGTATCCCTGCATGAAAGCCTCCGAGCCATCCGAAGCTCGACGTTTTATCATATTCTGCATGCATGTGTATAATTATGTGCGTGCGTGTGTGCACGTGTGTTTTGGCTAACGTGTTGGCGCGTTGTGAATGCCTTACCTTGTGGCGTTGCTTTGCCTGCTTTGTTTGTTTAGTGTCATTGCTCTCTTTGTTTGCTTTGTGTGTTTTGTTTGCTTTGTTTTGTAGTGCTTTAGTTTGTTTTTCATTGTTTTTTTTGTGTTTGCTTTGTTGGTTTTGTTTGTAGTGTCTTGTTTGTTTTGCGTTGGTTGGTTGTGTTTTGTTTTCTTTGGCTTTGTTTTGTAGCGTTTTGTTGGCTTTGCATTGCTTTACACTGCTTTGCATTGCATTGCTTGCTTGGTTGGTTGTTTTGTTTGTTTGTATGTATGTATGTTTTGTTTGTTTGTTTGTTTGTTTGTCTGTTTGTCTGTCTGTCTGTCTGTCTGTCTGTCTGTCTGTCTGTCTGTCTGTCTGTCTGTCTGTCTGTCTGTCTGTGTGTTTGTGTGTTTGTCTGTCTATCTGTCTGCTTGCTTGCTTGCTTGCTTGGTTGCTTGCTTGTTTGTTTCTTTGTTTGTTTGTTTGTTTGCCTGATTATTTGTTCGTATGTTTGTATGCTTATTTGATATTTGTCTGCTTGCTTGTTTGGTTGCTTGCTTGATGCTTGCTTGCTTGGTTGCTTGCTTGGTTGCTTGGTTGGTTGGTTGCTTGGTTGGTTGGTTGCTTGGTTGCTTGGCTGCTTGCTTGGTTTGTGTTGCTTCTTTAGTTTTCGTTTATTTTGTGTGTTTTCTTTATTTTGTTATGCTTATTTGTCGCTTGTTTGGTGTTGGCTTATTTTGCATTTTGTTTGTTGTGGCGTTTGCCTCAGTTTGGCGTGCCCGTTTGTTGCCCTCGAGCACTGTAGGGAGAACTGTTTGTCACATTTCGTTTCTCCCCGTAGTTTTGCCGAAATGCGGGGGGGCTTCTTGGACTTGTGATGTGCGCAGCTGGAGCCTGAAGAAGCGACTCATGGTGTTGAGAACGATGGCGGCTTGAAGTTATTCATTCAATTTACACAGCTCAGACAATGTGCAAGTCCGCCTGCAGAAGACTCATCAACACTTCCCCACGGCCCGTGGCAATTTTCCACTATTTTCCTCTCACTCAAACGCCGGATCCTTCGAGCCAAGTCGTTTCTTGAGCTGAGGGGCAGGGGACAGACTTCCACTCGAAAATCGTGCAAGCTGCATGATTGCTAAGGGCTCGGAAGCGGGCTACTGCTTCGGGCTGCTGCCACAAGCCTCGGACTATGGTGGTGAGCCTTGGCAAAGGGGGGGCGAGCCTTTGGCCTTCTGCTTTGCGAGCAGGTGAGCAAGGTGGAAGGGTCAGAGTGAAGGTAAGCCCTGCCTGGCATGCCGGGAAACGTATCAAGATGCTTTTGCTTGATTGTCGCAACCACCGTGGCTTTGTCGTTCATGCTTCCGACAATGACCTAGGAGGTGGCAAGGGTCTTACGAGCACGGGGAATCCCAACAATTGCAGTCACATGAGTCATACTGCCCATTGGCAAATCGCTACCTTGGTGGTGAGAAGGGCCTCAAAGTCAAAACGTCAAAACCCAAAAGCCTTTGGTCAGCTGGATGTTTCGTAAAAGTGTGGCACCCTCACTAGTGGTACTCCGTGGTTTGCTTTTTGTTTCCCTCTCAAACAACTAGACACGGTCCCCCACCCCCACAATGTGCGCTTTTGTGACAGTGGGATTTTAAGTTTGCGGGAAAAACTGGAACAGCCCTCCCCACCTTCCACAACTCGCGGGGCTAGCGTTGGGTTTGGACGGCCAAGGCGAACCGGCCGCCCGTGGTGATCTTCGCGACCATGTCCCCGAAGGGGCTCAGCGTTGCGAAGCCGCAGGGGGGGGAAGGGGGACAGACTGACGGACCGTGGGGAGGGGGATGGAGGGGGAGGGGAGACAAATTTGTCTGGCAAAACGTCATGCTGTGTAAATTTGGCAACAGACTTGATGTAATTACCCCAAGTAATGTTCTGGCAAACAGGCGTTTCGCTAATATCAATGACTCCGGGTATACTGTGTCTGATTGGCTTTCATAGCGACTCATGCTATCTTTTTCTTTTTGGGGGGGTGGCGGGGGGTCTGATGATCTCACGGAATGTCACTTTTTCGGGAAGGGCCAGGCTTGTCAGCAAGGGCATCTTAAGATGGCTTCTTGGTGGGACAATCATACCCCCGACCATGCAGACCTACGGGGTGGGGGTGCTTGGCCCTGCAGCCGGCTAAGGTCACGCAGGCCGTGGAGGGCCGACCCTTGAAAGTGCTGGGGCAGATGGACAGGGCGCGGCTCGGTCTGTGCGAGATTGCAAGGCACCATGAGGTGTCACCGGGCGGCTGGCTGAAGCCGGGCCAATGCATAAGGTACACTTCTCATGTTATAGCATAGACCGTGCTGATCCGGCAGCGTGCGGAGCGTCCATATGGCGCGTGCTGAGGATCGAGGTAGGCATGCCGGTGCTTTTGGTGGCCGAGTTGACTGCTACTTGCCTGAAGTGGCTGCCACCTCCTGTGAGGCTTGAAGAGGGCTGTTGGAAAAGCGTATGCCAGGGAAGCTGTTGGAAAGTTGGTGGTTTAAGAAGCAAAGTGGCTCCAACCATGACATCGGCAATTGAGGACAACTCCAACCACGACAGCTTCTTCGCACCTCCGCAGCCGACGACCTTGCGCCTGTCCCTAGGTGATGGAGGTGCAGAGATCCTAACTTGCATTCAGGTTCCTACACCACACCAAGTCGGGAACCAGCTGCTGTTTTGGGGTGTGTTCCTTTTCTTGCACCATTTTGACGCTTGCAGTGAACAGGCCAACGTTAGGATTTTTTGCCGATGAAAGCATGCGTTAGCATACATTTTGTGGCAAGTGACTGACCAAACTTCAACTGAGGATCAACCTAGCGCTGAGCGAGGAGTACAAGAAAGACGGGCAGCTTTGCTGCTGAGGGTATTCTCGAAACAATCAATCCGCACATCGACCTCAAACTGTGCATGTTTGGAGGAATCCCATTTTTGGGGAACCAAACTTTTGGATTCCGCGTAGTAGTTCCCATGCTTTTCGCAGTCGCTTGCCTTTCACTTCACCCGCTCGCAGGGGCCTCGCTTGAGGTCTCCTTCTGGGGCCTTTCAGCTTGCCCCTTGTAGTCAGCAGGTGGTTTGGGGTCCTTTTGTAGGCTTCCACCTGGGTTTTCTTCCCTTTGTTGGAGGGTTTCCCTTTCAAATCTGCCAAAAAAACCTCGTTCTTCCGCCGGGGGCGGGGGGCGTCAGGAGCAAAGAGGCGTGGTTTGGGGTTAGGATTTGTTGGGGGCACCCTTCTACTTGCCCACCCAGCTGAGGTTCTGCTGGCCTGTGATCATGGGAGGGGATGCTGAAATCTTCGACGTTGACAGCAAGGCCCGGGGCCCATCGCTTCGCCCACGTTCCTCTGGTGGCGTTGAGGTCTTCTGGGTGCGCGATGGTCAGCTCATGGTGGCTCAGGTGGTACCACTGAGAGAGAAGCATGAGCACGAAACGACGGCCAGAACGAGCCCGCTGTCACATGGGTGGGAACGAGCAGCCAGAACATCGACTGAAGTTGGCCTAGCCTTGACTGCTGTTGGGTTGGATCTTTAGCCTTTAACATTTTTGGAAATCAAGGGGTTTTCCACTAAACCCACAAAAAGTTAAACTTGTGCAGAGGGTCAACAGAAACCACGAAGCTGCTTTTGCCAACCGCCTGCCCCCACCTTGAGTATCTCAACACCTGCCCTGTGAGGACCTCATGGGCCGGCAGGCATCTTCCGAGGCTCCGGGGATTCGGGGAACCCGACCTCGTGCATGTGATTTGGCGGTGACTGGCCTTTGCACTTGTTCCGTGATTTCCCATGGGCAAACCTCATGAGCATCCATGGCCCCCCCCCGATTACTTCTAATGGGCTTCAGGCATTTCAGGCTGCGAGGAGGGTTTAGAGATTTGGGTCGCCGCTGCGATGACCCTGGATTCTTGGCAGCGTTTCAAGCAGCAGGCGATTGTGTTCGGCCTGTGCTGCACTTTCCGGCCCGAGGGCAGGGATGGTACAACCATGTTGCCCCCGCCCCCCCCCCCTTCGGGACCAAGATGCCTTGCCTTCGACTCTTTGCAACCATTGTAGGGGGTATACAACATTCACCCAAAGCATGATTGCAATCCAGAATTTGGGGTGTGTCCTTACCCAATTCTGGTTTCAAAAGGGAAACCATCGAATGGACATCATCTTGGGGGGGTGCCCCGATGGTTAGGCAGGGCTCCTTAAAAGATACATTTTGCCAATTTGAAACATGGTTTTTTTCACCAAAATAAAGGGAACCACCATTTACAAGGCAATGTTCAGGTGTATAATGTAAGGATCCCTGAATCATGGGAGGGGTTCATTAATCCTGTTCTCCCTGTTCTCCCTGTTCTCCCTGTTAGGGGTCATTCCATTTCCCATCCGCTGGACCACAGAAAAAGAAAAAGGCGAGCCCATTCGCTTGCGGCTTCCCGTCTCCAGGCTGCCGGCCAGGCCTGCGCCGGCTTCGCGGGTCTGGGGTTGCAGGTGCACCTAAGCAATGTAGATCTGTAGCTATATCTTTACTGCATACATCTGTAGCTATATGAACATCTCATACACGTATCACATATGAGTACACAAACACAGACACACACACATATATATATATATATATACACACATATGTATATGTATATTTGCCTGGGCAAAGTTGACTGTTGGCAAAAAAACACAATGCCGAACAGATGCCCCGTTTCAGCTCTCAATTTTGCTGCCTGGCTTGCAGCAGGCCCATGGCACATTCCTTGGCCATGGGTCAAAAGCCCGTACCCCCAGTAAACATCCAAATCCCCCACTAGCATAGACTAAAAAGGGTGGTGAATTCACCTACCTCAACAATGGGATCCCATTGGGAACACCCACAGCCTCCTTGGCCTTCCCGCCTTCCGTGCGCAGGGCCGGCGGAGGCGCAAGAGCCAACTCAGCAACGGCTCGGATCGCTCCGAGACCCGTGCGGCCGGGGCACCTAGGCATGGTCTGGCACATATGGGTGTGAGTCAGAATTGAACCACCAGGAATTGGACCGCAGGTTTTAGTCGATGTTTCCATTTTCCAGTTGTTGTTTTTTTTTGGGGGGGGGGTACCTATTTTTGACCCATAACCATATCTTCCAGGGGCTCACCTGCAAGGAGGTGAGCGACTGGTGGCCAGGGTGAGCATGAGCCTGGTGGAGCAATCCCCATGGCCTTTGTTTTTGAGTGTTTGCCACGGCCACAGGTCTTGGTTTTAAGGCCTCAGCGCTCTTTTTTGGTTGAACAGAGGAGGCCTGACGCCCAACCTGTGAAGGAAGAACGTCACTAGATCGGTGTTTGGATGGTTCCCTATCGCTGTTGATTTGCGGCATCGGTTTTTTCTGGCAAGCTCATCAAAGTTACCCAAGCACATGAAAGCTGTTTTTAGGTTCCAAATGTATCCAGCTATGCAAAGTACAACAAATCCGTGGAGCTTAACCCCTATTTCTAGCAGAACCATTCGGCCCACGTAGGTTCTATCAAGGAAATGTTTGGGCTCAGGCGATTTCACAGACGGAGATTCCTCGAATCCCCAGCGTTCTCAGATGAATGATCACAGTTTACCTTGCGATGGCCAGATCGTCAAGCAGATCCCGTCGTCCGCAACACCCTGTTTCCATAGGTGTCCTTTTTGGTTGTTCTAGTCGAAAAATAGATGGCTATTCCTGGTTTACCTGGTGGTTTAATCAACCAGGGAAATCCATCTATTTCCCCTAGAAGGACGCCTGTGCCTGTTTCCTTTTGGCGCCCTTCCGCTTGACAGACGCTTCCAAGACGTGGTTTGGTCCCGTTTGCGTTTGCAACACGGCTCTTGGTACTGACGGGCAGGACCTGTTTCGCAGCGATTTGTCGCATATGGGGTTGTCTTTTCCACTTTTTGGGTGGTTCCAAAGTATAAAGCTCAAAGGACCCCCCACCAATTTTTTTTTGGGGGGGGTGTTTCCTGAAAGAAAGAAGAAAAAGAAAACACGCCGACCCCCCGCAGTTTTTTCGGTTGAGCCTCTCCCCTTTCCCTGGCTTCATCTCCTCATCCCAGTGCGATCGATCGAGGTGCCCAGCCCGCCGCCTGAGCCGGCGCCCAGCCACGAGGTGACCAGCTGCTGCCGGCAGTCCTAAGCTTCAGACGGCCGGCGCGTGCGCGCAGGGGGCGCCCGAAGATGCCCGGAGGTATCGAAATGTACGAGGTAAGACCTGGTATTTCTAGGGGTTGGCTTCCTCATTTTTTTTTGAGCCAAGCTTCTTTTCGAAATCCGGCCGTTTTCCCGGGGGTTCCCGGAGGTTTTCTAGAAAGAAGGATGCCTGGAAAGAATGTGGAAGGTACCCCTAGATGAATGCCCAATGCATGACAGAAAATGGGTTGGGTGAGAGCTATGGAAAGGTAGGGTGTGGAAATACCTGTTGATGCCCACTCCATTGAGCTGAGTGAAGCTGTCGATCGGGTTCTTTTTGGGGATTGGCCATGGCCAGAAGGGGTTTTCATGGGACGTTCGGCAAACTGCTGGTTTGGCCAGGCCTGGGGTGGTCAGCTGGAATCAAGTAGAAGGGCTGGCTCAATGGCGAACCGTGTGCACGGGATCTGAAGCAAGGGTTGTTGAAAGGCATGCAAGGAACGGTTTTGACTCTGACTGCAACCCTGGATGCTCCCGTTCTCCGCAAAAGTAGGGATTCTGGATTGGGACTCGGCCAGGCCTCGATTTTCAGCAGCCCAGTAAAGGAACGGGCCACGCCTCTTGGATCGATCCTGGCGCAGTAGGCGCCCAAGTTTCACGCGATGCATGACGTGGCTGGCACAATGCTCAGCCGGGTGCGGGGAGTTGGTGGGCACTTCTTGGCCCGCAGGCAAGTCCCAAGGGCCAGGCGCGCCAATTCCGGAGCTCGAAGTCTACTGGACTCATAAAATTCTCGCGCCCTCGGGAAAGCTAAGAGGAGCTTCGGGACGCAAACGCCCAAGTGCCTTCGCTCGCCCGAGCCGAGCGAGCTGGCCGCGGCTTGGTGCGAGGCTCGAAGTGACTTTGGGGCAGAGGACCCCGGCAATTCAGCAGCGCGTGCCTCTCATGCGAAAGTGCAAAAATGGCCATGGCTGGTTTTGCACCCACCCGACATGTGCATTTTGGTTGCGCGAGCATTCTACTCCTGTCTGCGGACCCTAGGCAATAGTCAACCGGTGGTTTCCCTTGATTTCCCATTGCCTGCAAGCGGGCTTTCAAATCAAGCATCTGCATGTAGATTCCCGTCTTACACAGAGAAATTGTCTGGGAAGGTCTTTGCCTCTCGAGGCCCTTCCGATCTTGAGACGGGCTTCAGAGTCCGTACTTTTGGGTGTGTTGTTGTCTGGGGCCCGTTTTTTTGGAGTGGTTCGAAGGGAAGAATTTCGGACCCATTTTGGGGTCCCCCAAGTTGGAAGAAAAGCCCGCAAACCCCTGGCACAACCCCCTACTTCATGGTTGTGCCCCAAGTTCGGGGGTCCAAATCATGGTTAGCACCCTGAAGAACCTGGGGTGCGAACAGGGCCGGTCATCCACATCGTACTGAGATCCAATCCGAAAACCTCCTACTCAGGACACCTTGATTGAAGACAAAATCACTCCAGTTGGCCCTCCCGAGCGACCCAAGCGGCCAAATTCCACGGGCCTGGCTTATCACCTGAATTGCACCAACTGGCACGGAACTGCAAAAGGCCCTTTCCAAGGGGAAAGTCGTCTTTCTACAGGGGTCTGCGCACTTCCATGTTAGCTGGTGGGAGGGTATCAACCCCTGGTATCAACCTCTGGTATCGACCCACGGCAGGGCCCCGCTTGACGCAAATTTCGGGATTTGAGCCCCTGGTTCGGCGCGGGCGCGTAGACCCAGATCACTTTTTTGTGCCCTAGGAGAAAAAACGGCCCTAGGAAAACCATCTCACCACCTCTGCCGTGTGTCTCCGTGTTTTTTTTTTGGGGGGGGGGCCGGTCTCTGTGTGTGTGTTTTTTGGGTGCCCACTGGTGCCGATTTGTTCGAAGTGACGGGAACGCGACAGCCGGAGGTGGAGGTCCTGGAGCTGGAGTTGCTGGACTTCCGGCCGGCTTTCCCGGGCTCAGGAAAAAACGACCCATTCGGCTGAAAACGAAAGAGGTTTCTTGGTGGCGCCTTTTAGATGTTTAGCCTTTAGGGTGTTTCACAGAGACGACCGACAGCCAAGCAGATCTTCTTCTTTTCTTGGGGGGGGGGGTTATCCCCAAAAAACGGGGCCAGTCTGCGTATATCAACCCTTGGTTGAATCAGACAGGTGTTCTGTGCTTTGTTTGCCAAAGACGGCCAATCCTGATGGTTCTTAGGAAACGTGATATATCCTTAGTTGGCGCTTTGGCTTGGTGGTTTGGATTTGGATTTGAAGCCCTCACTTTTGTAGAGGGTACATGGAGTTTACCCCTCCGCCCCTCCGTTTCACCACCAAACCTCCAATCCAACCAAGGTAGAGGGAAGCTGACTATAGTTGTAGTTGCGCCTTTAAAGGGACAATGATGGTCAACGGGTGACCAGCAAACTCTCTTGCCCCTTGGCTGTGACACAGCGCTGAGGCCGCCCGACTTCACTTTGCGCGTGCGGTGCGGTGGTGGTCTCTATGCCCGAGGCCACAGCAAAACTTCGGGCCCTTTTGGACCGACTGTTGCGTGGGTTTACTTGTTTTTCGTTTGGAGGGGGGAGAGTCAATATGTTTTTGTTTTTGTTTTTTTTTTTTTTTTTGGGGGGGGGGGGTTATTTTAGCGTTCGTTCTTGGCAAACGTTCGAGGGGTCAAAGGGTTTTGGCCTTTTCGCCCTTTTGACTTGTTCTGGGCAGGCAATGGTACGGAGCAATGCTATGTTAGACAGTATAAGCCCTGGCCAAACCAGCCAGGGCGGTTCAAATCCACCACCGGTGACAGCCTTCTAGCCGCCCCATGGAATCCTCCAATCGTTTGTTGGCCTTTTCGCACTTTTCTTGCTGGGTGCCCAGCAGGGAATGAGCAATGGAGTGACCCTTATAAACCATCCCCGTACGGTTTCCTAGGGGACCAACGCCTGGTTTCATTCCATTCCACATTCCCCATCGCACCTATCGCACCTCTCGCAAGCTTGTGACTTGTCACATTGTTTGGGGTCGTCTTAAAGCCAAAGTGTCTTGGGGTCGTCCTAAGACTTGGGGCCGGTGTCTTAAAACAAACTTGGGGCCGTTTTTTTTTTGGTTCATGTGCCAAGTCTTACCTGGCGACCGCCTTCGCACACCTAGCCCACCTGGCGCGCTCGGTTTCGGTCGCTCGGCTTCGCGGAGCCGAGGTGAGGACCTTGGGCCGGGACTTGGCAGAGGCCGCCGGGAGCCCAGGCACCGCGGGGCACCGCGAGGCACCGGCACCGCGAGGCGGAAAGAAGCTGGGAGAAGCCCGGGGAGGTGGTGCCAGGCATTTTTTTTTCACCTGAGTTCCGTTGCAGGGACTCGAGTGAGCCACTTTTTGAAAATGACCGCGTCTGAGTGGTAAATAAAAGAAGTTTAGGGACTTTTGTTGGACGAATCCACTCCGGATGTGAGGAATTGTGGTTCTTTCTGTTTTGACTTGTCGATGTCTCTTTTCAATGTTTGGTTGCCCTTTGCTCTGAATTGGGATGATCAGGGGTGCCCTTTTTTGGGGATGTTTCCGGACTTTCCCCCACCGGTTTCTATTTAATCAGGGCACTTCTACTTTGGGTAAAGGGACCTTGGTTTTTCCTTTCAGCCGTTTGCCGTCCGGATGCCATGCACCAAAAGCAACGGTCTCAGGTGGGGACCGTTGGCCACGTGGCGTTGCAGCCTCAGATTTCTCAGGCTCTGAACCCTCCTGCGCGGGTGGTTGCCATTTGGCTTTGTACGAGTCCCCATGGCTTTCCAGGGTTTTAATTGCTTTCCAAGTCCGACCCCAAGGAGTTCCCATGGCTGTTCAAGGTTTTTGCTTCTTGAACAACCCCCCAAGCAGCAGCCTCAACAGACACACGCCGCTTGTTTTTTTCGGCGGAAAACTCCCCGCGCGTCGATCCCCAAATTTCGTCCGGCTGAAGCACCTGAAGGTCGCTGCGGCGCAGCGCGGTGGGCGACTTCCGCGAGGTCGCGAAGTGGCCTTTCCGAGAAAGAAAATGATGGTGGCCGCCCAACAACTCGCTGCCTGAGCTCCTGGACTTTTGAACCGTTTTGCAGTTTTGACCAGTTTAATGTTGTAAATGAGACGCCTGGACTTGTTTGGGTTAAGTTACTCAGGAAGCTTGCCTGGGTCAAATGGCTCCGGCGCGGCCAGTTTGGCCGAAGGTCCTTGTGTCAGCTTCCAATTCAGCCTGTCAGCCACGGAGGTGAACGTGCAAAGGTGATTTTGACAAATGTAAGACAGCCACCAGACCAGACTCCATCATGTGAAGAGACAGGGAGCTCACAAGTTGTCGGGGAGTTGTTGCATTGCGCGAGCTGCCACCCGATTTCCATGTTGGGAAAGAAGTTACGCCGTTGGGGGAAAGAGAGACCCTTTTTCATTTTCCCACGAACTGATCATATGCAGGGCACAGACGGATCCCAATGGATCAGATACTTGTTAAAAAATGAGACCTGATAGCCTCATAATCCTTGTGTGAAGAGTAAACATTTAAACGCTTAGAAGATCTTCTGTGTTTCATGGGACATGGTTCATGGGACATGGTTTCTTGCCCGCCGTAAATTCCGGCGCACTGATGCTCCCACAAGCCTCGGCAGGCCTCGCATGGCCGCGCGTTCGATGATGCAAGTTCAACGCCTCCCAAACGAAATGCCCAACTACATCTCCAATGCGGGAGATGCAGCCAAACCTTCTGGCGCAACCAAGGCGTACGCGTGACGTTTGCAGGGAAGACGCCCAAGACCAGGCAGCAAAATTGCAACTTGGAGTGCGCAAAAGGGTTTTGTACAGCGAGCATTATCGTGCGGCTCCGCCCGACCAGTAGCGTGGATGTACAAACATGAGCGGAAAACAACACCCGGAGTCGGCAGATGGCAGTTAATTGTCTTTGGGCGGCGGGGGAGCTTCTGTTGGAAGCTGACGTCCAACAAAAAAACGGCGCCAGGCAACGAAGGCAGCACCACAACTTGGTTTGACCCAGGCCAAGCCAACAAGGTGTGAGCCTCGCAGCTGGGCAGAGAAGAAGATAGAAGCTAGGCCAAACGAAGGGGATCCATGGTGTTGTGCTGCGCTCGAAAGTCAGTGAAGGTGTGCAGATGTTTGGACTCACAGTCCTTGCCAGCCTAAGAGGTGTAAGTTTGGGCGCCTGTTGGGAAGGCTTTCTTTGCCGAAGTCGCCGCTATTCCAAGATTGGCTTGGTCTGGGGCTTGCGAGTCTGCGAGTGCAGGCAGACTGCCTGAGCCTGGAGCAAGCGCAGATGCCGGAGAAGATCGCCACCAGGCCGGGGGCGAGAAGAAGACCTGGAGGGATAGGGACCTTGGCTTGTTTTGAGCTCCTGGTAGCCACCCATGCTGAGCAGTGGGATTGAACAACTTCGGGCTCTTTTGAGGTAGCTAGGCACACAGACGGTGGCGTTGCGGCCACGCGGAAAGGGAGAAAGGGAAAAACGAAAACGAACACCTGAGGAGCATCCGTTGCTTCCAAATGAAAAATGGCCCTATGGCTCGCTCCCCGTGCTGCGCATCCTGGTCGCCTGGCCTGCGTGCACGTTGAAATTGTTGACACCCTGGCCAGAAAAGGAAGGGAAGCAACACATGCCTGTGTACATGCCAGCTATACAAGCCACAAGCCATGAATCGGAAGGAGACAGGCGGATGCCGATGACCGGAACACCAAGCCATATGTTGTCTCAAGGTTTTTCACAAAGGAGCAGGGAGGGAGCTGGATCGATGCGATTCTCTGGCAGAATCTTCGGGCGATGTGGATGTGCACAAGTGAAACTGCATAGGTTTATACTCTTACCCTTCCAAGGGTATAAACAAACAAACAGACAAACAGACAGACACGCAAACAAGCAAGCAACCAAGCCAGCCAGCCAGCCAGCCAGCCAGCCGGACCGGTTGCAAAGAAGCCTTGCAACCGGAGCCTTCCCAATGGCCACTTGAATCATGGCCGTGGTTCTGCTTGGGTTGCCAGATGGCTGTGGTCTCACAAAAGTGAATGCCCCAAAATGCCACCAAGAGGTGTATGGAAACAAAGACTCAGACCTGCGCTTGGCCCTAGCTCTTAGCTTCAGCCATATCCACAGGTCATTTTTTGGTCATTGAAGTGTTCCCAGTGTTTTTGTCACGCTCCCACAAAGCATCGCGGGCCTTCCAGACCTTCCAAAGCAAATGGGAAGCCCCTTGGGTCAAAGCCAACGCCTTACGCACTGGAAGGTTGCTTGACTGCTGTTGGGTGGGATCTTTAGACTTTAACTTTTCGGGAGATCAAGGGGTCTTCCACTGAACCCACAAAAAGTCCAACGTTTTGCAGAGGGGTCAACAGAAACCAAGGTTTTTTTCGGCCAAGTAGCTCCCCTCAACTGGACAATCCTTCCACCAGAACTATGATGGTGCCCTGAGCTTGATCCGAGCCACGGCTCGCCAGGCTCAGGCGATGCAAGGTGAAGCGCCCCAGGTTTGTGCCTCGGGTCAGAGGGGTGAGTGACGTGGGCAACTGTCTGTGGGATTGCTGTCAGGTTTCTTGTTCGTTGCAATGGCTCGTGACACCGGTTTGCTACTGGGCCGGCTTGGATAACCCCATAAATGTTTGTGTGTGTGTGTGTGAAGCGACCTGGTTCGACACGGGCTGTCAGGAGACGCGCCAGGAGCGCTGAGCGCGGAGTGGCAAAACGGAGCTGGGGCTGAGCTGGGGATGGGTCTGTTGGCACATGTTGGCACCTGGACTCAAAGCTTGAGGCAGTCGACTCGGGGTCAAACTCACCCTTTTTCACTCTGGGAGGTTGTGGATGGCACTTTAGTAGGATGAAGCCTGCGCTTGGGTCTTGGGAGTCGAGTCTGGGAGTGCTTTGCTGCGTGAATTCGCGCACTTGCCAGTGTCTTTAGGATCCATGAAGCGATTTCAAGGCCAAGACTGGAGCTTGGGGGGTTGGCAGCTCTGCGAAGAGAATAGCGATTTCCGCCAGCTTTTGGCCAGGAGTACGCCATCCAGAGCCTCCGAATGTTGCAACGGGTTTCGTGGTTCGATGGTTTGCTCCCACCTGCTTCCTTGATGGGGTGCAGTTTTTGTTTTACTATTTTTTCGTTTCGGGTTTTGGCCGTGTGAAAACCGCGCACCTTCACGGGCCCCGTGGAGGTCGCGTCTCGCGCTTCGCGCTTCGGCGCCATGTCCCATGCCTCCCATGCCTCCCATGCATCCCATGCGAACCAGGGCTCCGTCGCGGAGATGGCGCTGATGCCGCAGCTGCCGGAGCCGGCGGCACGGCTGCTGGCGCCACAGCCCTCCAACTGGAACATCTTGAAGACAATGCTCAAGAAGCACATCTACGTGGCCCGGAAGAGGACGCTGGTTGCAAGCTTTGTTGGATTCAACTAGACCCTGGTTCCCTTAGGGAAGCCAAATGGAGGGTGGTTGAAACAAATCGTGATGTAAACATGTTGAAGCGTGTGATCCGATGTTGAAGGTAGAGATTGGGGGGGCCAGAGGGTAGGACAACACTTTTTGTTTCTTCTTTTTCTCCAGCCTGGATCTGGGGGGGTTCTAGCAGGCCTTTGCACTCTTATGATTAGGGGCGCTGATGTGTCCTTGGTGCTTTACGAGGCGAATGTTGGCAAGCCAGTAGCCTGGAAGAAAGCCGCGTTGGTTCCGACAAGCGAACCCGCACCTCAACAAGTTGGGGCGCAGTCTCCTGTTTGCACAGCATAAGTTGGCCTTTGAACCGCGCCTCCGGAAATGGCATGCGGAGGAATCAAGGCCTGAAATCCGCAGTTGTTTGCCCCTTTTAGCCCTATAGGGTTGTCATTTGTCTCCAGGAACTTGACAAACGTGCGACTTTGAAGAAGTCTGGTTGAGAAAGAGTGGCTCCGTGAAACAGTAACGGAAGCCCGGAGGAGACGTCTTCTCACAAGTGTGTGGCCAGCCGCCCTGTACTGCGTGATCAGCGTTATTCTGTACCACGTCTTCGACTCCCTGGATGTGGGCGTCGTACGCGCCTTGCTCTTGGCGCTCATCATCCCTTTCTACTTGGTGTTGGCAGTCATGGGCGCTTTGCAATGCGCCATTGTGGAAATTGTGACTGAGAAGGAATCGAAGATGAAGATCACTCAGGAGATCTATGGCTTGACTGCCTTCATGTACTGGCTCTCTTGGGGGGCATATTTCTTTTTGGTTGCACTGATCTGCATGGTGGTGATCTATGCCATGTTGACCTTGGCAGCACCTGTGGTGGCAAAGTCTTCGCCGTTGCTGGTCCTGATCTTGCTGGGGGCATCCTACGTGCAGCAACTGGAGTTCGCGGCAATCATATCCATTTTCTTCAACAAGGTGCGAAACCAATTTGCCGGGTCCGAACGAATCGCGGGTGTCAGCCACAGGTCAGTCATGTGTGTAGCATCCCAGAACCGATTTAAGTTAGCACCGAACTACGTAGATCCTTTACTCCTGGGCCAAGCGTGCTCCTAATTTCGGACCTGCGGGATAGCATGAGAGAGAGAGAGAGATCCTTCCATCCAAGACTCGGCGATCCCCGAAAGCTGAACATGGCATAGAAGGCCTCTTGGAAGAGATCTCTTTCTGGGCGTGTGGTGGGATTCATCTAACTGACCTTTTGATCTATCCCTAGTTCTGGCCCCACTGGAAATTGTCCCAGGGTGTCTGTTTCGGGTCGTCAACCCTCTGGCTTTGCTGGTCATGTCGTGTAGGGTCTTCCCACCATCGGGGGTGCAGAGGCCCAGTAGTGAGACAGGGGTCCCTGTATTTCCCTTTTTGGTGGCTTTAAACCTCACCGACGGTTTTTTGGCCAATTGAAGGTGAGCTTCCCTTGATACAGGTGATGTTTTGAGGGGACGGTTTTTGGAGCCCTGTGAGATGACCCGTTTCCCTAGAGACTGTTCTCCAGAAAAAAAAATCGGCGACTGGAGAGCTCCGGCATTTTTTGGTCCGAATTCATGCACGGGCTTGGTTTTCTGGCCCCCGGCCTGTCCAGTTCCTCGGCTTTTTTTTGGCTTTTAGGATGCAGTGGTAGTTGCCACTTCACCCACTAAACTTTTAGGGTTTGGTGGTAATTAGTTTCCACGAAGCCCCACCAAAATTGTGAGTCGCTTTTTCGCCGGGGATCCGAAAGCGGGCGCCGCCGGGCCGTCGGGCGATCCGCCGCCCGCTTTTTCAGGTGCAGACCGCCTCCGCCCTGGCCAGCGCCCTGACCATCGCTTTGATCTTCCTGGGCGAGGGCATGCAGGGCTGGCTCCGCGACGAGCCCCGGATCTGGTGGTACCTGGGCAGCTTGCTGCCCAGCGTGCCGCCCGGTCGCAACACCACTACGGCGAGAGAAACTTTCTTGTGTGTTTGTTGTTTGTTTTCTCCGGGTGCGAGCCTTCGACGCCCCGTCCCGTTTCGGGATTTGGAACCCTGCGAGGAAAAATTGGAAGATGATTCATCTTCGGTTTCAACTTCCGGTTTCCTACACCGCTTTTGAAGCTGCTTTTCTTTCGGCTAAGAAAAGAACAAACATAAAAAAGAAAGAAAGGAGTGGGTTTATGCTTCTTCTTCGGCTTCTTTTCTAATCCTTTCAGCTTCCACTAGCTTTCAAGCTGTTTTTTTGGGGTGAAATGGCAGCGGTCTGGGCGTCTCCGGGCAGTTGGCTTGCGGAGGAACCTCTTCAACGGCTTCGCGGCGCTGATGTTCAGCGAGGCCTTGTACTACTGCGATGCCCAGGGCTGCTACCAGGGGATGACCTTGAAGACTCCTGCCAAATGGGTGTGGCTCAAAATTAACCGGGAGGGGCAAACCGCAGGTTTTGGTCCGTGTTTCCACTTACCAGGGTTCCACTCCCGGTTTTTATAGCCACAGCCAAATAGCGAATCTATTTTCGAGTCATTTTTCCAAAGTTTGGCACAAAGAAGGAATGGATTGGTTTGTATTTTTTGCACTATGTTTTTCCCAAAAAGGTGTTGTCATACTGTGGATGGCTGCGAAATCCACAAGCTGCACCACCTAAGAAACCCTGGAAGGATGATTGCCCTGTAAATACCAACGAACGTTATGGTTTCAACCGTGGTTTCCAAGTGGTGCAATATTTTGTCCATCCACAGTATTTCGAGTTGTCATGTTACCCAAAGTTTGGCACCAAGAAGGAAGGGATTGGTTTGTACAAGATCTATTGTTTTTCCTTGTGTGTGTGTGTGTGTTTTTTCTCCCTAGATTTTCCCGAAAGCGTGTTGTCATACTGTGGATGGTCGCGAAATCCACAAGCTGCACCACCTAAGAAACCCTGGAAGGATGATTGCCCTGTAAATGCCAACAAACGTTATGGTTTCAACGTGGTTTCCAAGTGGTGCAAGATTTGTCCATCCACAGTATGGCTGTGGCTCAGAACAAAAGAGCTAGGGCGAACCGCAGGCGTTAGTCTTTGGTTCCATTTGCCAAGGTGCCATTTTGGTAACACTTTTTTGAGCCACAGCCATAGGTTTTTGTGTTGTCATGTTCCCAAAACGGCACCAAGAACGAATGGATTGGTTTGTGCAAGATCTAGGTTTTGTTTTTGTGTTTCTTGTTTGTTTTGCCAACTTGCAATGTTCGGAAACAAGCGGTGGAATGAATCGGCTTGTGCAAAATCATATTTTTCACATTTTCAGTTTGTAATTTTCCCAAGGGAAAACAGGAGAATGGATTGCTTGATGCAACAATTCTACACACCGATTTGGCACCCAGGACTTTGTGGGTGAGCGAGTTCTGTGTGACGCCCTATCGCCCTGGCAGCGCCGATTGCGCTACCAAGTTCCCAGTGTTTTCGGCCGGGGAGTCATTGGTCATGATCTTGGTGGCTTGGTTCCCAGCCATACGCTTCCTTAGACTTTTCGACTTGTTGTTGCAAATCCATGCAACCCAAAAACGTTGCTGGCATTTTTTGCTGTTAAACATAGATATAATATAAACAAACGCATTGGGTTTTCACAAGGTAAATCAAAGAAACCACGCTTTAAGCCAGGAGTCATCGAACCAAGGTGGACATCTGTCTCTACGCCTTCGTGGCTTGGTGGCTGGAGCAGGCCGGGAATTCGGCTTTTGCCGGGCCAAACAAATGAGGTGTGGCTTGAACTGTGGACCCAACCAAAGGCTCTCTTGCAAAAGGGCGGGGGTTCCTCCCAAAACTATTTTTTTATTTGGTGTGTGCATTGTGTGTGTGTGTGTGTATTTTTGGGTGACGTCTTGCACTAAGGAAAGCCTCAGTTTCTTTTTTGCAACTTGGGTTCAAACCTCAACGGGCTCCAAGCCTCACACCCGCGGGTCTCGGGAATCACTGTGTCCGGGGCGCATAGTTGATTGCCTGGGTCTTTAAGGGAATGGTTGGAGGGCTCATCTCCATGTCGTACCGTCTGAGGTTTGTTTTGGACATCTTATTTGTGGATTCCCAGATTTTCAGGGTGCCAAATGAGTGCTCACAGAGTGCAAGAGGTGCGGCATTTCCCAGATTGTTGGCAGCAAGCAAGATACTGCCACTGCTTCTCCGCTCATTCGCCAAAAGTGCAGCATCTTTTTTCAGGAACCCATTCCCAACAAGACTCACCTGCAAAACGTGTATCACTTTTTGCCAGGGATTCGGGCAGTACCAACCCAGAGACAAGAAGCAAGAAGCACGTGGTTGTGGGAACTTATATTTTTAGGGCCGCTTCCTGTGATGCCTGGAGGAATCCCCTCCAAGGTAATGGAGTCATGGAGGCGGGGATCCCATTGTTCACATACGACAGTGTTTGTTTCCGGGCTTCTGCATCTGGTCAAACACAACATTAACTCCGGCAAACCAGCCAAGCGTGGGTCAAAATTAAATCACCGGAAATTGGACGGCAGGTTTTAGGTCCATTTACCAGGGCAAGCCATTCTGTGGTTGCCCTGTTTTTGGACAAAATCCTGCACCACTTTGAAACCATGGTTGAAACCATTGTTTGTTGGTATTTACTTAAGATAATCGATTCATTCCAGGGTTTCTTGGGTGATGCAAGATGTCGTCCAGCCATAGCATGATTCTAGAGATGCCTCAAATGGCTGTGGGTCAAAACCAATGGTACCATGTTGGGGCAGGTGCGCCACCCATGTTAGAACCTATTTGAGTGGGGGTTGGGTCCCGTTCACAGGGGCTAACCGATTTGGATCTTGACCCATGGCCGTATTGGTCAACATGAAAGCACCAGAAAACCGCAGATTTCTTTCTTGTCCTTTCCATTGACCAGGGCAAGCCTTGGGGTTACCCTATTTTGCAACCAAATCAGGTGTTCCGAAGCCCTGAGGTCTGGCAGGGAGACTTTGGTCGGGCCAAACCTTGGCTCTTCTGCCTGCAGCCCGCCTACATGTGCCGCGGATGTTGGTTTGACGGTCATTTAATCACCTGGGGTCAACGAACGAACAAGGAATGAATCCGGGTCTCTGAGCACTGAGTGCGCGACCTCTAGGGAGTTTAGGTGGCCAAATGAAAAAGCACAGCAACAACTTGTGTTTGGGGGGCAACGGTGAATTGGCGGTTTGGACCGGTGGATTGGTGGTTTGGTGGTGAGGGATGTCCCTTTGGAGACTGCTTTCGCCTGGGGTCAACGGTGAATTGGTGGGGTGGAGCCCAATCCGTTTGGTCCTTTTAGGGATGGATTTTCACTTACCCTCTACAAGAGCCAGGGATTCAAATCCATCTCCAAACCAACAATCTAAATCACCGAGTCCGGTTTTTGCTCAAAAGTTCCAGCCCAAAGTTCCAGTCCAGTCCAGTCCAAAATTCCAGTCCAAAATTTCAGTCCTGTTTTTCCTTTTCCAGTCCAGAAGTCCAAACCAAAGCTCAGGTTGGAAGAGGTTCCAAGAGACGGTTCCCAGAGGGTTCAGACACGTGAGGTGCCCTCGCAGAAGCCGCGAGAGGAGGAGCTTCACTAGCCTGGCACAGCAGGACCACCTGAGCCTTGGTGAAGCGATTGGCACCAGCCGCGCATTCCACCATGGGTGGCTCCCAGCCATCTCCTCAGCTTTTTAGCTTTTTTTTTTTTTTTTTTTTTAAATAACACTTTTCAGCTCTTTAGCTCTTTAGCTTTTTAGCTTTTTAGTGTTTTTTGCTTTTTTGTTATTTTTTTTGTTTTTGTTTTCTTTAAAAAATCAAACAAATAAAACAATAGCCCACTACAAGTTGCACTTTTAGCGGGGGATCGGAGGACGGCCCATTCCATCGAACTCGGCTCCGTATGCCTATAGAGAGCTTGCCGATTCGGGGGTAGAGCTCGGTATAACGAGCGAAAGCCATGGGATAACGAGCTTTTACGTGGGGATCCCTGAAGTCAGCTTCTGGAATTCTGACGCGGGTCCGTATGGAATCCAGGTCTCGGTCCGGAGGAAGGTCCCGGGATTAGTCTGTTCTGATGGTTTTTGCAAGGGTCCTTGGGCTTCCCTTCAAAATTTCAAGATAGACGAGCTTACGCAGCGGTCGTGTTGGGTCCGTGGGTTTCCAGGGATCCTTACGTTTTGTGTTTGGGTTTACCTTTCCAGCGAGAAACGCAGCGGTAAGGAACCACCTCGCTGAGAACGACGTGGCCATGAGCATTCGCAACCTGCGGAAGGTCTTCAAGGGAAAGGCCGGCGCGGAGGTAAAACAACAACAATCTGAAAACCAACCAAGTGCTGGTCATGTTCAACTCACTTCCCGAGTTCCGTTTCGCACTTGCGTCCACCTTTTTTGGACCACCATTTTATGTAAGGCAAGCCAAAGTTGGCTGCTACTGGGTTCGGGTTGGATCTTTAGACTTTAGACTTTAACTTTTTGTGAAATAAAGGTGTTTTCTACTAACCCCCCCAAACAAATATATATATATATATATATTAGAAAAACAAAAAACAACTTTTGCAGGGGGGTCAACAACCAAGCAGAGTTGTTGTTTCTTTTAAGCCGATCCACTCAGGTTTGGGTTTAAGTAGGGGGCAACGCAATGCACGCGGCATGCGAACGTTTCAGGTGGCGGTGGATGGCATGGACCTGGAGGTGCGAAGGGGGGAGATCTTCGCTCTCCTGGGGCACAACGGCGCGGGCAAGACCACCTGCATGCCACTGGATCCAAAATCGGTGCGGCCTCGCTTTTCCATTTTTTTGATTTTTGAGGGGTATATCCGCTCTTTTTGGTGGTTGCAACGGAAAGATTCAACCGGAAAACCACCATGATACATATAAATATATATATATTATTTTATGGGGGGACCCTAAAAAAAAATCCACAAAAAGACCAGCCCGGCGCCATTGTGTTGTTCCTTCCCATCTTTTTTGTTTTTCCTGATGTACGTTGGAAAAAGGTTTTTTTTGGGTTGGGCCGGTGTCCAGTCTTTTCATCCATCGTGCTTTGCAAACACATGAGGGTTCCGTGAGTGTTTACCAGTTTTATGGAAAGATCTGTGGCCCTACTTGTCTCTGTGAAGCACGCCCCAGCTGCGGGAACATGATGTTCAACTTGAACAAAACGGGATATCAAGGGAACTCTGCAATGCTGTTTTGGCAACCTTGTTTGGCCTTGCTTTCAGCTGTGCAGCTGTGGCTTTGTCCATGATATGCTCCTTTGACTTTGGGGGCCAGGCCACTTTGGATTTCAACCACCTACGAGTTCTCAATTCACCAAGCCAAAAACAACTTTGTCTGTGCCAACTACCCTTCCATGGTGGTTGTTGGTAAACATTTTGCATTTTTGCTTATTGTGGTTTAGGGAAATTCCCACTTAACTGCTAAGAAAAGCATAATCTTTGCTCCCCTTCCAACGTCAACCAAGTACTTCTCTTAACATACGGACGGGCGGGCTGGGTTTTGTTTGGTTTTTGTCCGACACGGAACTGGAGACCTGGAGGCCAAGAGGCTTCTTGGCAATGGGCTTTGGCAATGGGCTTTGGCAAAGGGCAACCAAAAGCCACCAGACAAACCTACCTCTTTGATAAACGCATAAATACCGTCGGTGGACAAATCCTTTCTTGAAAGTGTCTTTCGTTTTTTCCTGAGAACCTTGACAAATGAGGTGTGTTTTTTGGGGGTTTTGCCTGAACATCAACCAGTCTAGGGGTACCTTCCCAATTCTTTCCAGGGATCCTTTTTTCTACAAAACCTCCCGAAACCCAGGGAAAACGGCCGGCTTTTGGAAAGAACGCGCTTGAAAATCATGGACAAGGAATCAACCCTTAGAACCAGACGCTTTTGGGTGCTTTACACACACAACTGCCACACCAAGCCCCAGGAATTGCGTGGTGGGCCTAGTGCCCATGACGAGCGGAGATGCCACCGTCAACGGCTTCGACGTGCGCACGGACCTGGACGCGGTGCGGAGGAACATCAGCGTGTGCCCGCAGGACGGTTGGGGGAATTCTCAGAGACATAGGTGTCCTTTTTTGGTTGGTTTGCTACAACAAATAGAGAGAGGGCCCTGGTTTAGATGGGGTTTATTCCATTTACCAGGGCCATCGATTTTTTCAAAAGGCCTATGCTCAGAGAAGTTACCCTTGGGCTAAAGCTGATTGAAGAGCACCATTCTGAACCACATTCCGGCTGCCACAGGAGGTTACCCTTTGCATGTTTGAGGAAGAAGCACCCATGCCCCTTAGGGACGTGGCTGATGCCCACCCGCCCACCTCCTTGAACAAATTTTGAAGACATGTTGCGAATGCGTTCCTTTCGTTGGAAGCCTACGCTCGAGAAGACGACTTGGGTGACCCTTTCGTCCACTCCGCCTCCAGGTGGCGGATCTCGGGCGTCGAGAAGTCTCATTGTTCACATGAACCAACCGCCCCCCAACCGCCCCCCAACCGCCCCCCAACCCCACCCCCCCATGAACTCGGTGCTCTGCCAGCACCGCCGCCATGCTTTCTGGGTTGTCGACAATGGAAGTTGGCGGCGGAACAACTCCTGCCAGCACGAATCCTCAGCTCACTCCGCTGGGATGGACAGTTTTGGGGCAGCAAAAACCTCGGGTTGTACAACCCGCGCGCCGAGAACAACAAAAACACACACGTGTTGCCCAGCCGCCGCCGGCATGTTGCCTTGTGAGGACAATCCATTGTACAACGTCTTTACGGTCCGCCAGCATCTGATGTTCTTCGCCAGCTTGCGCGGGGTCAGCGAGCAGCTTCAAGCCGCCAAAGTCATGGAGGTCTTGACCGCGCTGGGCGCCAAAGCTGAGATTCGTGTTCGGATGAGGGCATTGGGCTACCCATACTTAAAAGGGGGCCTGAATTACTGGGTACGAAAAAAGAAAAAGAAGGTTCCTGCTTGTGCCAAAAGATAGTTCTGTGTATAGCATCCTAGAACCTCTACTGCCGTTCGGTTGGATCTTTAGACTTTGATTTTTGGATACCAATCATATTTCCGTTTAACCTCCCAAAAAGACAAACTTTTTGCTGCTGGATCTACAGGACCCAGGGAACCAATTTTTCAGAACCCAAATTCATGTCACCCCACTCAGCTGCTCAGGTAGCAAGTGCTGGTCTATTAGCGGCTTTTCACGACTCCGTGCCACCCAGGGCTTCATTTTTGCAGTTTTACCGCAGGTCAGGGACAGGCTGCTAAACACCAATGTCTGGTTGCACATACCCTCAAGACTGGCCTTGCAATTTGGCATGTTCTCAAGCTGGATGTGTGGGACCATCCAGGTATGTACCCTAAATTACCATCCTTATAGATGGTTGCAAGCCGGCGCAGGCTGATTCCCGGCATGCAGAGGCAAGACCTTAGACATTCCCATTTAACTGTCCAAGACACACACGCACACACAAAAAAACACACAGACACACACACACACACACACACACACACACACACACACACACACACACACACACACACACACACACACACACACACACACACACACACACACACACACACACACACACACACACACACACACACACACACACACACACACACACACACACACACACACACACACACACACACACACACACACACACACACACACACACACACACACACACACACACACACACACACACACACACACACACACACACACACACACACACACACACACACACACACACACACACACACACACACACACACACACACACACACACACACACACACACACACACACACACACACACACACACACACACACACACACACACACACACACACACACACACACACACACACACACACACACACACACACACACACACACACACACACACACACACACACACACACACACACACACACACACACACACACACACACACACACACACACACACACACACACACACACACACACACACACACACACACACACACACACACACACACACACACACACACACACACACACACACACACACACACACACACACACACACACACACACACACACACACACACACACACACACACACACACACACACACACACACACACACACACACACACACACACACACACACACACACACACACACACACACACACACACACACACACACACACACACACACACACAAAACCACACCAAGAAAGACATGAGCACCTAGACATTCCCATTCAGCTGTCCAAAACACCAAAGAATCAAAAAACAAAAACAACACCAAGAAACACAACAAAAAACAACACCCCAAACTTTCTTTGAAAACCATCTCCACGGTCCAACAAGCGTAAGCTGAGGTATCCCGGAGAAGGTGGATGACCTGTGCACCTCGCTCTCCGGCGGGCAGAAGCGACGGCTCTGGGTGGCCACGGCTCTACTGGGGGAGACCCCGGTGGTGTTCCTGGACGAGCCGACCAGCGGCATCTTGACTGCACTTCTATGGAGAGAGGATCACGGAACTCCAAAATGAGTAGTTCTCATTTGGGTTTCCTTCCGTCCCAAAGCGGGTACCATGCCTGTTGTTTGTTTGACAGCTATTGGGTATCTTTAGACTTTAGAAATCTAGTTGAAATCAAGTTGGGTTTTCCACTGATCTCCCAACAAGTGCAAAACTGTGTGCAGGGGGGTCAACAGCAACCAAGGCATGGACCCCTCCTCCCGGCGGCAGTTGTGGGAGCTGCTCCTGCGGATGAGAACTTCAGGCGGAATCGCTGCCGAATCGCGCGATCGCGCAAGCGGTGCGACGGGAAGAATCTCCGACCTCGATGGGTGAAGTACCAGCTCTTTGATGGGTATTGATTTGTTCGTCACACTGGCGCGGCTACTTGCGCGGGTTTCGCGGCCCCTATCCACGCGTTGCATCCAACAGCAGACAACTCTGGTTGGAACCAAGAGCTGGTAGGTCAAAGTTCCCTAGAATCCTTGGAAGATGAGCTATTAACAAACCCGCGCTCCCATTCAACGCCGTGGATCCGTTGAGTTTTGCAAGCTGCAGTCAAAGACTCGCGTGTGGTCTTGTTTTTTTCTATTTTGGAGGTGCGACTGTTGCAACCCTAGATGGTGCAGATAGATAACCTGGAGTACCTCCAAAGTTGCGGACCCACAATGTATGACTAGCCAGCAGTTTTTTGGCGCCCTTCAATGAAGGGCGCTTGACCGTGTTTTTGAAGCGAGGGCACTTGAGGCCGTGTCTGTGCCCTAAGTGACCCTTTGATTCGTTTGCCAAGCCCTTTTTGGTGTGATAGAAGTTGGGATCCTGTTGAAATCGAACAGCTACCCGTGTCGAAATAACAACTGCCACATTTGATTTGGGCCGACCCGGAATGGCCCGAACAATGGCGTTTTGAGTGACAAAGCGGGTGCAAATCGAGGTCACTTTCCCCTTGAAAAGGTCGCTTCCGCTAGTGTCGGTCCCCCTGGTGTGAGTGTCATTCGCGTGTCGCTGCGGCTCGATTTGCCCAGCGTCGGTCCCCCTCTGTGTGAGTGTCATTCGCATTCACGTGTCGCTGTGGCTTGATTTGCCCGTACTGGGGAGGGATCTGCTGGGGAGGGCAACCTTGAGGGTTTAATTGCCTCTTTGATTTAGGAACCTTCTTTTCATCATAGCACCCAGAAAATGAATCGAGGGCACTGAAAAGAAGCTGGAGAGTATGGCATGGGGTTTCTCAAAGGGGCCCGTTTCCTTTATTGTCCTTTCAAGCCATCGAATTGGGTTTCGCCAGAAAACAGGAAGACAACATGTACCCGTGCGTCTACGAAGTTCATTTGGCTTTTCAAACATGGTTGGTTGCATAGATCCAACCCATGTAAACGATGTCCGCCAGCGGGCGGTGGATGGACAAAACACCCAGCACCCACCTTGAAACCATGGTTGAAACCATAACGTTTGTGGGCAGTTCCATGGGAATCGACTTCTTCCCTTGCGTTTCTCTGGCGCTGCGGTGTCTGGATGTCGCAGTTGCGCTTGGTCTAGTTTCGCCAAAGCGTCAAGGTGGGTTGGTGAGACACGGTGAGGCCGGTCCATCATCTTCACCACGCACTACCTGGAGGAGGCGGACGTGTTGGCGGACCGAAAGGCGGTCTTGGCGCGGGGAAAGGTGCAGGCCGGGCCTCAAAATGTGAAGGGCGAATCAGATCGTCGAACCCCTGTGAAAGCCAACAAGGACAACCAAAAGGAGAACGGGAGCTAAAGTCAATCTCAAAGTTTGTGCGGGAAAATTGGACCTTTTTCTCCCCAGCGTTTTTTCTCTTCAATAAACTACTTAGAGGCTTCAGCCATGGTCATGGGTTGAATATTTGGCGCAGGCCTGTGGCACCTCCCGGGACTTAAAGCTGCAGTTCGGCCTGGGCTACAACCTCCAGGCGCGCAGCTTGCGACGCTCCCGCCAGGGCCGCGCCGGCCCGAGGGGGCTGAATTCGGGCTGGAGGTTCACCGAAGTTTTGGGCAGATTTGGCGGGTTCCTTTCCTATTGGTTTGTTCCAGTGCGTGGCTGAACATGTGATTGCTGGTTTGGTTTGGTAGGTAGGCAGGCAGGCAGGTATATGGCTGTGGGTCAAAACCAATGGTACCATTTTGGGGTAATTAGGTGCACCGCCCGTTTTGGAACCTACTTTAGTGGGGAGTGGGTAGGTCGGCAGGCATAGATGTCCTTTTGGTTGTTTTGGTAGAACAATAGATGGCGATTCCTGGTTTACCTGGTGGTTTAATCATCTGCCAGGGAAATCCATCTATTTCCTCTAAAAGGACGCCTATGTAGGCAGGGAGATCGGCACGGGTAGCTACGCAGCCTGCAGGTGCAGTTCACAGCTGCCCCCGGGACCAGTGACCTGCAGGCCGGGTCTTCCGAAGCTTTGGGAAATTTAATTAGCTGTTCGCTTTGGTCAGTGAAACCACCAGGAGTTTTTTGCGCAAATGTCTCGGGTACTCCCGCGTTTTTTGAAGACGTGGGAAGAACAAACATGGATTCCCTTTGGGCTCGCTTTTGACCAGTCTGCAAGCCGTTTAGGCCTCTCACATAGTTGCCTCGTCAGGGCGGAGGTTGCATGCCTTGCATCATTAGCGTCGGTGCGGAGAGTATGGTTTGCCCAGCTTCGCCTGATATCAGTGAGGGATTGGTGGCGGTTTTGGCCTGCCTTTGTTTTGAGCCTTTTTGGGCTTTGCCTCAAGGCAAATGGGGCTTTGGATGTGCACGCGCATTTTCCTTTGATTTGCGCCTCGGGCTCGCGCTTTGAAAGGTGCCCCTTTTAAGGCCGGGTGAACGGGAAAACATCCCCAGCTTTGGACTCTGGTGCTGTTCATTGGCCTGGCAATGGGCCAAGGTGCCTTGGTGCGCTCTTATAGGTTGGAACATGCATACTTCCCTTTCCCTTGCTTCCATAGTCCAGCACATTTCTCAGAAGATCCTAATGGCGAAATGGCCCATGGAACCTTCATGGGTCTCAGACATGCCAGGGACATTGTCAACATGGTTGCTTCCTCTTTGTCTTCACGTAGTCAGTGCCGTGAGCTCGCCTGCTCCGCTGCAGCCCAACAGGGTCTCCCAAAAGGAGTTTCCTCTAAACATAATGCTTTGCTGGGTGCCGTGCTGAACTAACCTGCAGGAGAGCAATACATGCTTGTGTTGCTGGTTGCTTCTTCTCCAGGCGATTCAACAGCATAGTAATATATGGCTATTTGGGTAACGGATCTTTGGACTTTACCTTTTTGGTTGAAACAGCTCGGATTTCCAGAATTGCTTCTTGGTCGGGGCTGTGGCTCAGGGCTTGCTCAGCCTCATCCGCAAGCACGTGCCGAGCGCTGCGCAGCGGGTGGCGGCGGAGTCGAGCCCATCCCTGTCAGCGGTGGAGGATTCCATCGTTGCGGTCACCTTGCCATACCAAGAGGCACCGAGCTTCGGGATACATCGGACATTTCCAGACGTGGCATGGTTGTTGGGAAACATGTTTTACATTTTGCTTATTGTGGTTTGGTGGTCCCAGTTGCCTTCCATCCGCCAAATATGAAGCACGCCATGCAACTCGGAATCGAGCTAAAATGGGTAAATAATTGTGGATTACGGGAGCCCCTCATCTTGGTTGACGTGGAAGGGGAGCAAAGATTTCTTTTTGGTGGTTAAGTGGGGATTTCAATCCCTACCCACATGCTGCGGGCCTGCGGCGAAAGCACTCTAATCACTTGGCCACAATCATTCACAAGGTTTCAATGCCTGTTTGCATATCTTCGTATAAGTTTGGCCAGCCGGCCCAGCCGGCTTTCCTCGGAGCCTTCTCATGAAGTTCATCATACGGGTCCGAATGGGGCCTGGACAACAAGAAAGGGATTTGCAGACAGATGTTGATATACCCTTTGCTCTTAAAGCAAAAGTTGAAGGGAAGTTCGGAGATGTTTATATACCCTTTATACCGGGGGGGCGGGGGCGGGGGGGGAGAAGAATGGTTCAGCGCATCACTGGCGCAAGGTTTCCAAGTTCGGGCCCATGCTGATCGAGCTGGACGGCTGCAAGCAGGCACAGAAGTGGGCCGTAGCCGGGCCGTAGGCAGGGGCAGAGACGCAGACACAGACACGCAAACAGACAGCACACAGCCACAGAAGCACTTCAAACACCAGCAAATACCCAGACACAGGCACAAAGGCGAGCACAACCACAAAGACAACCACGACTGCAAGCACATCACTTGAAATGCGGTAGATTGATTTGGTGTGAGATGTGCCTTTTGCCACCCCCAGAAGTTCAAGGGCAACGGATGCCACCTTTTTGAGCTGTTTTGGGGGCCGTTTTGCTCCGTTTGAAATTCGTCAGCTGCCAGGCATTTGCCAAAGCCCCCGTAAAGCACAAAATCTAGGTCCTCCAGTAGTGCCCTTTTACCCCTTTTTAGGGCACCCTTATTCTAACCTGTCTACTGGCGGACCTAGAAATGGAAAACCCACGTTCGCCCTGCCGCGCCGCTTCTCAAAAGATTGCCTCTTGGCGCGGGCCGACCGGCAAAGCCAAGCCTCGGCCGTGGGCCAAGATGCGCGGCTTGAGAAAAGGCTTGAAGGCTTGTGATTTCAAACTGGACTCCCTAAAAGATACATCTTGCAATCATTTGAAACATGTGTTTTTTTCAACACCCAAATGAAGGGAAACCACCGTTTTACAAGTTGCAATGTTCAGGTGTATAATGCATCCGGATCCCTGTCAAAGTTGCTGGAGCAAGTGACAAAGACGCGGCTCCGAACCAGGCCCTGGTTTTGAGCAAACGCGCTCCGATTCAAAGAGTCCACAAGTGGGGAGTCGTGGAACATGTTGCATCTCTTGGGCATTTTGCATCTCTTGCCGGGCGGCTTCTTTTTTTTTTCCGGGAAAGGGGACTCGCATCCTGGAACGTGCTTGTTTGGATCCATTTTGGGGGATCCAATTTTTTCGACCGGCTGCCTACTCCATGAGTTTGCCCCGCCCGAGGAACGGCAGACATGGACAAGACTAAGAACGCCATGAGCAAGAGCCTCAGTGCAGTTGTCCTCAAGCGATATTTGTGTTTTTGTGCATTTCATTGAGAAACCAGTCTTGCAGGGGGACAACCACACAAACAGTTACAACTGCGCTTTGCGACTGCCTGGTGAAGCATGTTTTTTCAGGGTAAACCCGCACACGTTGGGCATCGTTGCTTGCTTGGTACCAGTTTTCGGGGAAACCAAAGGGAAGAAGCAACTGCGGAACAGGGAAACGCAAGGGAAACAAACTTGCTGGTTCTGGAACGACCCCGAACGAAACCATCTCCATCTCATGTGGTTTCCTTCATTCGGGGACACCTGACTCTGGGTTCATTCCCAATTTGCACACCATCCCACTGGTGGTTTCCTTGCCCAGAGGCTCCCGATTGAATTCGGGGCTTGAAAGGAGACCCCCAACCACCTCCAGGGTGTCTAATGGAGGGGCCAGGAGTCTCTGGGTGGGGAAGTTTTTGGGGTTTGCGTTCCTTCCCAGGGTTCCACTTTCGGACTACCCCAAGATAGACCTAAACCCAGGTCTCCTTTTGGGGGGGAATGAACCACTTGGTTGAAGTCTACCCTAGGGTAGTCAAGAAGTAGAACCCTGTTCATTCCCAACTCCCACACCATTTGACAGCTGGTTTCCTTGGGGAACTTCTGGGTGTGCGTTCCTTCCCACGTCGACCCCACCGTCCTTCCCGACGTTTCAACGCCCCGGGGCTCGGAACCAACGGCCAGCGACGCGGCCGGCGACGCGGCCGGCGACGCGGCCAGGCCCGGAGGAGCAGCTGGAAGACCTGCAGCGGCGCTTCACGCTGCTGGAGGGGGAGCGTAAGGCGGGAGGTTTTTGGTTTTTTTTTTGTGTGTGTTTTCCGGTTTGGAGCCCTCCTGGGGTCCTGGGGAAGGGAGGGGCGGGGGGGTTCTTGGTTTGGAGCCTCTTTTTTTTGGTTTTCTTCTTCTTGATTGTTTTTTTTAGTCTCTTTTTTTTTGTTTTTTTTTTGGGGGAGTTCTTTTGGTTAAGAAATGATGCGAAGGCGCCGGAAGGCCACAAGGCCATTCATACTTCGCCATAAGCTGTGGGTGGTTGCGAAATCCAGAAAAAACCGCAGCACCGAAGTCAGAAGCCATGGTTGCAACGAGAGCGTTTGCTCTGGTATTCACAGAAAAGGGGCTTCTAAAACCATGAGCAATTTTGGAACAGCTAGGGGCGAGGTGCTGGCTTGCGGCGGCAAGGGGCCCGGTGGGTTTTGGTTGGTTGCTGTCACCCAGTTGCTGGAAGACAGTGAGAGCGGATGCTGCCTGACCTTCGCTGCAAGAAGGCTCTTCCCTTGGACGGTATCTTTGCTTAGTTTCCCTTTTTGTTTCATGGTTTGTTACGTGTTGCCTTGTTCAAAAGGCTGCTAGGGGCCCCGGGTTGACCGGTGAGATTGTGTACAATTGTGTTTTTTGCTTGCTTGCTTTCTTGCTTCCTTGCTTCCTCGCTTGCTTGCTTTCTTGCTTCCTTGCTTTCTTGCTTCCTTGCTTCCTCGCTTCCTTGCTTTTTTGCTTCCTTGCTTCCTTGCTTCCTTGCTTCCTTGCTTCCTTGCTTCCTTGCTTCCTTGCTTCCTTGCTTCTCGCTCCCTTGCTTCCTTGCTTCCTTGCTTCCTTGCATCTTCGCTTCCTTGCTTCCTTGCTCCTTGCTTCCTTGCTTCCTTGCTTCCTTGCTTCCTTGCTTCCTTGTTGCTTGGTTGACTGGCTGACTGGTTGGTAGATTGGTTTGTTGGTTAGGTAGGTAGGTAGGTTGGTCGGTCGGTCGGTTGGTTGGTTGCTTGCTTGCTTTTTTGGTGTGTTCGCTTGCTTGGATTTTGCTTGCTTGTTTGCTGGCTGGCTTGCTCGCTTGTTTGTTTGCTTGCTTGCTTGTTTGTTTGTTTGTGTGTGTGTGTGTGTGTGTGTGTGTTTGTTTCTTTGTTTGTTTGCCTGTTTGCCTGTCTGTCGGTTTCTCTGTCACTGTCTGTGTGTCTGTGTCTCTGTGTGCGATAGTCGCCAGGCCACGTATGAGACCGCCAAGCTGAACATCCAGCAGAACAAGGCCGGCCGCTTTTGGCTGTCCACCCTTTTCCCGGGACCCCAAAGAATGCCAAAAGGGGACGGATGATCGCCAGACCCCTGCAGCCACTGGTTTGCCCTGAAGCCAAAACACTGGATTTTCGCGCGATCCCTCGCCAGGAGATCATTGCGCAGATGAAGGAGGAGAACAAGACCTTGAGGCGCGTCATCCCCTTTCCAGGGGACACTTCCCCATTCCTTCCATGGATCCTTCTTTCCAGAAAACCATCAGAACCCCAGGGGAAACAGCTGGTTTTGGAAAAGAACGATGGTTCAAAAGAATGGGGAATCAACCTAGACCCTTGCCCTTTGATCACCCCCACACGCCAGCGTTGCCAGGAATCAGATTGCCGTGCTGCGGGATGAGAAGCCCCTCTCTTTGGAGAAGACCATGGAGGAGACCGTCACAGTGGAGCCCCGGCTGCGAAGGAGATAAATGTGGCGACCGTGGAAGGGTCAAAACTTGGAAAAGGCCCCAGGACTAAGGATCTTGATTGCTTGGGCCGGAGGTAGCTAGCCTGCTGAAGGGGAAAAATAAGGGGGAGATGCTGATATTTGGCAATCATGCCAGTTTGCAACTGGACTCTTTTCAGCTCTTTGGACGGCAAGACATGGCGCAAGCACATGCACACCACCACCACCACCTCACCTATTTCATATTCTGACACCAGAGGTCCAGCCCCAGAGGTGAACACATGGCAGATCTTTTCCCCCACAGCCGAGCCAAGGTTCAGAACCTGCAGCGCAAGCCTGGGCCTCTGAGCCAAGGGACGGAGGTCGAAAAGTTTCGCTCCGGTCGCAAGGGGCCGCGAAGGGACAATTGACACTTGCAGGGGGTGCTCTCCTTTTGTTCTTTTTCATTTTTTTTGTTTTTTCATCGTTTGTTTCTTTCTGGCGAGAAGGTCTTGCTGGAAACGGTTCGATGGGGAGATAGACTGACCGTGCCCCATCAAACGAAATCTTAAAAGGTGAGGCTCACGATAAAGAGGGAGTGCAGGGGTCCGGAATTCCTGGGGTCCGTAGTGACTGGATGCAAAGCCGTTTCCGTTAGATGAGCTCTAAGGTGTGACCTCATCAAGAACGACAACCAGAAGAAGAGGGAATACTTGGACCAGCCGTGCTCTGAGCGAGGTCAAGGTGGAGGGACCGAAGTGAATTGCTTTTGCGGATCTTTCGAAGAGACCTGGCGTTCGCGTTTGGGCCCTGGGTCTCAAAGAAAGGCCAATGGAAGTCAATTCATGTCCTTAGTGGTCGAGTTCCAGGAACTTGGACGCTTTGGCTCAGCCGTGGCCCCATTGGTTGTGCGCATGGCTCAAGCGAAGCCCCGCCAGCGATGGCGGCCAAATGCCCGTTCTCGGGCGATGCGGAGGATGCCTCTCTTTTTGATGACCTCTCGGAGGACGGCCCTGAGTTTCCGCTGCCTGAAGGCATAAAGAAGGACAGGGTTGAGCATAAAAGTGCTTTGTTTGGGTGCAAACAGATTTGGGGAGGACCCCCTTGTCATGTACACAGTGTGTTTGCTTTGGGCTTTGCCACTTTGTAGGTGTTCATCCTCCATCTATGTTTGATCCATCCCTTTCAGCAGTTTCCTTTTTGTTGGGCGGGGGCGCGGGGCAGCCTTCTGAAAGAAAAATCTGAAAGAGAATGGGGAAGTTGCCTCCTCCAGACAGGTCCTAGACATGTTTTGTTGAACACCTAGGGAGGAAACTAAAGGCCCACACACAGACACAAGCACAACACACGCACAAACACAAACACACAAACAGAAACACAAACACGCAAACAAACAAACAAACAAACAATCAATCAAGCAAACAATCAATCAAACAAACAAACAAGCAAACAAACAAACAAACAAGCAAACAAGCAAACAAACAAACAAACAAACAAACAAGCAAAACACAACAACACAAAGACACAAAGACACAAAGACACAAAAACACAAACACACAACACAAAGTATAAACCACAAAGACACAAAGACACAAAGACACAAAGACACAAAGACACAAAGACACAACACAACAAAAACAAACACACACACACACAACACACAAAAACACAAAAACACAAAAACACACCACACAAACACAAACAACACAACCACAACATGGAAACAACACACACACGTTTCTTTCTTTCAAGGAAGTAACACAACCACACAAACACATGCACACACACACAAACCCAAAGAACCTTCATTAGAAGGGTTACTCAGACGGGTTGTGAGAAGATTTTAGGCGGGGCTGAAGATTTGCAGATTTGCCCTGACTCATCTAGCTCACTTGGGTGTCCGAACCCTGGCAGCTTTCCCTGCGGCTTTTTGGATGTCCAGTGCAATGAGTAAGCAGCAGGTTATAACTTTGGTGATACGGGCTGATCCAAGTTGTCCCCGTTTGACCTGGGTACAACATAGCCCTGGGAACGTCCAAGACGTGTCCCTGAGGAGATCCTTTTTGAGGCGGCCACCTCGGAGTGGAAGCAGCCGAAAGCCGGGGACCAGGTGACGGTGCACTTTGTGGCCTCTGTGGGGGGCCAGGAGATCCGGTCCACCCGGGAGGAGGGTGAGGTCTGCAGGGAGGGCTTTTGTCTGGGGGTTGGTCTGCAACAGGGATGGGAATACATGGTTGTTGTTGGGAATCATTTTGCATTTTTTGCTTATTGTGGTTTAGTGGTTGGAATCCCCACTTAACTGCTAAAATTTAAAAATATTTGATCCCCTTTTAACGTCAACCAAGAATATTGGGAATTTGTGATTTCTATCCAGGGGCAAGCCAGATTCAATTGGTTTGGTTACGGGAACATCTGCAGCAAAATCGCCCCAAAGCCCCCGAAATTAGCGGTTTTCCGGCAGAATGTCCTGTAACCCAACCCTTTCACAGCTGATGTTCTGGGGAACCGACATCCCTGAGGCGGTCACCTTGCTTCTGGGCCAGGGGGACGCTGTTTGCCCTGGGCTGCAGCTGGGCATCCCCACCATGCGCCGCGGCGAGCTTGCCAGGTTTTCGATGACCCCGGAGTATGGGAAGGGAACGCTCGAGCCCAAGGACCGGAAAACGACCGATTCGACTCGACCCGATGAACGTCGTTTGATGGAGGCCAAAAGGAGGAGCTTGCGACAGGACGTACTGAATCAATCGCCCAAGCCTGGACATCCCCAACTGGGTTTGAACCGTGGTTTAACGGTTTAACTGGCCATGGGTTATAGCCTATGCCTCCATTTTGGGGCGGATGAACACCCATGTACCACCTATTCGGATGTTCACCAGGGAAACAGGGTTTGACCCACAGCCAACTCACTCCCTGAGTTCCTGGACTTCGAACTTTTTAGAAGGCCACTTCGGAGTTTGGCCTTCGCAAAAGCCAACAGTTGCAATCGCAGGCCCCAAACTCCACCGAGACCTTTGTCTACGAGGTGGAGTTGGTGGCCTGGAAGGCCAAGGTGGGCGCACCTAAAAGGGGGGTTGGAAAGGCGGCGAGTTGTTTGTTCTTTTGGTTTCCTCTTTCGAACCCCACTAAAAAAGTGTAGCTTAACTGAAGAGGGAGCCACACCTGGGGCGTTATCCCGTTATCCATGGAACCCCTTTTCATGGTCGTTGTCGGGAAGCATTATTTTTTCTTATTGTGGTTTAGTGCGAAATGCCCACTCAACTGCTAAAATTTATTTGCTCCCCTTCCAACGTCAACCAAGTTTTGAGGGCCAGTTCAAGATCGGCTTCCTTTTCAACCCGCCCCGGGCTATACCATGAGGTGGATCGTTATCCTTGGTTTTTTTTATTTGTTTTTTTTTTTTTTTTGGGGGGGGGGGCGTACTCCAATTTGGGCCCACAGAAACCGCCCAAGATCGGCGGTTCTTTGGCCCCTCGCGCCTCGCTCTGCCAGGTGGACTTGTTCGAGGACCGGACGGTGCTGAAGACGGTGGAGCAGGAGGGCAGCGGCTGGAAGCTGCCGAAGTCCAAGGACGAGGTGGGCCTGGCGCTGCGCATCGCCCGAAACGGCCAGGTTTTGAAGGACGCGCCGGGGTTTGGGGGGGTTTGGGGGGGGGGGGGGTTATGGGGGGTTTTGGGGGGTTTTGGGGGGTTGGGGGTTTTTGGGGGTTTGCATCCTGGGCGTTGGGGTGGCAAACGGCCAAGTCTGGCAATGACTTTTTCAGCATTTGGGCCCTTGAGGTCCCCTTGTAGGAGAGCCCCCCTAAACAGGGCACCAATCCAGAAAAGGACACGAAAACACCAAGTTTTGTTTCTTTCTGGGCCGATGAGACGGCGGGTTTTTCCCCCGCCTTTCCCCGTTTTTGGTTGCTGGCTTGGGGGATCCGGTGGTGAGGAGTTGCACCACCTGGAGTACACCCTGGGCTCGGCGATGTTTTCGGGGGCCTCCGTAGTTATCGACCGGTGCCTGCGGACCATGAAGCGCGGGGAGGTGGCGGAGCTGCAGTGCAGGCGGGCGCTGGACCTGGGCGCAGGGCCGCAGAAGGAGCTGCAGATCCTCATCACCCTCAAGGCTCCTTCCGAATGGCAGAAAGATTGTCAGATATTCATTTCTTCCGCCTCGGGGTTGCTGGGCAGGGATTTCCCGGGAGTTATTTTTGTTTTGGGGGTAGTAGGTGCCCCACTACATTATTTGTTGCCTTTGAACATGGTAAAACAAGGTAAAACCACAGGTGTGTGAGCGCGTTCGTTGAGGTTTGCCTCGTAAAGGGACTGGGCGCGTTTCTCGAAGCAAATTTTGGTTCACCAGCGGCATTCGCCGAAGGCGGCGGATGTTGGTGAAAAGGCCTCGACCAGGGTCCGTTTTGCAACCGCCTCGGGGTTGGGCAGGGAAATTCCCTCCAGGTGCCCTGGCTTGTTTGTAGGTGCCCCACTAGTTACATCCTTTTGTCGAGGGGCTGCAACAGGGAAGCAAGCACCGCCCTTTTGTTTTTTCGTGCGCCGTGTTTTTGCGATGGGCTTTCCGGGCACCCAAAAAAAACCACCGCCACAAAAAACATCGGGGTGCCTCGTTGTCCTCAGCCAACTCAGCCCAGCGCTTGTGCGGGGGAAGGGTTCGAAGCCGTCGCAGAGGAGATCCACGAGACCCGGGACGTGTCCTTCGCCAAGGACAAGAGCCTCATGAAGAAGCAGGTGGTCGAAGGCCAGAGCATCGACACACCCAAGGACTTCGGACTTCCACAGGTCACCGGTTGTTGTTTTTTGTCTTTTTGTTGGGGGGGGGGGGGGCGGCGGCGGTGGTGTGTCACCATTTCTTGGAGGGCAGTTCTTCTAGTTTGAGTTATTTTGAAGGGAAGTACAGGGAAACCACAACCTAAAAAGCAAAAACAACCACACACCCAAATCGGAGGACTCCTCAAAGAAGTTCCTTTCAACTCTTCAGGACGGAAGCAACGTAAGCCTGATTCTCAGCCCAGCGAGCTGCTCTCAGAACGTGGCTTTCGAGCATCTTGGCTGAGATGGGGTTCCTATGGACCACTAGCCCTTGGACCACCCCAGAGCTGTTGGTGGGGCATCCTGTTGCTGGAGTACACTGTGCAAGTTCCAAGGCTGAAGAAGCTGTCAAAGAAGCTTGAGCGTAAGTTGTGTTCGATGAAAGCGGAGTGAATCATTGAAGTGGCCTTAGCTGCAAGCAGCAGCCAACCCAGTCAGGATTTCTTTCCTGCTCTTGGGGGTCCGAGTAAGAATACATTAAGGGGTCCGTTGACCAAATGTCCATTCGACCGGATCTAAGATGTTGCATATGGTGTCAGGATGCATGGCAGGGGTTATTTGTTCCGGGCCTGGTGTCCCCACTCAAATCTCATGGGAAGGCCGGTGCAACTCAGGAGCAAAGTGCTCAACTTCGTGTGCGGAGACGGAGAAGTGCCAGATGCTCTGGAGTTTGCAGTGGCTGAGATGAAGAAAGGGGAGAAGGCCTGTGGATGCTTCTGAGTCGAATCCGAAAGAAGCTGTTGACATATGAATCGCTCGCAGACGAGCAGCGTTGCTTCTAGTCGGTTCAGGTGCCCTTTTAAAACTCTGGCGCCTGTTGCCACTATGCTTCCCACCATGCTAAGGATAAAAGGAGTTCACCGCCAACCAGCGCCGATCAGAGGTTTTTGTTGGGTAGACCTTTTTGACCTTTTTGAGTGTTGTTCAAGGAACCGAAGCGGACACCGACTCCACCCAGAAGCTTAAGGCACCGTCGATACGTCAGGCGATCCTCACGGTGAAGCAGCCGACGGATCTGGCGGCTGACCTGGGCATCGACGCAGGGGAGGAGCTCGCTGTGAGTCTTATGCTGGAGGACAGTCCTCAGCATCCCCGCTATGCCGATGTGTTTTGCTTGGGTATGGGGGCCCCCATCTGGACCGGATTGGGTGAGCCGGTTTGCGCCAGATTTCCCATGGATTCCCTTTACCATGTACACTTCCCAATGGTTTTCAGGTGGTTGAATCCAACTTCCCATGGCTTCCCATGGCACAGAGGACTTCGAGCAGGTGCCATTGCTGGGCTCCTCCCCGGAAGACAACCTCCAGCCACTCGGCTCGCTCCCACGCCCACGTTTTTTTTTGTTTTTTTCTCACCTGGGGTAGACTTAGGATACATGTTACATTGGATGTATTGTTTTTTGGATGTTTTTGGATGTTTTGGATATTTTGCAGTGACTCAAAGTGAAGCAAGCAATAGACTATGCATTCTATAACTGGGCCTAACTCCGATCATGACACAGTTTTTGAGTCGTTCTCTCAGTCGCCCCATCAAACTTCAAAGGTTTTGGCACAGCCGCAATTGACGATATTGGCCTTGATTCTGCCGTTTGTCTCTCTCTCTCTCTCTCTCTCTTTCGCTCTCTCGCTCTCTCTTTCTCTCTCTTTCTCTACTTTCTCTCTTTTTCTCTCTCTTTCTCTCTCTCTCTCTCTGTCTCTCTCTCTCTCTCTTTCTCTCTTTTTCTCTCTCTTTTTCTCTCTCTCTCTCTCTCTCTCTGTTTCTCTCTGTCTCTGTCTCTCTCTCTCTCTCGTTCTTTTTCTCTTTCTTTTTTACTGCTTTCTTTCTTTCTTTCTTTCTTTCTTCCTTCCTTCCTTCCTTCCTTCCTTCCTTCCTTCCTTCCTTTGATTGTTTCTTGCTCTCTTTCTCTCTTTGTTTCTTGCTCTCTTTCTCTCTTTCTTCCTCTTTCTCTCTCTCTCTCTTTCTCCCCCCCCCCCCTTCAGTCAGCATTCTCTCTCTCTCTCTCTGCCTCTCTGCCTTGCCTCCGTCTCTCTTCCTCTTCTGCCCTCGGCTGGTGCGAGTGCGTAGCGGGGTGCGGATTGCCGTGCAACAGATGCTAATCAAAGTATGAGGGACAACATGCGCAAAATCGACAACACAATCAAGTGCTTATAATTGCGCACGGCCGTGCGCAGGCTCTTGTCTTGCTTGCATCGCGCCTGCCGTACGAGCTTGCTTGAAGCCGAGCATCGAATCTGGGTTGTGCTTCGTGAGGACTAAGAGCATGGAATCAAGCTTTATGGACCCAGCTAATTGGTGGTTGGCTCAAGCACGGCCGGGACGGTGTCAACATGTAGGGCCCAACCCGGTCACTGAATATCACTGGGCCATCCCCTTCATGATTGGTGGGCGTATTTCTTGCAGCCTCAAAGCCGAGCCAATTTCACTGGGCCATTCCCTTGGCGTAACGTTCCCAGGGACATGAAAGCCGAGCACCAAACATCTGCTTCCTGAGCCAGCCCTGAATAGCAAGGTGGTTGTTGGGAAACAGTTTGCCCTTTTTGCTTGTTGTGGTTTAGTGGTTGAAATCCCCACTTATCTGCTAAATTTAAGAATCGTTGCTCCCCTTCCAACGTCGACCAAGATAAAGCCTAGCGGTCAAGCCGCTCGTCCGCCGTGCCTTTTCTCAGGCGCTTGGCGCGGGCGAGGCAGCGGAAGGAGGTGGGCACCCGGCTCTTCAAGGCCCAGCGCTACGCGCTGGCGGTGCTGCGCTACAAGAGCGCGGCGGAGACCCGGCGCTCACCAAGACCTGGGGGGGGGGGCCAAAGGGGCTCGCCGGCCAGGGGCGCACCACCCAAAACCGGGGCCGGATCCGGCCGGGCGCCATTTTTTGAGAGAGGTTCTGACTTGGAGGGGAAGCTCACTCCCCAAGTTCTTGGACTTGATGCTTTTGGGGAAGACATGGGAAGACGATTGCAGTGGAAAATGGAAAGACTTTGTTTGGGCAATCCACTCGGGAAGGCCTGGATAATTGGAATGGCAGGTTGCGTTGAAACCAAACTTTAGTCGCGACCATGGGAAAAAACAATTAGGACTTGTTTTGGGCCCTTATATTTACCATGTTCAAAGTTTGCATTTGTTTTATTTTTGGCCTTGTGGAGTCGGGCTGTGCCCGTACCACGCGAGTCGTGTTTCGGGTTACGTCTTAAAGGGACGCCTTGCCGTCTTCTGTTGTCAGATCCTTTTGGCTTCCAGTTTGGGATGGTACCCCGCCTGCATGCCCTCCCGGAATACCACACAGTAAGCACCCGTCGTATTGACGACATCATGCACCAAGACGTTGACTGCACTTTGTTCTAGCCTAAAATATGTTTGTTGAACATGCGTGATTCTTTCTTTCAACATGAGTTGTTCTTGTTGTTTTTGTTGTGAACATGATGTGTGTGTGGTCGAATCTTGGCATGACACTTGTTTTTCAGGTTGCCCTTAGTTGGTGGTTTGGATTGATGGTGTGGGGACTTGAGCCCCAGCATCTTTACAAACCGCATGGGAGGTACCCTTAACGTAAACCCTAAAAAGATGAACAGCTTAAGGGAACCGGGTGGCTGGCAACCTTTGCCAGTTCCTGAATTCCCAAAAGTCTCGAACCGCCGGGCGCCTGACACCCTGGAAGCTTTTGGAGGGGGGGAACGGCAATGCTCCGGGCGTCGGATTCGCCGCCCCTTCAGAAGGTACGACTCGAAAATCGCCAAAACTCAGCGTTCCTCTTGGTGGTTTGGCTTGGTGGTTGTTTCCATTGAGCCTTCGAAAAGGTTCGTCACTAGGTATTTTTCTCCAGCTGAAAGCTCACCTTGTCTCAGTTCAGGCCCTCAGTTCAGGAACCAAAAAGCTCTGTTGGGATGATCTGACCTCAATTTGTCGACAATTCTTTGAAAAGCCTTCGGGGTCCTCCAGAAAATCCGCGGGTGAGTTCTGAAAGGACCAATGCCGCGACCCTCATTTTGAAATCAATGAAGGTGGGCCTTCACATGGTTTACGTTGGAAGGGGAGCAAAGATTTGTATTTGTTTGCACTTAAGTGGGGATTTCAAGCACTGAACCACAATAAGCAAACATGTAAAATGTTTCCCAGCAACAACCATGTTCAAATCAAGAAACTTCCTCGACATTGTGAACATGCTTCAATGGCGCCAGACAGTCGGAAGAGGGCCGAGCTAGACATACCTGTTTGAGCTTCTAGATGCTCCTTCGAATTCGCTCGTCTACATGGAGGGTGTTTGTTGTTGTTCATTTCTGGGGTGTCAGATGCTCCATTGATCCCAGTGACGCACCCTGGAGCCGCTATTGGCTTCTCTTGGGAAAGCCATGGGAAACCATTATTTGTTGGCATTTACAGGGCAATCATCCTTCCAGGGTCTCTGAGGTGGTGCAGGATTTCGTCCATCCAAAGTAGGATGGGGCGGTGCCCCCGTTTGGATCGATTTCGATCGGAGGATTTGCTGAGCTACGTGGAGCACTTCGAGCCTGAAGCCAAAAGCGGCTCGACTGAGACGAAAGCTGACGAAAGCTGACGAAAGCTGGCAGTCACTTCCCCAGAGGGTCCACCGATTTTGTAAAGAAGATGGCGCCCCCAAAAAACATGGCGTCCCTTGATATCCGTCCCGGAAGGGGAAAAACATGGTGCTCCCGTGGCCACGGGGGGTGTGGTTCACATTTTTCTCCATTCACAGTAGGATTGCAATGGTTTCCTTTGGCTGAATCAGTGCAGAATAAACTTGCTGGTGCTCAGTAGGGAAATGTCCTTCTGGGTGTTGGGAATGAACTGGAAGGGGATTCCCTTACAGGAAACCACATCGGGATGGTTGAGTTCGGGGTTATTCCATTTCTCATTCCCTGCCTATCGATGCAGCAAGTTTCCTTTCAAACTTGTTTCCCTTGGGGTTCCCTCACTTTCCGCCTTGGGTTCTTCCCTTTTGGTTTCCCCGAAAACTGGCACCAAGAAAACCACGATGGTTTCATTCCCTGCCTCTGAGCCCAGAACTTCCCCTAAAGGAAGCCACAGGGGATGCTGGTTTCGGGCCATGGGGGGTGGTTTGGTTCAGGGTCACGCCATTTATTCCTCTGGAGGTTGATTCCCCATTCTTTTCAACCATCGTTCTTTGAAAAACCGGATCTGTTTCCCTGGGGTTTTAAGATGGTTTCCTGAAAAGATTCGGATCCCTGGAAAGAATGGAATTGGAAGGCACCCCTAGAATTCCAGCGGATGGTTTTGGGCCATGGGGGGTGGTTTGGTTCGGGGCCACTCCATTTATCTACTTTTCTCTTTTGTTTTGTTTGTCTTAGTTTTTTTTTGTTGTTGTTTTTTTTTTGTGTGTGTGGTTCCTTTGTTTTGTTTTGTTTTTGTTTTGTTTCGGTGTCCAACTCCTTCCCCGATCGATTCTCGGAGGCCAGGCCCAGGACCTCAAGCTGACCTGCGAGCTGAATCGCGCGGCCTGCGACCTGAAGCTGCAGCGCTACAAAGAGGCGAAGGTCGCCTGCCAAGTGGTGCTGCAGTCGCAGCCGGAGAACATCAAGGCGCTCTTTCGGAGAGCCCAGGCCAGGCGGTTCGAGATAAAATGGGGGTTTAGTTTGTGTGTTTGTGTGTGTTTGTTTGTTTGTTTGTTTGTTTTGTAATTTGTTTGTTTGTTTGTTTGTTGGTTTGTTTGTTTGTTTGTTTGGTAATTTGTTTGTTTGGTAATTTGTTTGTTTATATGTTTGTTTGTTTGGTATTTGTTTGTTTGTTGGTTTGTTTGTTTGTTTGTTTGTTTGTTTGTTTGTTTGTTAGTATGTTTGTTTGTTTGTTTGTTTGTTTGTTTGTTTGTTTAGTTGTTTGTTTGTTTGTTTGTTTGGTAATTTGTTTGTTTGTTTGGTTGTGTCTTTGTTTTTTTGTTTGGTAATTTGTTTGTTTGTTTGTTTGTTTATTTAGTTGTTTAGTTGTTTGTGTGTTTGTTTGTTTGTTTGTTTGTTTGCTTGCTTGCTTGCTTGCTTGTTTGTTTGTTTGTTTGTTTGTTTGTTTGTTTGTTGATATGTTTGCTTGTTTGGTATGTTTTGCTTGTTTGTTTGTTTAGTTGTTTGTTTGTTTGTATTTTGTTTGTTTGTTTGTTTGTCTGTTTGTTTGTTTGTTGATATGTTTGTTTGTTTGGCATGTTTTGCTTGTTTGTTTGTTTAGTTGTTTGTTTGTTTGGATTTTGTTTGTTTGTTTGTTTGTCTGTTTGTTTGTTTGTTTTGTTTGTTTGTCTGTCTGTCTGTTTGTCTGTCTGTCTGTTTGTTTGTTTGTTTGTTTGTATGTTTGTTTGGTTGATTGTTTGCTTGTTTGTTTGTTTGTTTGTTGATTTGTCTGGTGATTTGTTTGTTGTGTTGTGATGTCTGTTTGTTTGCGTTATCTGGTTTTTGTTATTGTTTTTAGTTTTGTTTGTCTTGTTTTGTTTGTTTTGTTTTGTGTGCTTCCTTTTGTTTTAACTTGTTGGTTTTGCATTGTTGTGTCCTGTTTTGCTTGTTTCGTTTTGTATTTGTTTTGTTGGTTTGCTTTGTTTTGTTTGTTGGCTTGTTTTGTTTTGTTTTGTTTGTTTGCTGATTGTTTATTTGTTTATGTTGTTTGTTTTTTTGCTTCTGTTTTTGTGTGTTGTTTTGTTTGGTTGCTTTGTGTTGTTTGTTTTATTGTTATTTTGTTTGTTGTTGTTTTGTTTTGTGTGTTTGCTGTTTTTACCGGTGTTTTGTTTGTTTGCTTTGTTCTGATTTGTTTGTTGGTTTGCATTTTTGTTTGTTTGGTTTGTTTTGTTTGGTTGTTTTTTTGTTTGTTGGTGTGTTTGTTTTGTTTGTTTGTTTCGCTTTGTTTGTTTGGATTCGTGTTGTTTTGTTTTGCTCGTTTGCTTTGTCCTGTTTGTCTGCATTGTTCTGTATTGTTTTGTCTTGTCTTGTTTTGTTTGTTTGTTTTGCTTAGTCTGGCGGGCCGGGGGGCGAGAGACCGTGCCTCATTGCAGGCGGCGCAAGTTCGGAATGGTTTGGGTTGGTACTGCCCATGCATCCGTTCAGGTAATCCTTCTCAATTGCTGGTTTGGGTTGGTGGTTTGGGTTGGTGGTTTGGGTTGCTGGTTTGGGTTGCTGGTTTGGGTTGGTGGTTTTTCTGGGTTTGAGCCCTGGTTCTGGTAGAGGGTAAGTAGGATACCAGCCCTGAACCACCAAACCACCAGGCTCCAAACCAACAATTGAGCGGGAAGCTGATCGCATCGGGCTAGTCGCGTCGCAAGGATCACTGGCTTTACAGCTCAGCTTCCCTCAAAAAAGGTGGTTTGAATGGTGGTTTGGTGGTTAGGTGGGTGGTTTCGCATGTTCCCTCTACAAAAAAGCAAGGGGTTCGAATCCAGTTCCAAACCGCCGGGCTCCAAACCTCCCTCAGGCTGAGCTTGGCTTGAAGAACTTCAGCGAGGGCGTCGCTGATTGCAAGAAGGTGCTGCAACTCGACGCCGAGAATCGGGATGCGAAGGTGTTGCTGAGGCAGGCGCTGGCCGGCCAGAAGGAGGCGGAAAAGAAGTACAAGGCGGTTTATGCGAGCATCCTGGCAGCATGCTACGTGTGAACTTTGTGCTGCATTTCCGCCCAAGAAACGCAACTTGTAAGTATATCTCATGGGTCACCCTGTGTGCAAGTTGCCAGTTGCCAGTTGCCCGCCTGGTTTCAAGTTTTGCTGCCAATAGCCTGCGATGCGGCTTCTCAGCCCTCATTCAAGAGTGGAGCTGCAAACCACCCTGTTGCTCGGCTTGTGCCCTTGGGCGTGTTTTTGAGGGTCCTTTTTGTGGCTTTTTTCCAGGGGTTCCAAATCTCACAGTGCAGAGCCAGTAAGCGCTTTGAGTCACACGGTCAGATGCGTTGTCAGGCATGTGCAAAGCTCTGGGCAAAGAGAATGAGCCCCAGCCAGCGAAGCCGGTTCCGGAGGTTGCCTCCAGCTTGAGAGAAAGCGACTCGGAGGATTCAAGCTTCCGGCTGCCACAAACAACAACCCCTCCCGGTTTCTTGGCAACATGTACTCCAGTTGGCCAACTTGGGACCTGTGTTTGTTTTTGTGTGTTCCATTTGGTGCCGTACCTGTCAAGGCTGGAGTTGGGTTCTCATGCTCCGAAGGGCAACTCGGGCGTGGTCTAAGGAGAGGTTCCGAGGGCTGGGGTCATCTCCACGGTCTTGCAGGGCATGTCCCGCGCGTTCCTCTTCTTCCCCAACTTGGCCGCCGGTCTCAATCCCGGGAGGGGCCATGAGGGGCGAGGGGCGAGGAGGGCAAAGGAGGGGTGACGCAGAGACAACTTGGCGCCTCGGTTGAACGGTGACTTTGGCCGAGGTATTTTCGAACTTCTCTCTCATCTTCGGGCGGTTCTGGCACCTAGTGACAGGCAAGAGGCACGGGCGCTGAGAGCTTGGCTGTCCGAACACCGGAGACGGAGTCGCCATGACACGGGGACCTTACCGCATGTTAGCAGTGCGTCACAGACTTCAGGCGCTCCCATCCATTCCGATCGCCGGGCCAATCTCTTTCACTGGTGGCGGGTCCCTGCTTGCAGTGCCCCGCCGGCACGGCCAAACGCGCCAAAGCGCGTCCACGGAGGTCGGTGAGGCTTCCACATGAGGGGAGAAGGCGTTTGGACAAGGGTCCTTGTACTTCCCTTTTCGGCAGGAATGAAGGATTGCAGTTCCACAACCCATGGCCATTCAATAGGCTTTCCCTGATCTGGTACAATGTCTGGCCGTGTTAGATTCTGAGGAGCCCCCCCAAGTCCTTTCCCTTCAACACAAGTTCCAAACAGGGGATCGTACTCATATGGTCAAGGTGTCGGAAGTTGCTGAAATGACCACTACTGTATCCACAGTGACCGCCTGGACGTTTGAGGCCTGGCTGTGTGAGCAGATTTGTTCCCCAGACTTTGACTGGTTTGTTTCAGCTGTTCCTCTTGTGCATGCTGGAGCGGGGGTTCATGGAAGACATGAAGCGCTTGGAGAAGACATCGACTCCCGTTCTGGGAGGAAAGTCCAAAATCCCGCACTCCCCACGAAACTTGGTGGCTCCCAGCCATCCCCTTAGCTTTTTTAGCCTTTTAGTGTCCATTTAACCAACTGAAAGTTAAGCCTGTAGCGGGAGATCTGAGGACAGCCCAAGAAAAAACCTGAGTCGCTCGCCGCCCCCTCAAGTCGCCGAGCTTAGTCGAATGCCAGTTGAGAGCCGCTGCAGCTGTACAGAGCAGGCGTGAGGCAATCGCATGCGTCACCGGCACCGGCCAGCTGGCCTGTGCCAAAGAAGTCGGGAACCCTTCCACTGCAATTGAGACGACTGCTTTTCCTGGCAGCTACACCAACTCTTCATCCTACGAGGTTGCAGCCAAGATTCGACCTACACCTACGAAAGTATTTCGGGGAGACGAAGGTGTTTCGTTTATTATTATTATTATTATTATTATTATTATTATTATTATTATTATTATTATTATGTTTTTCTTTTTCGCCCTCGTGTGCCCACAGATGACATGTGCCCACAGCCCACAGATGTTCAGTTGGGCGGTTGACGGGGGTTCTGGCCGACTGAAAGCCCAATGTGCCAGTCGTGCCCGGCCAAGAAACAACCAGCAACACCTCGCGCGGCCGACCGAGAAATGGCGGCAGCCTTTCGGCACCCGATGTTGGCTGTCCGGCTTTTCCGCTGGCAGGGGAAGGTAATTCAAAGAGGCCAGATTCGATGGGACGCTTTGTTGGGCCAACTCTTGACCGTTTGATCCATGGGCCGGGCGGTTCAAGCTGCCTTCGAGCTGTGCGCCGAGGCTGGAGATCAAGAAGTCGGAGCTGTCCATGGGTGCGACCATGCACTCCAGCGAGGCCGGCCCGATCCAAAGCAAGCGGGAAGGACTTGGGGCGTTGCGCGGTGGAACTGCCGCAAGGGTGGTTTCACCAATCCCCACAGCTCCCTTGGTCTTTGCGACTCGCTCAGTGCAACTAAGTGCGCGGCCTTTTCTTGTCGGCCTCAAATCTGGGGGGGCTGCTTGCGTTGCCTGACCACCAAGCGAGACTTGGAGCTTCCGGGGCTCACAAGGGAAGTCAAGCTGCATCTTCAGGCCTTGGCTTCAGGCGGTTTGCGGTTGAGGTGTTTCTCTGCTGCTGCATTTGCAGCATGCGCAGCCCGTCCATCAAAGCCGAGCCGGGAGAGCGCGCCGTGTGTGTGGCGCTTGTCCATGCTGCAGCTTTTGGGCAATCTCCCTGGAGTTCATGTCATTGAAACTGAGCGAGAGTGGTGTCTTGACAAGTGTCTCATGCCCTTTTGTTTCTTGACATGCGGGCTTGCAAGATTTTCTGCGCGCGCCCATTTCGTGTGTGACCCATGGGAATGCGCGTCAGCGCATCAGCCAAGCTTTTCCGTGAGTGACAGTGCCTTGCAGTATACAGACACACAATAGCTGTTGCTTCTTTTGGGGCCCGACCCCCCCCCCCCCACAGCTCCCTGGCTGAATCGCAAGGCGTCCCCAGAGATGAGGCATATCCGCGCGCGGCGCCCAGTCTTTTGTGTTGGGGCACCTTGGAGGCAATGCCTTGCCAAGGTGCTGGAAAACAGGTTGGACAAGACCCACATCAAGTACAACGAGGCAACGCCAATTCTTCAAGATCCTGGAAGGGTCGTGGGTCATTCTATTTTGCGAGATCCACTGAGCTTAGCTCAGCTTCTCAAGCTTCAGATTTTTATGCCAGTGACAGAGGCTGTGTTGGTGTGGGGGTTTTCGTGGTTTTGAGATGCTGTGCAAAGTTGAAGGAGGTTTGGAAAAGCCTTCTAGAGCCGAAGCTGACTTTTCGATTGATGCTACAAGGCAGCGTGCTGCATGGGTACTCGTTTGACGGGGCTCTTTTTTGGGCTGCTTTTATTTCGACCCATAAGCACCGAACCTGTCAGGCAGTTTGGCGACAAACCCCCGAACCGATCTGTGTCTCAAGGCTAGGGGCTCCTCCAGTCGTTTCTTTTGGATTCTTCTCTTTCAATCGGGAAGCATGTTTTTATGGTGTGCCCTACAGGCCATTTGTTCTCCTGCTTGGCATGTGTCTGACAGGCGCAAAGCATCCGCAAGACCTATGAGGCCGGGGCAGACCTTGGGTTCAAAGCCGACCCGTCGAGGGCTCTAAACGCGAGAATTTTGAAGGGAGGGTGTTCAGAGTTCGAGCCACCCGCCAGAGGCAGCCTAGGTTCCAGCAGCCGGGCCGTTGTTCAGCTTTTTTTGGTGGGTCGGCCAGTCGTCAGCGCCCAGGCCATTGTCAAGCGCCTCAAGGAGGAACGGATGGGCTTCGACAACCAGCTGGCAGGAATCGAGAGGACGCTGAAGGCAGAGTCGCCCACAGGTCCATTTGAAATGTCCATTTGCGCTGCACAAAACTGGCTCCTTCCCTTCATGGGGCATTGGCACGCGCTTGAGGCACGAAGCAAGGCGATTTTCTCCATGTCTTGACCTGGAAAGTGCCAGAATATCTCGTGGGCGTACGTAGAAATAATGATTCCGTTCTGCCTGCCTGGTTTTTGAGAGGTTCCTGGTCCGGCAGGCCAAAGAGCGCGACTATGAGGAACTCCTCTTGCTTTCACATGACGCCTACCATGCCAAGGAGAAGGGGTGAGGGATGTGCAGGGTGCAGAAGGTCAGCGGGCGCAGGCGCCAGGCAAGCAGCGACGTGGCGAAGTGGAAGTTCGCCGCAAGCCTGTTTCGGTGAGGGGGGCAGAATGCAGAGCCCTTTTTACCCTCCAAAAGCCATCCTCAAGAGGTATTTGGACTCTCTGGGCTAGGCATGTGAAACCGAACTCTGAACTTACATGAACGAAGAGGGTGCCGCCTGGAGCAATGCTGTGCCGCTGGGTTGGCCGCAATCAGGCTTTTCTAGTTGGCAGCTAGGGCTGGTCAAATTCTGCCACAAAAGCAAACCGGGTGGGGGGGCATAGCTTATCCGGACGTCTGGTTTTGAGACCCCCTTTCAATGTGCTTTCTGATTCTTTGTTGCAACCTGTAGCTTTCTGTTCTCCTTTATCCGCAGGAGATGGCGCAAGCTGAGCAAGGGCCTCAGATGTGAGACAGCGTTCGATGTCGTCCTTCGTATGAAAAGCTGGCAAACTGGTATTTAGCCTCGTTGGGACCATCTGGGTATCATTTTATGTGCCGACTTGAAAGGGTCCCCAAAGCGCCATCCAACTTGCGTTCTCTTCAAATCTCATCCCAGTAACAAACCCGCGCCCACCAGACAGAAGAACAGTCCTCGTCAGTCTGATAACCAGATTGCTGAGGCAAAAATAGGGGTTTTGGGTCAAATGGACACTTCGCATGGCTGAGTTGCTCTTTTTCCTGGAAGGCGGTTCGTGTGTCAAGGACATGAGCTCCAAGTGGGCGTCGTTTGGGTTCCTGTAGTTTGGAAAACTGTTTCAACATGCGATGATTGTGTGTGTGTGCGGGTGTGCTTCTAGCATTGCAGGTGTTGCAGTCTCCAGCTTTTTATGTGGCAGATAGGGGTTGCTGATCTTTGTCACCTTTGTTCAACCCAACCTTCAGGGTATCGTCGGCATGGTCATGCGTTTGGTTGCACCATTGTTCAAATTCGTACGTGGTGGCATAAATTGAAAAACCCGAGCACATGAATACTATCGGGTACATCTCCAACCAAGCGTACCCACATGGGCATGTATCAACGTAGAGTTCCGAGTTCCCCCCCCAAATGGTTGCATTCCATAAACCAACCCAACAAAGGTCTATCAAGCACAAAACCCACATGGTCACAGAACTCCGTCACTTTTTTTTTCTTTTTCTCTTCCAGGCTGCATCGCTTTGAGCAGGGCGTCATGGAGGAGAGGAACCAACGGGACAAGGAGGTGCAGGAGAAGAAGGCGATGAGTGGGGGTTCGGGTTGGGGGCAAGAGCTCTTTAAGCTTTAAACAAGCAACCCCTCGACCATAGGTGTCCTCTTTGGTTGTTTTGGTAAAAAATAGAGGGCGATTCCTGGTTTACCTGGTGGTTTAATCATCTACCAGGGCTATCTATTTCCGCTAAAAGGACGCCTATGCCCTCGACCCTTTTTACAAAGGGCAGACACAAGGAAAGTGTTTGAACGATAGTGGCTTCAAAATGTTTAAGCAATCGGATTGGCCAAACGCTGATGGGGAGGGTTTGCAAGATTCAGGGGTGGCGGGGGGGAGGGGGAAACACCCTAAACAAAACGGTGGATTGTCAACAAAAAGTTGAGGGAACCATGAGGGAACCATGAGGGAACCAAAAGGCACAAGTTTAACGTATTGTCTAAGCCCTGGTTTGCTGCCGTTGTGGTTTCAGACATGGTTTCACTTCCATTTGCTCAAGAATGTGTTGTATTTTCTGTTGGCTTTAAAGGGAATCTATCACTACTGGAACTCTTTTTTCCAGACGGCTAAACCGCACATGGAGGTCGGTCGGTTGGCCGAAGCACTAAGCTTGAGAGGCACCCAGCGAGCTTGGGCTTTGAGGACACGAGGATGGTTTCCCTGGGGTCTTTGTTGATATCAGGGCGGGAGGCATAGGTGGCCTTTATCTTCTTGGCTGTTTTGGTGTCCTTTTTCTTTTTGGATGTTTTGGTGTCCCTTATCTTTTTGGCTGTTTTGGTGTCCTTTTTCTTTTTGGCTGTTTTGGTGTCCTTTATCTTTTGGCCGTGTTGGTGTCCTTTTTCTTTTTGGCTGTTTTGGTGTCCTTTATCTTGTTGGCTGTTTTGGTGTCCTTTTTCTTTTTGGCTGTTTAGGTGTCCTTTATCTTTTTGGCTGTTTTGGTGTCCTTTTTCTTTTTGGCTGTTTTGTTGTCCTTTATCTTTTTGGCTGTTTTGGTGTCCTTTATCTTTTTGGCTGTTTTGGTGTCCTGTCTCTTTTTGGCTGTTTTGGTGTCCTGTCTCTTTTTGGCTGTTTTGGTGTCCTTTATCTTGTTGGCTGTTTTGGTGTCCTTTATCTTTTTGGCTGTTTTGGTGTCCTTTATCTTGTTGGCTGTTTTGGTGTCCTTTATCTTTTTGGCTGTTTTGGTGTCCTTTTTCTTTTTGGCTGTTTTGGTGTCCTTTTTCTTTTTGGCTGTTTTGGTGTTCTTTATCTTTTTGGCTGTTTTGGTGTCCTTTTTATTTTTGGCTGTTTTGGTGTCCTTTATCTTTTTGGCTGTTTTGGTGTCCTTTCTCTTTTTGGCTGTTTTGGTGTCCTTTCTGGTTGTTTTGGTGTTTTTGTTGGTTGATTTGGTTGAAAAATAGAGGGCGATTCCTGGTTTACGTGGTTCAATCAACTACCAGGGCCATCTATTTTCCCAAAAAGGACACCTATGGCTGGTGGCTGTTGCTTCGTCACGTCAAGAGAATCGTGGCTCGCAGCAAATCGCTGGTTGGAGCATCTGGGTTTGTTTCTGGTCTTGATCCATGGCCGTGGCAGGAGGTGAAAAAACAACCAAAAACAAGCCGTGGCTGTGAGGCCTTGGTGGAACAGAGGGTGGAGATGAACAAACGCCCGCCAGCTTAGCGATGTGCATGGCATATGCGACTTGCTGGTTCCTGGCCACCATGGAACCTGAGAGATTCCTGGAAGGCCAGTCCAAAGGATCCTTTGGGGGTTCAATGTTTGTGGCTGGGCGTACATCGGCTGGAAGCAGAGCCCAGAAGAACTTTGCACGGCGATGTCTTGTTAAAACAAAGCAAGGCCTGGAGATGCGGGAGAGGATGCAGAGGCAGCAGCAACAGGACTGGACCAACAGAAGAGATGTTGGGGAAGATTTGCTTGCAAGTGCTCGTGTGCAGGTAGAGTACTTAGATGGTTATTCAGCTAACCGGAGAACCCTAGTTGTGGGGTCTACCAGAAAGGGGGGTTGAACTGGGGATGAGTGTGTGTGGGGATCAACTATTCAGCTGGCTCCTCGATCATGCCAAGTTTGCCTAGAGGGGTTCTCGCTGTTCCCTGCTGCTTGTTTACCATGCTCCCATTCACACGTCAGCTGGGAGGTTGATCACTAGTCCTGGCTCCCAGTTTTGACCATGGGCAGCTTTTCCCATTTAGCGGGTGACATCTCAAATCTTGTTTTGTGGTTTTCCATCCAATGGTCATCCCATGACCTTTGGATTTCAACGCCAGGAGGTGGAGAGCGCGCAGAAGGCCCAAGCCAGGGACGTGCCAGTCACGGAGACGGCAGGCTGGAGAGATCGAGGAACTGTGCAACCAATTGAAACATGTGGTTTTTTCAACGCCAAAATAAAGGGAAAACCAGCATTTACAAGTTGCGATGTTCAGGCGCATAATGTAAGGATCCCTGTTTCTCCCGCGTGCCAGGCACCGCGGGAGATGTTGCGGAGGACAGGGGTCTTCGATACTATGGTTGTTGGGGGACTTTTGGAAAAGTGGTTCACTGTTGGTGGGACTCACCAGCGGCTTGCAACTTTCGACTTGGGAGAAAGCTGAAAACCCAGTGACCCTTGGAGGAAGATCAGAAGATCCAACTCTTCATTCACGCCTTCAACCAGATCAAGGAGGCCAGAGCCGACCAACGCGACCATTCAACAAGCGAGTTTGAGAGTACAAACACTCTGAAAGGCGACCGGCGTGAACGACCCCAATGAGATCATCCAAAAGCCCGGGTGCTGAGTTGTTCTGCGTGACTGATGGGCTGCACGGTGCGACTTGCGGCTGAGGTTCCTCACGCAGGACGACACTCAGAAGAATCTGACGCAGCTGACCAAGGACCATTGGGGCTCCGTTCGCGCATGATTTTGAGGCCCCAAGGCGGGGTTGGCCGACGGAAGGCGGGTTCCTGCCGATAGGAAGGTGAGTCTTTTTTGATGGTCGGGCACCAGCTTTGCAAGTGAGGCGCAACATCTACTTTTGCCGAAGGGGTGGCATGAAGCAGGCTCAATAGATCAACCCCGAGCTGAGCGATGCTGGGGTTCGTCTCTCATAAGGCTCGAGCAGGCCCAGTGGAGCTCAGACAGCCCCTCAGCGCAAGGGAATGCCTATGGATCGATGTTGCAGTGCCCGAAATGACGGTCCTTGCTCCTTGTATCAAGCAGGGGCCAAATGGGGTCCTGAACCTTTGGATGAGGTGTGGCTTCACCAGACATCAGACAGAGTCAGGCACAGAAACACCGTCCGACAGAGAGTCAGGTGGCAGAGAGCCACAGACACAGGGCCACAGAGGCAGGCACAGAGTGTCAGGCGCAGAGCCAGAGGCAGGCAGTACGATTACCCCACTGGCGGTATGGGACTCTGTCAGGACAATCACGCCACCATCGAAAAGTTGCAGGAGGAACGTCGCCAGCTCCGATCCCAAGTGGAGGAGCTTCGGAAGCGCGGAGGGTGCCATCTAAGTAGATGGTCCCTTTGTTTGATGCTACCCTCCTTGCGGCTCATTCTGGGGGTAGAGGGAAACTAGGATGTTCAGGCACAGCCGAAGACAAGCAATCAGGCAACCCAAATGTTGCTTGTCCAAAGCAGACTTGCTGACCTTTGAAATTTGCATTTTTGGTCATAGCCTCAGAATAAGTATACTGTCGGTGGCGCATGATTTATATTATATATATATATATATATATGGCATACTGTTTTTGGGTCAAGGCTCAGCTCCATTTCATGTTAAGTGTTTTTCTTTGACTTGGGCCATTGCTTCAGTCTCGTTGTTTATGCTCCGGGTCGGCAAGGCGGTTGCACATGGACCCCAGCAACCCAGCAACCCGAGGTCCCAAGCAGAAGTTGTTCCCGATCCAGAGGGCTTCACAGCCAGTGATCTTTGTCTAAACGTTCGATTTTGCGGTGGTTGAATCTGTGGCTGTAATACTGTAAGCAAAGTTTGGCCTCTTCAAGTGGTTTGTTGATGTTGGCTTGTCATTTAGTCGCCCTGGTGTCAGGTGCACGCAGTCCCGGTGTTTTCCGACCACTTTTTACCCACCTCACCCTTGGAACACTTGTGGCTCCCTCGTTCCCTACGGAGCACCAGCAAGTCCAAGAGACCGTCAAGCAAAAACTCTTGCTCCAGCGGTTAAACAAAAGGATACGGGGGAAAGACAAAAAAAACAACAACCACCTAGAGTCTCCATGACCCCTAGACAAAGGGGTACATGACCCCTTTTATTTTGGGTAATGACCCCATTTTTCAAGGGTCATGGAGACTCCATCTAGATTTAATGATTCGAACTAAGTATTCTTTTGGGGGGGGGGCGGGATGCATCGCAGACCCCTCCCCCAGCGGGCCACAGCTTTGGTGCCTGGCGAGGAGTTGAAGTTCTCCAATGGCGGTGGCGGTGGCCGGCGGCAGGCGGGGAGGTGAGTTGATGGCGAAGGGCTCATGAGTTACACGGCGTTCTTGGCTGCAATAAAATGGATTTGAGGATATCGGCCACAACTCTCCAAAGTTCATGGGGGCTGGGGAGGGAGGGGAGGGAGGAAGCCCAAATAAGCCCTTATTAAGCCCGTAATTTAGGCCTTATTAAGGGCTTATTTGGGCTCCCTCCCCCTCCCCTCCCTCCCCAGGCCCCCGGTGAGCTTTGGCCAACTCATGTGCTTCGGATCCATTGAGCCAAGTGGGCGGCTACGTACAGCGAGAGTTTGAGGGTCCGGCAGGGGTCTGGCTCGAGCGAGCACCTGGGGCCCCACAACCCCACCATGGCTTCAGAAGATGGTTTCTGTATTTTTCTTATGGTTTTCCAGAGGCTGCCAAAAGACCCCCCCATAGTGGCCAATTTGCACAGAGACCAGTGGGGTCTTGTTGATAGAGTTTGCTCTTGGCAAATTCAGGGTGTAAACTCCTTTGGGCAGGATGTTCAAAGGGCGGCAGGGAATCCCGTCGAGGGCGCACACCTTTTTGTGGATTGGAAGGGCCGGCCTGGGGCCAGGATTCCAGGATATCAAGAAACCCCTTGGCTGCTGAAGGGGGGGTCGGTTTTTTTTTTGCTATCCTTCGCTTTGTTTTAAAAAAAACTGGGGGGTGTGGGTAAACACCCTTTTACGAGTCTCACGGGTTCTACTTGAATCTGAGATCGACATCCACCTGTTGGGTTTCCCTCCCATTTTCTGTCCAGAACCCCCCCGGCCCCAACTCCCCCATGCTTTCCTTCCCATTTTTAGCCCAGGCCCCCAACTCCCCCTATGTATGTTTTTTTTTCCACAGCTCCTGCGCCTAGGGCCCCACCCACCCCGCCCCCCGCCCCCCGCCCCCGCCCCACCCGCCCCGAGCGAGCGAGCGAGCGAGCGAGCGCCAGCGAGGCCATCGACGACTTCGAGACCCACCTGGGCGAGGCCACCGAGAAGTGCGAGCGCAACCGCGGGAAGTACGAGCGCCTGGCGCGGCCCCTTCGGCTTCGCCCGCCGAGGGGAGGAAGAAAAAAAACAAAAACGCCGAGTGGCGCGTCGGCCGGTCGTTTTTTCCTTTGTGTTTATTTCTTTATTTCTTTATTTCTTTCTTTCTTTCTTTCTTTCTTTCTTTCTTTCTTTCTTTCTTTCTTTCTTTTCTTCTGTTGTTCTTTTATTTTTGTTAAAACAATAAAAGATAAATAAATATGTTTGCTTCAATGGGGGGGGGGTAAAATGTGTAATCCACCAGAAAAAGGACCGCAGGTAAGAAGAGTCCTTGTTTCGATTTACCAGGGCAAGCCGTTCTTGGGAACGTATGTTTGACCCACAGCCAAAGGGGCAGACTATACGTCAGGTAAGTGGGTAATGGTCCATGGTGATAACCCACAAAAGCCGTGGTGAAAGGTCTACGCGGTTAGAACCAGGCTTAACCATTTATATGCCCCTTCAAGTGGGGTCGAACAGGCCGCCCAGTTGGGCGGTGTGTTTCTCTTGGCTCCCTTGTACTTTTGCAGCTTGTTTTTGGATGTGTCCTTTAAGGGACCCGAGTTTCTTCTGGAACAAAAACGGCAGGGGAGGGAGGTTCCTTGAGTGGACGGTTCCAGCTTCGAAATGATACGGAATCTGTGTGTCTAAGCCTGACAACACACACACATGTCTGCCTATATAAGCATAATTAAGCATATATGAAACTATAGATATACATATCTGTGTATACATGTGTAAGTCGACATATGCATATCTGAATCTGTACGTAGATATACGCACGCACGCAAATGTAGCTCGAGCGGGCTAAATGTCCATGCCAATGACCATCGCTTTTGGGGCTTTCCATGTTGGGTCCGTCGCCAAGGATGCTGATCGACGTCAAGGCGGGGTGCTGGATTTGCCGCACACTGCCAGTTCATTTGAATGTGGTGTGCACACATCCCAGGCACCAACTCGTTGCTCGATCCTGGAAATATGTCTTTGAAGTGAGACTCTTGTAGTTCTGCCTGCCCTGGTGAGTGTATTTATGGCTGCCAGCAAGGATCCCTACATTGCTGCGGGTCAAACATATGTACCCCAAATGGCTTGCTCTGGTCAATGGAAACATGGACTAAAATCTGCAGCCCATATCCTGCTGACAAATTTTGAACTTCATGGCGGCGGGGGAGGGAGGGGAGGGGGAGGGAGCCCAACTAAGCTTTAAATAGGGCTTATTGGGGCTCCCTCCCCCTCCCTCCCCCCCAGCCCCCATGATTTTGACCCACACCCACATTGGCCATCGAAGCTTTCGAAGCTGGGTTGTTGTTTTTTTGCGCCTTTTTGGACGGCCATCGACGGCAATCGAGGCGGGGATCAGCCATCTTTCGGAGCTCCCGGGCGAGCAAGATGGGCGAGAAAGATGGGCTTTGGTTTTCCCAGGTCTCAAGTACCTTCCTTGACCAGGGCTCCCAGGGGGGTTGCTCGCGAGGGCGAAGGTTCCCGCGCCAATTGGCACTGTTGGTTTCTTTCCTAAGGGCTTGACTGCTATTGGGTTGAATCTTTAACATGTTGCAACCACTTGAAACATGTTGCTTTTTCAACGCCAAAATAAAGGGACACCTCCATTTACAAGTTGCAATGTTCAGGTGTATAATGTAAGGATCCCTGTTGACTGCTATTGGGTAACGGATCTTTAGACTTTAACCTTTTGGTTGAAATCAAGGAAGGGGTTTTGAACTCCCCCAAAGAGTTAAAATTTTCGCAGGGGGGTCAACAGCAACCAAGCTAGGGAGGTACTGAACGAGCCCTTACCCCCCTTCAATGATTCAAGCCATCAACAAATTGGAGGTAAGGGACCCTCTGGGTTTGGAGCTTCGCTTGGGGTGTTCGACTTAGGTAGGCTTGTTCTGTTGCATCGTCTCATGTCACAGAAGGCCACCCAACAGTGGCCTTCAACCTGCATACAATTTAGCCCTGCTCAGAAGAATCAGAAGATCTGCTTGACTACTTTTCTCTGAGCGTTCTGTTTGTAGTAAGTAGGCTACAACCCTGGTTAGAACTGTGCAACTGGGCTTAGTTGGCTTATAACCATGGTCAGAACATGTCTACTGACTAAGTTGGTTGAACACCCAAGTAGTGAACCTTTCCCAGCACCCTCCCGCAAGCAGGCGCGCTTTTCAAATGCGGGCCTGTAGCCACCCCCCTCAAAAGAAATACGGTAGAAACGCGCTATATGGCCGCCCTCAATTGAGAAAACCATGCAAACAATCTGGCTGGTCAGATCTGGTCTGCTTCAAGTAGTGTTTGAGTTAGTATTGTTCAGTATTGGTGTAGTTTGCTTGCGGTGTAGAACAAGTTAGAACGAATTAGTACTGCTCAGTCTTATTTAGTGTTGATGTAGTATTGCTTTGGTTCAGGGTCAGCCATAGAGGCCAGGAACATGCCTGATAAACACCTGTTTGGCAAATCTGGTTTTGTTCTTTCACCTGTACCTAACTTTGCTTTCTGTTGGGTACCCCTTACCTTTTGGGGGCACTGAATCGTTTCAAAAACATGTGTGTTGGGCACCCTTGGATGAACAAGCCCCGACATTACAGACTGCGTTTCAAGGACTACAATCCTTGGACGAGGAAGCTGTCTGTGCACTTCCATGTTTTTTGGCAATCATGTGTGCTTGAAGCGTTACGCCTGGCATGATTCCTTGTCAATCCCAACAGGGGGCAACAGGGAGAGAGAAGTTGAATGTTGGCTTTACAAGTTGCCAACTGCCCGCTTTGACTGCTCGTTTGTTTCAGCCTCTTTGTTGGAGATGTGGTTGTTTTAGGCAGGCGGCTCTCTCGGAGCCGTGTAACTGTCATCGAATCTGAGTCTTGGGGTTGGGGAGGGGGGTGGGGGGTGGGGGGTGGGGGGGGGCCAATGAATGCGGCGCTTCTCTGTTGCGACCACCTGTGCTTGGGGTGGGGGGTGGGGGGGGGCGAATGAATGCGGCGCTTCTCTGTTGCGACCACCTGTGCTTGGGGTGGGGGGTGGGGGGTGGGGGGGGGGGCCAATGAATGCGGCGCTTCTCTGTTGCGACCACCTGTGCTTGGGGTGGGGGGTGGGGGGTGGGGTGTGGCGGGGGGTCAATGAATGCGGCGCTTCCATTTCTGCTGTCATGTGCACCATAGCCGACGGAGCCTCCAGCCTAGGTCATTTCAGCTTCTTCTCGTGTAATCCAAGCGTTCATTTTCGCATTATGTTTATGTGTTCCAACAAGCGGGATTTTGGGCATATTTACTACGTTTTTTTTTTCCAGCATCCCACGACGGAGCCTCCAGCCTAGGTCATTTCAGCTTCTTCTCGTGTATTAGGTCAAAAAAACAAACTTTTCGGGGACCCCCTTTGCACAGCCCATGTCGCAAGAAGTTTGAGTCAAATGAGGCAAAAACACCGCAAATACCAGTGAATTTGCCTTCTCGCACTTCAAAACACGCAAAATGCTGTCGGTGACAGTTACACGGCTCCCAGAGAGCCGCTTGCCTTGTTTTAGCGTTGTAAATCCAACACAACCTCGACACGAGCCCTGGCTGGCTTCCACAGAGGGAGATTGTGTCCAAAGGGCCAGGGAGGCAACCGGGCACCGGAGAACAGTCGGCTGAGGCTGCTGAACCCCATCAAGTTGGAGGGCGAAGCACCGCAGCCGCAGCTCGGACCAAATGCCCAGCGAGCGAATCCGAGTTTTGGGGGTGACAAATCAGAGTCTCGCCCAGAATTGTGGGCCTTCTGTGGGGTGAAATCGAGGAGAAGGATCGGTACTGTGGACGGACGAGATCCTGCAAAACCTGAGGAACGCTGCAATGATGATTCCCTGCATAAATGCCAACCAACAATGGTTTCAAGCATGGCTTGAGAGTGATGCAGGATTTCGTCCATCCACAGCACGAAAACCAACTGGGCGGGCCACCTAGGAGACCTAGGAGGCTTGGAAGAAAGTTGATGTCGCCAACTCTGGCGGGCCCAAAGGGTCAGAGTGCGCTTTCCCAGCGCAAGCAGAAACCGGCTAGTGCCCTTTTACCCTTTTTGGGGGAGGGTTCCCCTACTAAAATAGACTACAGAACAAAGGGTACCCTTACTCTAACCTCTCTACTGGAGCACCTAGTTGGCATGCAGACGCTAAAAGTTAGCGTCTGCAGAACCACCGGTCGCCCGGCGCAAAGGCTGGAGATGAGCGATGAGACGGTAGAGGAAGTTCTCCAGGAGAGCGAAAAGAAGATCTCCAAGCTTCTCAGTGCCTTGCTTTGCAATTAAGGACCGGCTTGTCGCATCCCCACCCCTTAAAAATGGAATGGGGGAGGGGGGTGACCCCTGGAATTTCATTTGTGGTTCCATTTTCGCGTTTGTGGGGAGACTAGCTAAATGGAATTGGGGACCCCCCACCCCCCTCCTCCTGAAGGTAGGGGGGATGTTTTCGGTTTTCTTTACCTCTTGCTTTCCGGGCCCTCGCGGCAGGGTGACGCTTTCAATTCCGTTTGGTCAACTCAAATGCCGAAGGCCCTGCCTTCTGAACCAAGGCTTGACGGCCAGATTCGAGGACTCAGCTGTTTGCCAGGGGCGTGGAAAGGGAGATTGAGCTACCCTCTTTCCAACAATCATGGAAGGGGACAAAAGGGTTGCCCAAAAGGAAAATAGTCTTCCAAAACCCTGCTGTCAGCTTCCATGATTGTTGGAGGGAGAGTACCTTGGACATAATGGACCTTCATTATGTTAATCAGAACCAGCCCATCTTCATTCAGAGAGGCCAGCATGGGCGCATCCTTGAATGCTCATGTGGAGGTGCGCTGCTTGCCAGTTGAAGTTGTAGTTGTGGCATCAGAGATGATCATATTTGATTTGGGCGTTCGCCCGCGCATTGCCGACATGTGCTCGGACCCTGGGCCGAATGCTCACGCAATGCAAGACGTGCAGCCAGATGTCGCGTGCCGGGCGCAACCAGACATGTCGCCTGTCAATGGCATGATTTCGTCAGGTAGGCGTACCCGGAGTCCAGACATTCTGAAAATAAGGTGAAGCTGAAAATCGCCGCGTTGCAAAGAATCCACCTCCCTCGCCACAGACAAGCCCCCAAGCCCCCAAGCCCCCAAGCCCCAAGCCCCGGCCAGCCCCGGAAGCCAGGAGGTGAGCGAGCATCAGCGTCAGATGGACGAAGAGCGGTACGAGGAGAAGCTGATGATGCGAAGCCAATCCGAGGCCCGGACTCTCCGGAAGCCTCCGAACCTCTTCAGCCGCATGTGGCAAGGAAAGCAAAAGACGTGAGTGTGGGGAAAACCGCAGCGGAGTCTTCGAACATGAACCCTTGCACATGGTGGAAATGGATTTTTCCAGCAGTCTTAGGCAAATTTAGGGTTTATGGTTGAGGCACGTCTCCAGGGCCACATAAATAAGTACCTTTGCGCTTAGGCAACTCAGAAGTACCATGGCCCCAGTCTAGCATGGCAGAATGAGATTCCGCCTTTCACACGGCATACGTCACTGCAGCTGAATTTTGCAGAAAGGGCCCAAGAAAAAGAAACAACTCAAGTTGGGGGATGTTCACCGAATTGCAAAAATAGGCAACACGAAGCACACATCGAGTTAGGGGGGACGTTCACAGATGATTACTTCGTGTTCCAAGACGTTTGACATGAACAAAGTGAAGGGAATCCAGGCCAGGCCATGCGTAGTTGGGGGAGTGGCCTGTCCGTGCTTCAGCCCGGGGTGCCGCGTGCAGCTTGGCTCGTGCCAGGCACGCATCAAGCTCACCGACAAGGAGGAAGACAATGAAGATGACGATGCTGTGCAGCATGATCTTTTTTTCTGCAAACCCTTGTGGACCTCATTAGGCTGGCTGGTTTTTGAGGATGCATTCTCGAAGGGATCACTGTATCACCAGTCAGGAAGCCCATGTTTTTTTCTCGTTAAATCCCACGGTTTTGGCCCAGCATGTTTTGTCAGGCATTGATGCGAGGTTCGAAAGGCTTGCTTCTCGGGTGGTAAATGTTGAAGCTGCCTTCTCGCACTCATTGGTGTTCTTGTTTGGTGGTTTCGCTCAAAAAAATAGAGGGCGATTGATTCCTGGTTTACCTGTTGGTTCAATCATCTACCAGGGCCATCTATGTTCCTTAAAAAGGACAGTTTCCAGAGGGCGCAAGCACCTTCTAAGCCATCTTCTTGAGGTACTTGGACCCTTTGGGCCTATGCTCGCACCCGTAACCTTTTTCCGCAAGCTGAAGGCGTCCCGCCCATCAGTTTGAGGCCGCTGCCAAGGCTTGAAGAACACGCCATGCGTATGCGCAAATATGTTGGCCTACGGTTCTCTCACAGTTCCTACATGTGGCACTAGCTAATCGGCACATATATAGGTGTAATTTATATATATATATATATATATATATGGTCACCCCCCCCTGCATGACCTACCGTTGTCTTTCAAAAAGTCGTTGGGGACCATTAGCAGACAATAAAAAAGTGAAAAAAAACACCTGTTTTTATGGTGTTCGATTAAAACACAACACAGTCAACCATTGAAAAATTAAGAAAAACCAGTGTGTTTTGATGTTTTTAGCAAAAAATGTGCAACAACCCATGTTGTTTTTTAGAAAAACAGGAAAGCATTCAAAAAAACACGTAAAAACTGATATGTTTTTCAGATAGATCCCTAAGTCAAAAACTAAGAATTCCCTGGGTGTTTGATGGTTTTGCAGTAAAACCATCAGATTTCCTTGGGTTTTTAGCCACATAAAACCAAGAAAACCTCGAGAAAACCAAGAATCCAAGAATCCAAGATTTTCAGGTAGATGTTTGGTCCACTACAACATCTTGGATTCTTGGTTTTCTCGAGGTTTTCTTGGTTTTCTTGGTTTTACTTGCGAATTCTTGGATTTCCAGCAAAAACCGAGAATTACTAGAGTTTTTGGATTTCCAGCAAAAAACCAAGAAAACCTCGAGAAAACCAAGAATCCAAGAATCCAAGATTTTCAGGTAGATGTTTGGTCCACTACAAAATCTTGGATTCTTGGTTTTCTCGCTTTTCTTGGTTTTCCTGGTTGTACTTGGGAATTCTTGGATTTCCAGCAAAAAACCAAGAATTACTAGGTTTTTTTTTGGATTTCCAGCAAAAAACCAAGATTTATTAGGGTTTGTTTGGATTTCCAGCAAAAAAAACTAGGGTTTTTTTGGATTTCCAGCAAAAAACCAAGATTTACTAGGGTTTTTTTGATTTCCAACAAAAAACCAAGAATTCCCAAGTAAATCAAGGAAAACCAAGAAAACCTCGAGAAAACCAAGAATCCAAGATTTTGTCGTGGGCCTGACATCTACATGAAAATCTTGGATTCTTGGATTCTTGGTTTTCTCGAGGTTTTCTTGGTTTTCTTGATTTTACTTGGGAATTCTTGGATTTCCAGCAAAAAACCAAGAATTACTAGGGTTTTTTTGGATTTCCGCCAAAACATAAGATTTACTAGGTGTTTTTTAATTTCCAGCAGAAAACCAAGAATTCCCAAGTAAAACAAGGAAAGCCAAGAAAACCTCGAGAAACCCAAGAATCCAAGATTTTGTCGTGGGCCAGACATCTAAAACAACAGAAATACCAGCACCAACTGAAGACGAAGAAGAAGAACCACAAAAAGATAACTTTGAAAAAGTAAAAATAATGAAAATAATAGTTTGGAAGACATTAAGAATTTAAGTATAGATGAAACAACACGAGCAGACACTTTAATTATTAAATCTCTTCAAGAATGTGTGACACGAATTGAGAAACTAGAGAAAGAAAAATCTGACAAATTAATATATAAATTTCCTGCCTTACAATTTTGCAATGCTTCGTTAATTTAAATTAATAATATTAACATATAATAATATTATTAATTGCTATTATAATCTGTCATTTTATCCTCTGGTATTGTTGTTGAAGTAGTACTACTTATATCATCTATTAAATCTTCTTCATCAACAAAATTATTTTGAAATCTTAATAATTCCTCGTCTGTTGCCCTTCTTTTCAATACTTTACAAAGTTTATGTATCCAAGAATTAGTATGACAATTACAATTACCTCTACGATAAAATCCACCACATCTACATAGTTTCATTGGCATATTATATTAAATTAGAATATCTTTATTCATCATTCGTAATTTGAAATGCCTGTTCAAATCTGATATGAAACATTTTGTTAATGTCTTTAGCATTCATATTCACGTAGAAGAAACTATAAGGTGCGTCATTAACGGCTTGATGATACATATCTAATAATTGCTGTTTATCAACAATGGCGCTATTTTCTTCAATAAAACTCATTAACTCACTTGCATTTTTCAACCTAAAAATATATAATGAACTGGCATTTAAACGAATGATAGGCACTAAAACATTATATTTTTGTGTTGAACAAATTACACTTACTGCATCGTGCCTGCCTCTTGTAAAAAGTCCGTGTAATAATTTACTATATCTAACAAATTTAGGATCGTCTGCGTGGTCATCTACAACGATTAATATTGAATGCGTGGTCATCTATAACGATTAATATTGAATGTAGTTTCTTTATCTTTTTAGACTTCATATAATTAATTATTTTCTTCTGTCTTTCAATTACATTTTCTAAATCACTTGGATTATAATTATCAAAGTAAATTTGTTCTTTTGCATCATCCACGTGCAATTCATCCCCCATGTATTTTTTAACTTCTGTAAAAGTTGGGTCATTATGAACGCTGGGGGAAAATATAAATATTCTTGCAAATGAATTTCTGTAAACATTCAAGATAAGGTTTTGGACTAAAACTGTTTTGCCTCCCGTCGATGAAGCAACTATAATACTTCTAAATGGTAATTTTAGCACATGCTCATATTTGGATTGTTTGAATTCATATTCAGTTATGTTTATTGGTTTTATTATTGGGACATCTGTCATAGTTGATATTAAAGAAATACAGAACATTATATTTAAAAAATAATTTGTCATTACTAGTAAATGGAACATCATTATGTTATGAGTGGCGGTGAATAACATAATGGAACAGGTTTTCCATTGCTTCAATCAATAAGCATTGAAGATAATTAGTTTTGTGTCTTGCTCGCGTGTGCAATGAAAACCAAGTGCTGTGCCCCACCAATAGCGATGAAGGGAGGGGCAAATGATAGATGAGATCCTGTTTTTTTTAGCTAAAAAGGTAGGTCATGCAGGGGCGGGTGAGCATATATATATATATACACACATGTATGTACATATATGTGCGGATTTGAAAATGAAAGCGCACATTTGTTTGCATTAGTGAAATTGGATATTGATGGTCACAGTAGAACACCTCGGGCAAAACATAGCACTTGTAGTTAATGCAGATGTGCGCGTGCGTGTGAGAGCATGCAGCTAGGCAGAGACATTTATGTGTCTCTGTGTGTTTGTGTCTCTGCGTGTCTATGTGTGTGTGTGTGTTGCGTGTGCAGGTGTGCGGGTTTGTTTATTTGTTTGCTTGCTTGTTTGCTTGTTTACTTGTTTGTTTGTTTAAGTTTGTTTACTTGTGTGTTTTGTTTGTCTTTGTATTCATGCTTAGCACTCCCATGCTGCACAAGCTACTCGACTCAGGATGACTTCGACGAGGAGATGGATGAAGATGTCTTTAGCCGCAAGCAGGCACAACCCTTCGCGACACGAGTGTAGCTTGGTTGGCGCAGCAAGTGCCGCGCCAAAGACCATAAAGAGAGAGCGGCAGGCCATGAGGGGAGTGAAATGTCGGGCATGGCCAGGCCATCCAGAACAGCGAGCAAATCCTCGAGAAGCATCAGACCAAGAATCGGCTCAAGGCCTGAGAGTGCCAGTTTTGCGAGCTGCCAAGTGCATCTCTTGCAGGGCAAGGGCAAGAAGAAGGACAGACACTGGGTTCCGCAGCCAGAATACTCGGCGCATCGGAGGGCTTGGGGAGATTGAGTTGAAAGTCAGAAACTGTGCTGAGTGCAGGATGCGACTGCCAAAGTGGCATGAGTTGCGTCGCGCGCCGTAGAGTTTGTAGGAATTCTCGGGCTGGGCTGTCGCAATGCTTCATTTCATTACTTGGAGTTCGTCATTTGGGGTGACCTGGGGTGTTTGCGCGCCTGGCCTCTTGCGGGGGTCCTGAAGGGATGCCGTTTGTGTCACACATTGGCCCGGCATGTCAAAAGCGTTTGAGCCGACATGCGGATCGGGCTCTTTGGCTCCTTCCGATCAGCTCCCCGAGCTGACCAGGAAGCATGTAGATCATTTGGCCGAAAAATCCCTGGCGGCTGAGAGGGATGAGTTTCAAGCTTGTCTTGTGGCCGGAGACTGTGGTGAGGCAAGTGGCGAAAATATCTGTGCGAAAGGTGGCTGCGCAAAGCGGATGATTGTGGATTGTGGCCACACTTTTTTTGGTTGGTTTTGAAATTTGTCAAAGGAAGACTACAGGAAAACCCCGCCATTTGGGGGGAGGGGGGGAAAAACCTTAAGAAGGACACACTCAGCTCAATTGGGCTCCAGTTCGGCAGCCAGGCGCTGAACGTGACCACTTACAGTGCCACAGCAGCAGCTTGGGGGGCGGGTGGGGCAGCTGAGGGGCAACCGTTGGGCCTTCAATACATGGCTTCCCTCAGTTGCCCAAAGCGAATCGACCTTTTAACCTTTTGGTTTTTTGATTTTGATCCGTTTTTGGTCATGGCCCCAAAAGGTTAACCTTTTATTTCTGGGTCAACTGAGTTCCCCGTTATAAGCCTGACGTTCGGATGGGGAGTCCTGGTTTAGACCATGTTCCTTTGAACGGACCCCCAAACGTCAGGTTCCATGTGAATTGGTGGGAAATGATTTGGAGGGTGTGGTCGCTTTGGTGCTTTTTCTGTTCTTGTTTTTTCCATCATGGGTTTGCCTTCAAATGTTTCAATTCGGTGGTTGGCCGACCTTTCCAAACATTTGTGCAGATGTGGGTATGGGTCAAAATAAAGTCACCTGGAAACCCTCAGATTTCAGTCCATGTTTCCACTTGCCAGGGTTTTCTCCTCATTTTGGGGTTTCCAACTATTCTTGAGCCACAGCCCTGTTCAGTGCCAGGCGGCCAATTTTTGGCTAAGACTGGCCGTAGGCATCTCCATGACCACGCTGGAAGAGGTCTTCATGGCGTTGGGCCATCAGGTGGGGAGCGAGCCTCCCCGGGAGAAGACGCGCGAGAATTGTTTTCGGCCGTGACTGGTGAGAGACGCATTTTGAGCAAAGCAAGTTTGGGAGGCCACTGTCTCTAGGCCTGGTTTTTATGACTGTCTCTAGGCCTAGTCTATCTTCTTCCTTTTTTTTGGGGCATTTTGGTGGCTCATCTCGTGGGTGTCCGCAGGCCGAGCAGGAGGCTGCCGCCAGCGGGCAAGCGCACAGCCTGGGGTCTCATTCTTTGGGGAGTGTCGTGTACCCTGCAAAAAACCTGCCGCTGAAGGCGAATCACCATAGTTGGGGTTGGGTGCTGGGTGGACATGACATCAGCCCCTGCTCAAGGTTGACACCATCCCCCAGGCTTCAGGCATAGGTGTCCTTTTTGGTTCTTTTGCTAGAAAAATAGAGGGCGATTCCTGGTTTACCTGGTGGTTGAATCATCTACCAGGGATATCTATTTCCCCTAAAAGGACACCTATGGCTTGAAGCCGGCTTGCCGGCTTCAGCCCTTCGCGCCGAGGCGAGAACACAGACTTTCGAGATGTTGAAGCGGAGCCGGAGGTGCCGCAAGTGGGGGCTCGTTGGAAATCCCGTCCGGGACCAGTTGCCGGCGACTGAAGCAAGCAAAGTGTGAGAGCCAACACATGTTTCACAGTTTGAAAGGCCATGTCAGGCATGCTTTTGATAACTTCAGCAACTGAATGCTGAGTCTGAGTTCTCTCTGACCTTCCTTTGTTTTTTTCTTCTTCTTTTTTGTTTTTGTTCCGTTGAAAGAAGGGGTTAGAAGGGGTTCGTTTTTGAGGTTGCACATGTTGCACCCCCAACCTGGTGGTCTTCCCTCTGGTTTTCTTAGCCAAAAACAAGCAAAAAACGGACAACCTGGGGGGGGGGGGGGAGGTGGGGTGGTGACTCTCGCAGGGCGTGCTGACCCGGCCAGAGACCTCCGAGAGGCGCTCGGCCAAGGCGATGATGCGGCTGAGGCATGCGAAGGGGGTTCACCGATCCGGACGTGTGGATCCGAAATCCAGAAACCGCACCCAGCGAAATGTGTCGCCATGGTTGAAACCATAAGGCCTTGTTGGTATTCACAGCGGAAACGTCATTGAACGAAGTTTCTTAGGTGGTGATTTCGCACCACCTGGAATGATTCAATTCCGCTGCAAATTCCAACAAGCAGTGGTTTTTCAACTATGGCTGTAAACTGGTGCCGATTTTGTCCATCCACAGTAGCGTGCGTGAAAACAAAGGAAACTTATGTGGCTTAGTTTGGTACCGTAATCAGTCTTCAACCGTCAGCTTCCATACTAGTCAGATGTTTGTGGCTGCTTCTTTTGAAGCATCCCCAGGTTTATTCCAAAAAACAACCTGGGTCATTCCCTTAGTCAGCACCAGCCAGAGATTTGTTTTCTGAAACACCCAACCCCACGCCTCGCAATCGCTCAGTTTGGGCGGGCCTTGAGAGGCTGCGTTTAGCCACTGCCAACCGCAGCTCTATCTACAGCGCTATCGCCTCAGAGCGCGGGAGGGGCGGACAGTCGCAAGGGTCCGCGGGGTGCCTGGGGTAAACCCCGCCCCATGAAAGTCCGGTGGTTCTTTTTTTCATTTGGGTCTGTCTGTTTTGTCGAGGGTAATTACCAACCCGTTTGCTTGGTTTGAAAGGGAAGCCAAAAGGAACCCAACCTTGTTGGTGGGTCTCCTATGTTGAGACAAACCCATTTGCAGCTTGGATTTTGAGAAGAGGGGGTGGTCTTGAGGCCATCCACCAGGTGAGGACTACTTTCACCTTTCCAGATGTGGCCGAAAGGTGACAGTTGCAGGGATGTGGCGCTTTACAAGGGGGACGGGGCCCGCCTGCCGCCCCTTCAAAGGGCCATCCCGATTTTGGGCAGGCCGGCCAACTTGTAGATGTGCCACCAGCCTTCGGAACTTCAGCAATCTCGCTCCTACTAGCTGCACCAATCCCAGCCTTGTCCCATTCCTGTCCCACGTGAGAAGGGGTCCACTCGCTCCTTGAGCCCAATACGAGGTGCTGGTTCTGCCCATCATCCTGAACATTGCCTGTTTTGCTTCGAGAGGCCAGCTGGCGCGTGAAGTTTACCCATCATGGGACAAAGCTGGAGGTGCTTGTGCGTACCTGAATCCTCCTGGCCTCATCACTGTTTTTGTTGGGGGTGGTCAGCGATTGCCTCGAAGCAGATAAAAAGGCTTGATTTCGCTTCCTGAGGCGGAAGCTCACAGTCTGCCTCAGAGGGCGGCATGTCAGACATCATGCGCCACACCTAGCGTGCGGGGCAGGTCTCAGGTATGTAAAGCGTGCGCAGCGGGCAGTCACACACTTTGCACCACAGCGCCTGTTTTTGGTTTTTTGGTTGGCTGAATTCAGCCAGGCGCATCACCCCAGGTTGCCGCGGTTATAGCAGTCGGCCCCTGATGAATAGACTCTGGTGATCAATGTGAGGGGGCTTTCTTGGGCCAAGGTTGCCCATGGCCATGGAATTTCTAGGGGACCTTGGACCCACTGAGCAGACATCCCCCACATGTTTTTTCCATGAGGTCCGGCCTGGATCCGAGATTTTCTTCGCCGCAGCCACTTGAGGCTGGTGACCTACCCGCCCATGGCCTTCGGGGTGTCGATCATCGCCTTCACTTTGCAGCTGGTCCGTGAGCGGGCGGAGACCCCAGCTGCGGACGTGTGGGAGAGGGGGGAGGGGGGGGAGGGTGGGCGCCGGGAGCATTGGCAGCTGAAAACGATGCGGAAATTCACGGGCATAGGGGTCCTTTTTGGTGGTTCCGCTTGAAAAAAGAGGGCGATTCCTGGTTTACCTGAAACCCATCTATTTTCCCAAAAGGACAACTTGCAAGCTGTGAAGAATTGCAAGCCTGGGTCCTGCCGTGGTTTGGCGTTTGTGTAGGAGTGCCATTGATTGGCTTGAAGGAACCGCCCACGAACGACAACGGTTAGCACAATCATGAGGACCCCAGAAGATGCAGGTATCAGCTCCAGGGTTCCACTTTTGACTACCCCAGAGAAGACTTAAACCCAGGGCTGAATTCATCCCCCCCTTTAAAAGGAGAACCCCAAATTTGAAGTCTATCTTGGGGTCGAGAGGTGTTAGCCCTGATCAGCCCAGCTTCCTTCGGTTCTTGTGCTCCGTGGCGCCCTGAGGAGGTGAAGTGTAAGCATGTCGCCTTGGCGCAGGCGGGGGTAGCTCGACAGGAGCAAAGGTCATGGCAGGGTCTCCTGCTGGTAGGTCCCGAATCTGTTTTGCAGGCTGCTGGGCATGGGGTTTTGCGTGGCCCACTACGGTTCATTGTGCTAATCTTGTCAGCCGCTCACATTGTTATGAAAGGAGTTTTGGGTGGACCCTAGGAAGTATTTCTGGCCATGGATTCACATGCCACGTTCCATGTGCCTAGTATATGCGAGTGGGGTCAAGCTTCAACTTCATTCAACATGGCTAGGGCCAAGGGGTCCATCGATTCCCTTAAGAACCTTCGCCCATTTTTGGGCAGCACTCTTTCTGAATCTCACTCCCCTGAGTTCCTGGACTTTGGGCTGTTTGGAAAGATCACTTTTAGTGGTAAATAAGAAGTTTAAACTTTTTGTTGATGACTCCACTTAGGATCTGAGGAGTTGCTGTGCGACGCTTCTCTGCATTTTCCATCAAATGGCAGATCACGGCCAGGGCCTTTCGGTGCGGGCCTTCTGGCTGGGCACGCTGATGGACATCCGGCTGCAGTTTTTTCGGAGTGCTTTGCAGGGCGGTGTGGGCGGATTGGGTGTCAGAGTTGGAATGTTTTTGTTTTTTTTTACTCCGGTGAGGTTGGAGACTGGATGTTAGTTCTTGTTTACCCGAAAAGCTATATGCTTGCCACGAGTTTGACATCATGGACAACCTACATTGTTCAGGCGCACCCCATCATCAGTAGCTCCGCTTCTCAGAGAAGCTGACGTTGGCTTCAGAGTGTCACTGGCCGTATTGTCATGTAGATGCGCAAGATTCCATGCGTATTCGCCGCTTTCATGGGCCCGGTCATGAGAAGGAGCAAGCATCGCGATGCATCGCGTTGTGGACTCACATGAGGCAGATTTATTCCAACAATGCTGTTGCACAGACGGCGGATGGTTGCTGGCTCCTTTCTTTCAGCGTTCTGTTTCTGTTTCCAGGTGTCGTCCGTTTCTGTTTCCAGCGATGCCCTTTCCTCTGAGGCCCATTATTTGGCCCGGGCCTAAGAATCCAAGATCACTGCGGCTTGGAGCCGGACGTCAGCATCCTCATGGCGCGGCATCAGGTTCTTAATTCCCTGCAAGGTTAGCAACTGCACCTGCCCAGAGGGTCCAAGTACCCTCTAAAAAAGGTACTTAGACCCCTTTTTACCCTCTAAAAGCCATCCCTCATGAGGTACTTGGGCCCTCTGGGCTGAGGTTAATGTGGTCAACGCCGTGGTGCTTCTGCTGGTGACTTGGTCGCAGCTTCGTACCTTTCGTGCTGGGCGGGGAAGGGGTTGGTCTGGAAGACTGGCTTACCATAACGGGACCTTCAGTTGTTCATACTTGTTTTTCACACTTGTTTGACAATAGTATAATACATATATATATATATAATACCAATGACAATGAAAACATATGATTCACCTAGGCTCAAGGAAATGTCCTCTGACCCTGGAAGCTCCCGAAACTCAGGGGGACCAGCCGGCGAGGCGATCCAATGGAGGGGCGGCCCGAAGCTCACCGGAAGTGGCTTCCCCATGCTCATAGTGGAGGCGCCCCTTGGGGTGCGATGGCATGGCGAAAAAACGCGATTCACATGGCCAAGAGCCAAGTTTTTTTTTTTTTTTTTTTTTTTTTTGGTTTGCTTCGTGAAAGCAGACGCTGTTTTACATGAAAGGCTTAAAGGCATTGAATCGAAGTACGCTTCCATGTTGAACGCTTGAAAGGGGCAAGCGCCGGCGAGGCTTCAGACGGGCGGCGTTTTTTTGTCCGGCCATGTTGCGTCGGCACGATGGCAGGCCATGATTTATCCCGTGAGCTTGCTGCTGATGGCGTACAACGTCTCCATGCTACTCGGCGTGTAGATGTTGCCCGGCATGCCGCCAACAGACGCCCTGGAAGACCTAGCCGCTAGCCCATCCACCGAAAAGAATCAAAGCCTTGCAAAGCCTTTTCAAAGCTTGCAGATGTTTTGCAGGGTGTTTTTTTCCGAGACTTGCGCGGAATTTCCGAACCATGTGGATGTTTTGGCAAGTTACTTCCCGCGAAAAGCGGGGAAGCCTTTGGGCTTCCCGGGCGTCCATCCATCGCGACTCAGGCTTTTCACCCAGGTGGAGCTCGCTGTGAAGGCAGGACCACAAGCCACGCGGAGCCCGTGATGGCACGCTCCATTTTTTTGGCATGTCACGGGGCCCTTCGGCTCGGGCTGCACCGCGGGGCTTCCTGAGGTTCCTGGGCTTGGGAAGACCGGTTTAGTGGTAAAACATGCTCGGACTTTGTTTGGCCAATCCACTCAGAAACTGAGACTCAGTGCTCGACAAGATTCAGATCACAATTGGGCTGAAGCTGGGAGCCTTTCAGCGTTTCCGAGCCATGCGCACATGTGGGAGGTTTTTCCTGAACCCCTGCTTCGCCTTGACCAAAATCGTAAGACGTGGAGAAGTCACAAGTAGGACTTTCCAAGCTTTTAATGGCCCGAGAGCTCATAGGATAAAGTGTGACCTCCGAGATTGAATTCTTTCCGCCATCCGTCGGCGATACGATTGAAAGGTGTTTCCTTGCGCAGGTCCTACCGCTCACAAACATGCTGCTGGGCACCATTCCGACGCCGGGATGCCTTGTCGATGCCCAGCCAAGGGCAAGAACAGCGCGCTAGTACTGGGTACAGTACACCGGAGGGCCCCCGAACCACAATCCAAGCAATCTGCCGTTGTGTTGCCCCACTTAGGTTTCTCTTGTAAGCCAACTCCAAAAGCATGGTACCCACACACCGTACTCCACCCTGGCAAACACAGACGGATCACCTCAGGGAGAGAGAAGAACGCAGCCTGCGCCCATAGGCCCATAGGTGTCCTTCTTGGTTGACTTGGTGCAAAAATAGAGGGCGATTCCTGGGGTACCTGGTGGTTCAATCGACCAGGGAAACCCGTCCATTTTCAACCAAAAAGGACACCGGCCGATTCTCAGCTCAGCGCAGCTCAGGACCTGCGTGTACCTCCTGCTGCAGCTGCCCGAGTGGCTGGAGGTGGCTCGGGGGCTGCACGCTGCGCCTCGGCTTTGGTGGAAGACGGTCGTCGGGATGTGCCCGGGTGAACCAACAAAAAACCACCGCCTAGTCGTTAGGTTGCCAGGGGTGGTCGTGAAACACATGCGGAACTTGGACCATGAGTCGGTGAAGGTACACTTGGGGAGCTATGGCCGTGGCGGATTTAGGTCGATTGGTCACAAGGGTGCTGTTACCCAAGATCTAGCGGCACATGCCCAAACTTTAGGTCTCAAAACCCGCTCATGGGACCATAGGTGAAGGGCATCCTTGCAGCAACAGGGGTTATGTACCAACAGAGGGGAGGGGATTTACAAATCGTGGCGCGGGGCGCGTGCACGAAAGCTGTTTGCAGCCGGGCGTTTACTGGGCATGTGGAGGATGGAAGGCTGTTAGGTGCCAGGTGCTGTGGGTGGGGACTGTTTGGCAGAGCGGTGTCGCTTCATGTTCTGGGTGCTTTCTGGGCACTGGCATGCGAGTGCTTGGCAGGGCAGTGTTTGCCTCATTCATTTGGTTAAGTTTCTATCTGCAATTTCCTGTCCGCAAAGAACACTGGAGTCAAGCTAGTCCCGATGCTTGGCATTGAGCCCATCAGCTCTAAGGCGATGTCTTTGTTGAATCCGGCTGCGGCCTCAGGCGTCAGCTGAGCTGCAACATGTTGTTTTTTTTTGTTGCACCACGCGCCACGTTGAGTGAATCGTTTTTTTCCCCACAATTTCTTGAGAAACAAAAATCAAACAGGGGGATCACAGGAATCCGGGATTCCCCGGGCCGACGCCGGTAAATTCCCTTCCCCGCTGTCTCATTGCTGGGTTTTTGAGGTCTATGGTCTGCCCGGCATGGTCCTCATGATGCGCAGGCCCCAGGAGCGAAGACAGATCTATCTTTGGGCCCAGGGTTTCCTAGCCCCCTCGGTATCCCCAGCCCCTTCAAAAATGGAATTGGGGGAGGGGGGATTTCGACCCCAGATCTCCATTGGTGGTTCCATTTTCCGCGTTTTTATGGGGAAGACTAGATAGATGGAATTGGGATTTTTTGTCCAGGACCTTCAGGTGTCCTGGGCCCCTTTCGCTGAGGTACGAGGAGCCACACATGACCTTGTCAGAGCTCCTGGTATCTAGGACTGCCTGGGGCTTGGCCTTCGAATTGCTGGGATAAAATCCTTTCTGAACAGGCCGCATGGGAAAACCTTCCTTAAGCTGGCCACATGTGGTTGTGGGTCAAAAAAACAAGTACCCAAAATGGAACCCTGGCAAATGAAAACATGGACTCAAACCTGCGGTCCCCTAGAGGTTTAATGTTGACCCATGTGAGAAATACCTTAACAGGCGCTTGATCTGCGCAGCATGCCAGCGGTGCAGTCGCTGAGTGTTCGAGGCCATCCCTCTCTACGGCTCTGTGGTGCCTCTCGGATCGGTTGGCAAAATTGACGAAGCTCAAGCCACGAGGCGAAAAAGCCCCAAAGGAGCCCATGAGAAATGGACTAGGACCAGCTGCCCCGCGCGCATGCGAGGGTTCTGTTTGGTCAGAGGCCAGGGTTTTGTTTAATTTAAGAGGTCAAGGCTCTCACGCGGCGTCTGGCAGCTTGAATCACTCGCCCAGGGTGATTGCCATGCTGGCGATGAATCTGGTTTACCAGGCCGGGGCGTGGACAGGGGAGACAGCTGGGGAATGTCTCATGGGTTGTCAACACAGGGGTCCCCAGAATGGAGGGTTTCTGAGGTGTACCCTCAGACACGCACACACAGCCTCAATGTGGAGCAAGCGAGGTAAGGCTCTCAGCGTGCGTATGAAACTCAGTGGGTCCACAATTTGGTTTGTTCCAAAGGCAGACGCTGGGGGTCAATTCCTACGACCTGCCTATGATGACGGCAAAATGCGATCAGTGAAGCCGCGTTGTTTGGTACTCAAAAAGGCATATGGATGGTCGGGAGATGTGGTGTTTGGCCAATGCAAGCCAGTCAGCAGCCATCGGAGAAAGGTGAACTCTTGGTGGGTATCCACCCCCCTTACACTTTGGACAACCCTAGGTTGTCAAATGATCGTTGGCATCACTGCCAGATTCCAAATTAGACGGGGCTGTTCAAAGGTAATCTTTAATCCTTACCTGGGGTTACGCAAGGGACCGGTCCCCTTTTTTTCGTGGCTTTTCTGTAGGGATTATGAAAAATGGGATTGGCCAATCCTCCATTTTGAACAGCGCAGTTAGAAGCTTTTCTTGTTGACTTGTTTTGTTTGTTTGTTGAGCCCCAATGACTTCCAAGGGAACGGTTTGAAGCATTGTGACTACAAGTGGAAGCCTCAAGCCACGCAAATGGGTATCAAAATTCAAGGACCATGAAAACCGCAGGTTTTACCGTTGTGGGTTCCGTTGTGGGTCCCGTTTTTTGTTTTTTTTTAACCAGCCAAATGATGGCCGCTAAGAGGGTCCCGGCCCCAGTCTACCTGCATACGCCCCCGTGTGCCAAGGGAACTTTCGGTCGCCAGGATGCCCGGAGCCGGAGCGCCGTGCCCGGGGACTTCCAGGAGCGCGCTCGGGGAAAAGCCCGGGGCCGGGGGGGTGGTGGGTAGGGGGGGTGGGGGGTGGGTGGGGGCGTGGGGGGTTGGGTTGTGGGGGGTTGGGGGGGGGCCAAAGGAAAAAGGGGACTTTGAAGGCTGGAGATACCGCATTTTTTTGCTTTTTTTTGAGCGGGAGGTGGTGGGAGCAGTTTTTTTTCACAGTGAGGCCTTATGTAATTAAGCCTTTCTGAGTAGTTCAGTGGAATTCAAAGTACATGGGTTTTTTTGGACGCTGCTCGCCTGAAGATCTTAAACGGAGCCCAAACCTTTGCTTCGCGAAAGGATGGATCGCATTTTCCGTTTTAGTGATCCAGATTCGCCAAAGACACTTTGTTTCGGAAGGGGAGGGGCCGGTCCATCCTTTGGACCCGCTGAAGCACACCCACCAATTCTGAAACTGGCTTTGAAGCATATTGAAAGGGTACTTACCTGGGATCAGCCCGGCAAATATGCAGGGCTTTGAAACCTTTCCTCACACAAAAGGAAGACCACCAAAGAGAGACCCCCTTCAGATGAGGCTCAAGGTAATGTTGCTGCTATGCTCGTTTGCCTAACGTCAGTTGCAGAGGCTCCATGTTTTTTTTTTTTTTTTTTTTTTTTTGCGGCACGATGCATACACACACATATATATATATATTTTAATATATATATATGTGTGTGTGTGTGTGTGTGTGTGTGCATGGGATTCCGTATAATGTAGCTGTTGCGTGCATGCTGCTCGCTCGCTTTCTTGCTCCCTCGCTTGCTTGCTCGCTTGCTTGCTTGCTTGCTTCCTGGCTTGCTCACTTGCTTGCTGGCTTCCTCGCTTCCTCGCGTCCTTGCTTGCTTGCTGGCTCGCTTGCTTCCTCCGTTGCTTCATGGGCGGCCTAGACTGCCTGCTTGCCTGCCTGCTTGCTTGTCTCAAGCGCGGCCAAGATGTGTGTGTGTGTGTGTGTGTGTGCGTGTGTGATTCACATGTGCCGCACGCTTTGGTTGGCAAGGGGACAAGCTCCAGCTGCAATTAGATTCGTTGCCAGAGATGACGTGAAACAGACCATTGAGAAAGAAACTTGACCAGTGGCCCCACCCAGTTTATCGCATCTCGTTCTCCCGCGACACAGCTCCTGGTCAGGAGTTTGATGCAGGTCGCAAGGACGATGACGTTCTTACGGAAGAGTCCCGGGTGAACACAAGCATCTTCGACGACAACAACGAGGAATCATCACAAATGTCCATGTTCTGCTAGGCTTGCAGGACCTTTGTCGGAGGTAGCCTTTGGTGCTGGCATGTTAAGTCATGCAAGGCCAACAGGAGGCGTTCCAAGGGAGCAAGCAAGTGATCGTTGGTTTCTGTGGGTGGTGCCTGCCAGCGTTGCAGGACGCAGCCATGTACCACGAGTTGCACCACACCTACAGGACCAATTGGGAAGGCTCTGTGCAAAGGCCTTCGGCCTGTTTGGCAAACCTCAGCCCATGTTGATGGGAATGGAAAGGAAGTGGGCCCCCGTTGGCTAACGTGGTACTGGGCTCTAGCTCCTGGCTTAAGTAGGGGCCCGAATGCCAAACTGTCGATAAGAGACTCTTTTGGAGACCAGTGCCTTCAACACTCGGAAATATGCATGGCCGACACGGGACGCCCCACAAACCGATACCCGATACCTTTCCAAGAGTTGTGATCTTCGCCTGGAATGACCGGAAGATTGACATGCTCCGGCACCTTGAGGAGAGAAAGCAGTTGAACAAGAGTCCAGAAGTTTGATTTGAAAAGCGCATGATTTTCACATAGTGCGCCCATTGTCCAATCGGTACCCCAACCGATACTCGACCGATAGGGTGACCGATACGCTTTGTTGTCCGACCAGGCGCCCACTCAATTGGATGACGTTTGGCTGCTAATTGCTTGGAGCTCTTTTTGCCCATTTGGCCACAGTGTCCTTGATGCACTTCTATATGTGTTTACTGTTTATTTGACTACCGGGAGTGGATGGAAAACATGTAGTGAATTGTGCAGTTGGAATTGCTGGAGTGGAGAATGTGAGCAGTACTGCGTTGAAGCTCATATGGCGCCCACCTGTCCTGCGAGTTCTCATATTCCGCTTCCTTGCGTGAGGGATTCAAGTTCGTCAGAGGGAATCCCTTCCTGGCCAGGATGTCACGACTCAACCAGCACTGAAGGAACATGAGGGGGGCCAACAAAAAGCGTCGAAGGCCAAACTTCAAAGGAAACCAGCAGCCAAGTGCCCTCTGCTGACCGCCAAGTGCCGTCTGGTCACAGGTGCGAAATGGCCGCCGGGTGTTCCGCGAAAAACAAATATTTCGCCCGCGCGATTTGGACTTGGGCTTCAGGGGAGCGGAGGCGGAGCGGCGGAGAGGCGCCATGGCGCCCGCAAGATGGGCGCTGCTCCCGCTGCTCCCGCTGCTCCCGGTGACGAAAGCGCTGCTCAACTGCTCGGCACCTCGGCGCGTCTAAGGGCTCGGCAAGGAGGCCTTACTGGCGGTCGGTTGTTCTTGGGGGGAGGAGGACCGAAAGGAAGACAGGGTACTGAACTTGTCTTACTTTCCCCTGAGACTTGGGGGACAAGGAAAATAAGCAGTTTGCGAGTTGCAGCGTCCATTGCTCAAAGGGGGGTCCCAAGCTCAACCGGTGTTTGGATTTGCTCAGGTGTCTCCAGATGACTAGGATGCAACTTGGAGCTGGCTCCGTTTGTTGTGTTCTCTTCCAGCTATCCTGATCTGCGTGCGAGCGAACTGTTGTTTATGGCCGGCCTCGGTTGCATGTTCATGGTTTGCCTTTTCCACTGTTTGTGTAATAAATAAGCCGCCCCCTGGCAGTGTAGAAACCCTTTTCAAGGGGGGCTGTTCATTTCAGTGGAAAAGGCAAACCCTGTGCATTGTTCCCGGAAAGGGTTGAGCTGCAGAAGGTGTCAAGGCCCCCCATCGGCACTTTTTGAAGCGTGTCCCAGGCATGTTGGACTGCTTTTTCCCGTATTATTGCAAGTGACTCAACCACACCCAAATCACAACATGCTGGCAACCTACGACACATAACAGGGCGAGCTGCTGCGTTTTTAGCTGGCATCTTGCTGGTAAACTGCAAGGCTTCCAGCTTGCTCCCTACTTGCTCGTTGACCAGCCTTCTCCTCTTAGCTGCCTGCTCTCCATGGAACTTAAATTTGCAGTGCTCAGTCGGACCCCTACTCCCTCCCCTCCCCACCCCCCACCCCCCTCCCCACACCTCCACCCCTCCCCCTTTTTTTCGAGGAGGCGCACGACCCGGTGACGGCGGTATGCTGCACGGCACAAGACGCCTGGGATGGTCTGGTGGCCGAAGGTGGTTGTGGAGGCTCAGGACCCACGGAGAACCAATGCAACGCAGCCATGGAGCTGTGCAGAGAGCCTTTGGCGGGTCGGCGAATCGCCGGGTCGGGCCCTGTTCGTGGGGGTGTTGGTTTGTTGGGTTTGAGAGTCTCCCTCTTTTTTCTTGGGGGAGAGCAAATTGTCTCAAGCTCGGCTTGAAAAGCGGTTGGCGGACATAGATCCCAACCTGCATGATGTCCACATATGTCCACCAAAGGGTCCCCAAAGAAAACTCACACGCATTTCAGGTTTGCGACTTATCCCAAAAGCTGTGACGGTCCCGAATCTCCACTAGAATCTGGACAGGGGGGCTCACAATACCCACCTTTCCGGCTGGACTGTTTTGCAACATGCTGCCGGTACACATTGCCGCGACGCATTGCTTGGTGTAGACTTCTTGGTCTGTTTGGGCTTCCCACATGCTGCCTTTACATCTTGCCCCGGCACAAGATGTTTGCTTAGATTGCCCTTTCGACCTTCCTGGTTCACGAGCGGGGTGGGGGGGAGGGGGGGGCGATACCCACGACGAGGACTTGTCTAGAGCAGGCTGGTGCAAAGGCAGCTTGGGCGCTTCTGGCAAAGCTTCCAAGTAGTAGTTCTTCCAGATTTGTCCTTCTCTCCTCAGGAAACAACAAAAAGAACAAAAACAAAGCACGCCACGGCCCTTCCTCAGCACCAACTACAGCTGAAAAACGCCTTCGGCTGTGAGACCTTCACAGCAAAGGAGAGAGGGAGAGAGATGGAACATGAACGAGCGCAGGCTACCCGATAAAACCACTCGCATGCTCTCGAGAGGAAGTTGATCTTCCAGGGAACCCACCTTGAAACCATGTTAGAAACCATTATTTGTTGGTATTTACAGTTTTGTCCTCCAGGGTTCCTTAGGTGGTGAAGGATTCCGTCCATCCAAAGTATGTTTGTGGATTCAGACACCAGGGTTCCTGAACGGCGGTGCGGTTTATGGTTTTCACAACCATCCACAAAAAATATTTGTATATATATATATATGTAATACGTATATATAAAAAATACATGAATTACACCAGCATAGACCCCAGATAGCAATGATTGCACACCAGCACCTCCAACAGCACCCCCCGAAGAGCGTCCCAAACAGCATCCGGACGTCAATCGAGCACCCGCGCCATTACTAGCACCTCCAACAGCGCCCCAAACAGCATCCCAAAACAGCACCTGCAGCAGCACCCTGAACTGCATGCCCCCTGCACCCTGCCGTCAATTGCAAGAATGCGCCTGCACCGTCACTCTAAGACCAAAACGCCACCTGCGCCAGCACCCCAAGCTGCATGCCTCCTTTGCACCCTACCGTCAAGATGCAAAAATGTGCCTGCACCGTCACCTGCATGGATAGCACCCGGGCGTGAATATCGCAAATTGCGCCCACACCGTCACCAGCACCTCAAATAGCCCCCCGAACAGCATCCCAAAACACCACCAGCACCAGCACCCCAAACTGCATGCCCCCGTGCACCCTACCGTCAAGATGCAAAAACACGCGTGCACCGTCACCCCCAAAACAGCACCTGCGCCAGCACCCCCAAACTGCATGCCCCCTAGCACCCTACCGTCAATCTTGAAAACACGCGACCGCACTGCCATCAGCACCCCAGACAGCGCCCCAATCCGCAAAAACCAGCACCCCAAACTGCATGCCCCTTAGCACCAGCCCATCAATCTCGCAAATCACTTCCCCCTCTTTATTAGAAGTTAGAACCCCTATAGCTTTCAGCTATCTGGGGAATAAGTAAAGAAATAGATAAATAAGTAAATAAATAAATAAATAAATAAACAAATATATATATATATATATTATCAGAAAACATCTATATGTATGAATATATACGTATGTAGATACTCAGACACACACACACACACACACACCAACACACACCCAAACACATATATGCATGGTTGTTGGTTGGAAACATTTAGCATTTTTGCTTATTGTGGTTTAGTGGGAAATCCCCACTTAACTGCCAAAGTTCAAATTGTTGCTCCCCTTCCAGCGTCGACCAAGTATGTCTGTGGAAAGGGTACTTTCTTACAAGCGGACAGCTTTTCCTTCCAAGGACTGCCAGCGGGCAGTGCAGGACTTCAGCATCTCGGAGGATTCAGATGTGGCGGTGGACCTGTCGTCTGCCAAGGTCACCTGTGAGCTCCCCCAGTGGAAGCTCGGTAAGCAAACCAGTCTCACTCCTCTTGGGTTCGGGTTCCCAAGGCTTTTTGCTAGGTGCCTCCTCAGTTTTTTCTTCCGCTTGTATCCTTTTTTCCTCCTTTTCCCTCTGTTTCGCTTTCTTGTTTTTAGGCTTCTCTTTTGGTTCCCTTGTGACCTTTGGGAATAGGCTTCCCTTCCCTAAGCAACTCAACAGGCCCAACAGACCCAACATCCTTGTATCCTTTGGTTCCCCTTTGTCCTCCCTTTGTCGCTTTCTTTCTTTTTTCTTTTTGGGCCACGCGCTGATCGTTTTATCTTCTTAGGAAGCCGTTTTTGTTTTTTGTGGCTCACCGCGCCGGTCGTCTTCTTCTTTTCGGAGTTTTCCCCTTGATCGCTTCCCTCTTCTTTTTGTTTGGAAAGCCGCGCCGCTGCTGGTGCTCTCTCCTTTTTTGTCCGTTTCTTTCCGGCCAACGCGCTCCCATTTGACCCCGTCTTTTCGGAGGTCTCGTTTTTTTTTTCCCGCCGGCCGCCGCCCAACCCGCGCTCGTGGAGGACGCCGTGCGGCGGCACGGTGCGGGGCCTGGGGGTGGGGCTGCTGATCGCCACGGGGGTGGCGCTGCTGCTGGTGGCCTCAGCCGCCTGCGTGGCCTTCGACTGGCGGCTGCTGCCCTCGCTGGTGGCGAAGCAGCGCCGGAAGCTGCTGGTGGAGGACATCCACGCGCAGGACCGGAGTATATTCCTTTTTTTTGCTTTGCTTTTTTTAAAAAAAATCTTTTGTGTGTTATACTTTATCTTCTTTTTTTTCTTTTTCTTTTTTTTTTTTTGGGGGGGGGTATCAGTTGTCGTTTTTTGCTTTTTGTTGGTTGCTGATCAAAGGAAGTTTAACAAGAAACTTCCGTAGTACTGGAACTAAATGAGCTAGCTGCTTTGACATATAGCTATGACAGGTAGCTAGCATGACAAATAGATAGCTTTGACATATAGCTAGCTTGACAGATAGATAGCTTTCCAATAGGCTTGCATGACAGATAGATAGCTTTGACATATAGCCAGCTTAACACGTAGATAGCTTTCTCAAGTATAGATTTCGTGGCAGGCGCAGCACTTTCGCAAGCACTCTCTGCGAGCTGGGGGATGGCAAGATGCAGAAAACGTTGGCGCTGTGCGTGAACGTTCCGCTGTGTGAATTGGGCTTCCGGACTGTGCGCAAACCACCTCGGCTGCGACGCCTGTACGGCGGCGGTCTCGGAACGGTCGGAACTCGGAAACGGTCTCGGAACGGGTTCGGAGACGGGCCCATTGGCACGGCCGCGCGAAGGTTTCGCAAGGTTTGAATTGCGTGGCAGGCGCAGCACTTTCGCAAGGTCAAGTATAGATTTCGTGGCAGGCGCAGCACTTTCGCAAGGTCAAGTATCGATTTCGTGGCAGGCGCAGCACTTTCGCAAGCACTCTCTGCGAGCTGGGGGATGGCAAGATGCAGAAAACGTTGGCGCTGTGCGTGAATTGGGCTTCCGGACTGTGCGCAAACCACCTCGGCTGCGACGCCTGTACGGAGCGGTCTCGGAACGGTCTCGGAACGGTCTCGGAACGGTCTCGGAACGGGTTCGGAGACGGGCCCATTGGCACGGCCGCGCGAAGGTTTCGCAAGGTTTGAATTGCGTGGCAGGCGCAGCACTTTCGCAAGGTCAAGTATAGATTTCGTGGCAGGCGCAGCACTTTCGCAAGGTCAAGTATCGATTTCGTGGCAGGCGCAGCACTTTCGCAAGGTGCTGCGTCCACTCTCTGCGAGCTGGGGGATGGCAAGATGCAGAAAACGTTGGCGCTGTGCGTGAATTGGGCTTCCGGACTGTGCGCAAACCACCTCGGCTGCGACGCCTGTACGGCGGCGGTCTCGGAACGGTCTCGGAACGGTCTCGGAACGGTGGAACGGTCTCGGAACGGGTTCGGCGACGGGCCCATTGGCACGGCCGCGCGAAGGTTTCGCAAGGTTTGAATTGCGTGGCAGGCGCAGCACTTTCGCAAGGTCAAGTATAGATTTCGTGGCAGGCGCAGCACTTTCGCAAGGTCAAGTATCGATTTCGTGGCAGGCGCAGCACTTTCGCAAGCACTCTCTGCGAGCTGGGGGATGGCAAGATGCAGAAAACGTTGGCGCTGTGCGTGAATTGGGCTTCCGGACTGTGCGCAAACCACCTCGGCTGCGACGCCTGTACGGAGGGGTCTCGGAACGGTCTCGGAGACGGGCCCATTGGCACGGCCGCGCGAAGGTTTCGCAAGGTTTGAATTGCGTGGCAGGCGCAGCACTTTCGTCAAGGTCAAGTATAGATTTCGTGGCAGGCGCAGCACTTTCGCAAGGTCAAGTATCGATTTCGTGGCAGGCGCAGCACTTTCGCAAGGTGCTGCGTCCACTCTCTGCGAGCTGGGGGATGGCAAGATGCAGAAAACGTTGGCGCTGTGCGTGACTTGGGCTTTCGGACAGTGCGCAAACCACCTCGGCTGCGACGCCTGTACGGAGGCGGGTTCGGAACCTTGCAAGTGGTGCATGTTCGCGAGGCTCCGCTTACCTACTCGGGCTCAGCAAAGCCACTCCTGTGCTTGCGCGCGGCCGCCTCACTCCCGGGCTGCCCATGCATCTACTTGTCAGACGCGAACTTGGATGACGCAGGGCAAATTACGGCAGGTGAGGATCTGCCAGTCCAGTACGCGGAGCTCTTACTGCGAGTGACGGCCAAAGATCCTGTGCAGGAGTGCAACGAAGCCGAGCGCGGAGTGCGAATCATCTTCGAGTGCGCAGACGCCACGCAGCCAGATATCCGCGCGGACCTCATGTGGGTGGTCAGCGTCAGAGACAGCTTGGCCATCGCGCGACAGCGGCCTGACACGCTGTTGCGGGTGGTTGCAAAGCCTCATGTTCTGTTCGACACGGACGGCGAGCCTTCCTTGCGTCACTGGCAGGTGATCTTCCAGTTTCCGGCTGCGGACGGAGATATCGAGCCGTTTGCCCGCCGTCGGGCGTGGCAGCTTTCCTTGGACTCCCAGCCCAGCCTTGAGATCAAGCGTCTTCAGGAAGACGCCATGGCAATGACTCCGTTGACTAAGGTTGCCAGAGTAAAAGAGGCTTTGACCTCGCCCAGCTTTCGTGCTTGATGACGCGCGTGCCGTTTCGGGCCGCGTGCTCCAGCCCAGACTACAGCACGGCTTGGGCAGACGCAAAGAAAAGGCGCTCTCGGGGGGGAGGGAGGAGAGTTGAACTTGAAGCGCTCGTTGGGAGCTTTGGAAAGGGAAAGAGAAGAAAGAGAGAGAGAGAGAGAGAGAGAGAGAGAGAGAGAGAGAGAGAGAGAGAGAGAGAGAGAGAGAGAGAGAGAGAGAGAAGAGAGAGAGAGAGAGAGAGAGAGAGAGAGAAAGAGAAGAGAGAGAAGAGAAAGAGAGAAAGAGAGAAAGAGAGAAAGAGAGAAAGAGAGAAAAAGAGAGAGAGAGAGAGAAGCAAGGGGCCAAGGACAGTTCTCCAAACTATAGTTGTTCACTGCTTTGAAACTTCCGCCCCCCGGCTCTGCCGGACCTTACTTGTATTGTTTATGCTATTTGTTTGAAGGGGGGGTACATCAGTTGTTTTCCTTCTTTTTTTCGGGGTGGGGGGTGGGGTGGGGTGAGTGCCATGGAGACTTAGAGTCAGCGTATATTTTGCAGACAAGCACACTAAAAGCCAATACCCCCCAAAAGCAAGCGGTTGCAAAATAGTCAGGGGCGGGTGCAGGGGTGGGGGTGGAGCCCTTTGCATGTGCGACGAGTTCTGGGGGATGGGTTTGTGCGTCGGAGTTCGTTCTTTGGCGGCTCCGGGCCCAGTTCAGCGCTTAAAGGAGAATTTCAAGAGACACTCGCCAGTTTTTGGGAGCCCCTGTATTTTTTTGACACATGTGGCCTTTGTTCGCCAGTTGGGTTGAAAAATGGATGGATTCCACGGGGTCGGTTTGGCTCTGACACCCATGCGCAGGACATTTGCATCAATTAGTTCTCGAGCTCAAAAATTTAGGGGCAATTGAAACGGGCGATTTACCCTTTGGTGCAGACGTTTGACTCAGGGATTCCTTTTTTCCCAGTTGGTGACATATAGTCGGTTGCCCAACCCCCTTTTTGCTTTTTCAGTGTTTGATTGATTTCTTTTGGGGTGGGAGGGGTGGGGGTGGGAGTTTTTGTTTCTTCTTTTTTGTCTTCTGTGCATGTTTTTGGAAGAAGGGGGTGTGCTACTTCTTTCTTTTCGGGGTTCAGCATCTTTCCAGGAAAAGTTACTTTTTCCGATAGGAGGATTGTGTTTTGTTTTTCTCTCGGTGTTTTTGAGGTTCAAAGTGGTTTGTTCAAGTTGTTCAAGGGGTGCCACTGGCTTCATTTTCACCATGAGTTGAAGGGTCATTTTGACAGACCCGGGGTCCAGGACAAGGGTGAGGTGCTCGAGCCCGTGCTGTGGCTGCAATGGGGAAGCGCACCGCGGTGCTCAGGATTCAATCCTTTCCTGGTTATTCGAAATTAATCCTTAATCCTTATCTTTCGGCCTTGCCCTCACTGACTAGTAGATGATGAGAGCTTGGAGAAACCACCACTAAAAGCGGTCTTCGAAATTGCGGTCACTGCTGGTTGGTTCTGGACCTATGCAGTGCTTAAGGGGGGGAGGGGCTGTGGACTCGGGAGCACTGCGGTTCAACATCAGCAGTTGAAACGACGGAGTGGCTCTGAGTCACCGGCCTCCCCAAGCGCCTCTGGGGCGGAGTAACGAAGGTGTTCGTACACTTCACAGAGCGCAGGCCATGTCGGTAGGTCCCTTTTTGCTAAGCTGGGTGAATAGGGGAGTCCGGAAGCAAACAAACAATTGTCCATGCTCTGGCCTGCTTTAGGGGAACTAAAGGCTGTCAAAGTTGTGGGCTACCAAATTTGGTTCCCGATCCTTCCCCAAGGCTCCCCAACCCCCTCCCCCCCCAGAGGTGCCAAAACGAACCCCCCAAGCCTCCATGGAATGTTCGGGGTTCCCCCAAACTGTCCTTGGCAGCCCATTTTAAGGGCTGGACTTGCGCGCTTGGGGCTTTGCGGCAAAGCCGTCATAGCCCAACCCTAGCGACACTCCAAGGAAGCGCGGGAGCTCAAGGGCGTAGAATCTTTTTGGGTCAGGGGATGGGGGAGGGAGCGTCAGGCTTTGCTAAGGAGCCAAGCGCTAGGGATACCCAACTCCCGCTAAGAACTCCGGAAGTTGGGGGGGGTCTGAGCTGAATCCTTCAACCCCTTCGAGTATGGATATGTTCAAAGGTGTCCGCCTTAGAAGGGGTTCTCCATGACATGGTGTATCTGGGCTGTTCAAAATCAGCTCGTCGTTAGCTTCACAGGTGGTAGTGGTTTCGCTTGCTGTTCCACTACAGATTGCGGATTAGCGTTTTGAACAACCCCGCCAAGCAGCAACAGGGTTGGAAGACAATTTCATGACTGGCGCAGCTTGTCTCACTCCCTGACGTTTCGGGGCATGGGATTCGGGTAGCTTTTGGCCAAACTACGGATTCTGATCACCTTGGTATCTCTGCAGAAAACCGGAGGGTATGGCTGCTTGGCTTGGCATGGCTTTCTTAGCTTACCTCTTAAAAACACAACTTTTCAACTTTTTGGGGGTAACATGGGCTATATGTCTGTAAAAGATTAACTTCCCCAGGGCTTGGAGTTTTAAGGGGTAAGTTAGTAACTCTGCAGATCCGGCGGTGTTGTCTTGGCCAAGGAGGGCAGGGCCGATTCAGCGCCGGCGCCGCCTCGGCCAGTGCCCCCCGCGCCGCCCACACCCACGGCGCGGCCGCCTCAGGGCTTCGACGGCTTGCGTGCGGCGGCGGACGGAGATGCGCCAGCAGAGAGTCCCGCCATGGCGGCCATGTCGCCGCAGGACATTTTCACCCAATATGGAATTGGGGGAGGGGGTTGGGCCCCTGGAAAACGGAAGTGGGGGGGGAGGGGGTGACCCCTGGAAAAAGGAAGTGGGGGAGAGGGCTGATTTCTGGAAATCCATTTTTGATTTTCCTTTTGTGAGGAAGACTAGATACATGGAATTGGGGAGCCCCCCAGCCCCCCACCCCCTCCTGCCCCTTATGGTAGACGGGGCCGCAGGACCAAATCATCGGCGCAGGCGAGCCTGAAACGGTGAAGGCACCGCCTAGGCCAAGGCATTATGCATCGGCTTATGCCTTGCATAAGGCGTTCATGGTTATAGCGTGCATCGCCGTGGTGCTGAGAGTGTCGTACATTGTCGCACGCGTGCTGTTGGTTGTGGGCTTAAGCCTGGCTTACCAGTGCTTGCCCGAACTGCTCCTTTGCATTTTGCCGTTGGTTTGGGTCGCTTGTACCTCCAGACGGCCAAAGTCATCCACGATTGCCATCCCGGCGAGTGTTGCCTACTGGGGCCCTTGGGGCGCCTTGCCTCGCTTCACCACCTATGCAGTGTGCACGATCTGCACCGAGATCTACAGCACTCTGGTGGCTGCGTTGGCAGTGGCCCGTATGCCCTGCAACTCCTCGCCCCTGGCTGGGGTGCTGCTCTACTGCATCGGCCTGCTGGTGGCAGTGGTCCGGGCCTACTGCGCTGTGCTGGCCCTGCGCCTGCAGGACGAGCTGGCCAGCATGTGCCGCCGGGTGCTCCCCAGAGAGAAGGCGGCCTGGGGCAACGCGGGCAACACCAAGGCCATGGACCAGAATCAGAAGCGCTGGCAGGGCTTGGGGTTCTTCGGGTCGCGGGAGGTGATCGAGGATACTGTGCGGGACTTCAACGAGCCAGACGACCCCTCCAAAGCGGCCCTGGCTTGCCCCTTCCTCCCCGAGTTCCTGTGTCCCGTGCTGCGCCGCCGGCTTGTTGGACGACGGATCCTGGCAGGCAGGGAACCGAACTCTCATGTGCCCGGGTGCCCTCAAGCAGGGGATGCCCCTTGAATCTGGTGACGCTGAAGCGGTGGAGAGCCATGTGTGCCCCACGTGTGTTGTATGTTTTGTTTCTTCCTATAATCAGCTGAATGACCCCCGGGCCGCGGGATGTGGCAGCCAATGGGCCACAGATCCTGCACCACCGAAAGTTAAGACCAACCTAACAAACGTTTCAACCATGGTTTCAACGTGGTGTAGGACTCTGCCGTGTTGAGTGTGCCTTCCCGCAGCGAAGAACTATGAGGCTCAAAGGCTAGGCGGGATGTGGAGCGTGGCCCGTGGGAGCCCAAGCCCGCGCCTGAGTCACTGAGAGCCGGCCGCCGGCAGGCGCCGGCAGGAAGGCAATGGGAAAACCCGTAGGGACGTGAAAGCCAAAGCATGCGCTCACGGGTGAAGCCGTTTAGGGGTGGCTGTCCCATTTGCCCAGGGCTTCAACTTAGTGAGCCGCACATCAACCACCAACTCAGGGTTCCCACTCCAAGGTTCCCTATATTTCCCTTTATGGGGCCCATGAAAGGTGAGTGTCCCTTGGTGGGGGTGATGTTTTAAGGGGCAATATAGGGAGCCCTGCACTCCGGTTGTGGGCCAACACACGCAAGCCTGCCGAGGACATGAGCTTCACAAGCGGCCAGCGAAGGCGGCTCGCGCGAAACTGCGCCTGGATATGCCATTTGTGGCTTGACCGCACACCCTGAAGTACTCAGACCGAACCCACTTTGGGGCTGGCTGCAGGTGTCATGTTGCTATGACGCCAGCATAGCTATAGAACATGAAATGGGTTTGCGCTGAAAGACTTGAAACTGTGCTCACTGAAGGCATTCTGCCTTGGATGCTTGCCGCTTACGTTTTTTCCCAGTCGGCTTACGTTGCAGTGAGTGCAGGCAGTCATTAAGAAACGGGACCCTTGTCAGGTTCCTTCCGTATTTGTTCAGTTAATTTGTGGGAGGGTCAGCTTTTCGCTCCATGCGCCTTGCCAAGAACGCAGCGCTGGAAGCTCTGCAACTTGGAAAGAAGGTAAGCATGACATGCGCCCATAGGTGTCCTTTTTGGTGGATTTGGTTGAAAAATAGAGGGCCCTGGTTTACATGGTGGTTCAAACAACTACCAGGGACATCTATTTTCCCAAAAAGGACACCTATGGCGCTTGGGTTGAGTGGGGCAGTGATCGGGCAGCATTCCCGCGCCGCTCAGTGCACCCAGGAGAGGAGACGGTCTTGGTAGCCCCGGTCTTGGCTCCCCACAGGCAGGGAGTGCAAAGAGCAACGAGGGGATTTTGTTGTTTTACCCTCCCACCAACTAACATGGAGCGAAAAAGGCCCTTTCCTAGAGGAAAGGACGCTTTCTACAGGGCCTGTGCACTTCCATGGTAGATGGTGGGAGGGTAGCAGTCCTTTTGAGCCCAACACTGCCGGATGGGGCGGGCATCCCTGCAAGTCCAAATTTCTGCGTCAATGGCATGCTCTCTTCGTCAGGCCTCAGTGGACTTTTCCGCCTTCTCGGGCAGAAGTCGGCATCTAGACTCCGTGGACAGCGTCCCACAGGCCCAAAGCCATCCTATGGGCGGAAAGGGCAGCTCTCCGCATGGATTTTGTGGGACTCCAGCTGAGGGGTTGCTGGGTGCTTGAAATGCTGCTGACCCCGGGATTCATCAACTTGACGGATGAAGTGTGCAATGTTTCCGTGTGCTCACTCCAAAACAGGAAGGCAAAGGTTCCCTCTAAAAACTAAAAAGAAGCATCCAATGAAATAGCCACGGGGTCAATCCATGGTCCTGGCGGATTGGACACGCCAGGGCATGCAGACGCCTTCCAGCCTACAAAGCACCGAGCACCTTGGCAATGCTGGAGGCCTTGCAGGTTGGTTTATAAGGATATAGATGATAAACCTTACACGTCCCTGAGAGCATTTTGAGCAAGGGAGAGGCTGGGCTTCCTCACTCCCTCGTGTCAGTGACGGCCCTCATCGTCTCCTAACCCAGGCTTGGACCGGCAGCGGCAGGCGAGTCCATTTTGCACTTCCCAAAATGAGACCTTCAAGATGGTTGCAAGATCGCCTGAAGTCTGCCTTCCCTGAAATCTTGTCCCCCAAAGGGACCACTCCTTCAAGATCTAAGTTTGCTGCCTAGTTCCCGGCGGTCTAAAGCGCAAAGCTCATGGCAGTTCAGCCCAGGGTGCCCGATGAGCCACCACGACGTAGCGCGGGGCAGCTGGGGTGGCTGGACAAGCAAGCGACATCCGCTTTGCCCCCCTAAGGGCGTGGCCTTGTTGTCGTTTTTTTTTTTTTTTTTTTTTTTTCTGGGGGGGGGGGGGTTGGGGCGAGTAACAACAAAGCATAAATGAACGTGAAATTCACCCAACAAGAGTTCCAAAAGAAATCTACCAGTGCCACCGTTCGAGTGAGTAAACCTGCTTTATGCTCAAGTCTAAGGGTGAACCCTGTGACCCCATCTCCCTCTTGGGTCCCTTGGGTGATGTCTTGATGTATCGAACGGCGGCAGCTGCAGCAACTAAGAGGACGCGGAGCCCCCGGGCAGCTACTGTGGATGGACGCAACCCATTTTGCACCACCAGAGAAACCCTGGAATGATGTATCCCCGCTAAATACCAACAAACAGTGGTTTCCCATGGTTTCCAAGTGGTGCAGGATTTTGTCCATCCACAGTATGCAGAAAATGCCCAGCCACTGCGATTGGAAAGGCCTTCCTGAACTTTGCCTTTTGAGTAGGGCTTCCTGCCACGTGATGTCCACGCATTTATTGCAGGCCAAAGATGTTGTTCGCGTGTCAGGGGCGGGCATTTGCGGTGGGCTTTAACAAAGTCCGAGTTGTCCAAAGAGGACCTTTGGCCATTTTGCTTACTGGTTTTTGAACTTCCAGTTATGGTCTCACAATGTTTGTTGTATCCGGTCCTTTGGCCAAGTCGCGAAATCAACTCGCACCAGGGTGAATGAAATTGCGGTGTTTGATATTTGCGGGAGCCCTTTTGCTGGACGACTTTGATACAAAAGTCAACCCTGGCCGAGTTTCAGAAACACCCATGTATTTCTCACTTGCCCAAAGCCAATCTGTCGACATTGTTGCTTTTCCTTTTTGGTCGATCCTTAGTCCTCACCACACAAGGTGAACCTTCGATTTCTGGGTCCTTGAGCAGCTGGCCCTTCAATGGTTTTAAGGCCATTCTATGCTCTTATCGGCTGTTGTCCTCTTTGCTCAACCTTCTATCGGGGAGAATGCTTGTGACACATCGTTGGCTGCAATCATGCTGAAGCCGAACACGATCATGCCTTAGTGTAGCTTGCTTGCTCAACATTCCTGGCCCCCAAATGATGGTAACGTTCCCCATGTGGTTGACACATCAAATCTTTTAGTGGTTTCCCCCAATGATCATCCTACGTATCACGGACCTTTTGATCAACCCCCATAGCCTTTCCAGACAGCCGGCTGTCCCAGTGTCTAGGGGCCAAACCACGTGCCCCTGAAATCCCACTGGGAAATATGGCTATTCACATCTATACGCCTTTCATGTACCCATGGATCTGAGTTTTTGTGGTATTTTCGGCAGGGGCACCCACCCAGGGGTGCATGGTTGGGACCTGCGACAGTGGCATCAGGGTCAAGTGACCCAATGGCCGACGCTTCAAGGCGCTTGCGGAAGCTGGAACGGGACGAGCGCAAGGCACAGCGCTTGCTTTGACCATTGGCCCTGATGCTTTTCCCCTTTTCGGGTCAGTGGTTTGGAATTTTGAAAGGCGTGGTTTCGGATTTCAACCCGCGGTCGTTGTGCAGCGTAAATGGAAAACCACTTCCTAACCAATCCAAAGAAGCCATCAGAAGGTAAATGACGGAAGCTGAAACCCTGCAGTTGGCTGGCCCTTGGGGCTTTGCGGTGCAGCGCTTTGGGAGAGAGTTGCAACCCCTCTTGGTCGGGCTGATCGGTTTTGAGCAACCCTTCTGCGTGGCTTTCCAGATGAAGAAACTCGAGCCTCCGCAAGAAGGTCCCCCCACTTCCGGGCCTTCCGACTCTTTGTTTTTTGTTTTCCCCCCCCCCCCCTGGTCGAAGAATGTGAGATTAGTTTCATGCCACGCGCCGACGAAGGTGACCAAGAAGAAAGTGGATGAGCCGATGCCCAAAAAGTTGTCTCCGATTGTGCTCAACGTGCCCTGTGACGCGTAAAACGGGTTGGACACAGCGATGAATAGAGGAGCCCCCTGCCCAGAAAGCGACTGCAGAGGGGGGATCATCTGCTTTTGAGGTACCACTGCTGCCCCAAAAGCTGGTCTCGCCCAAAGTGCAGCCCACAATGTCAGGGGAGGTGCTGCTTGGCTGAATTCAAGCGTCATTCCCCAGACAAGCCAAGACAGGGCGAGGGCTGGGCAATGGAGTGCGCGTTCACTGTGAATTGGACCAACAAGATCGCACCACTCTTGCTTGCCAGCTTGCAAACTCGTTTTGAAGCATGCAAAGTGATGGCCGCTTGCTGGTAAGTGCGGACAAGTTTGCATACATGCCCCTTTTCCGCCAATCAAATTGTTGCTTTCTATGGCAAGAGCTGATTTGCTTGTTGCCAGTCCCCCCAGGCAGAGCGTCCAGGAACGAGCAGCTTGTAACTCCAATGGGCCGTTTGTCAAGGAACAACCTTCAATTGGTGCAACGTTGAAAATCTGGCTATTGTACTCCCGGAGGTGGCACGTCGTGGACTGGCGCCAGTTTGCGTTCGCTGTCCTCAAGTTGGAACCTATTGGCTAAAACGACGGCTGGCCAAGCTGAGGCACTCGCATTCTCAAGGCTTCAAGAGAACCCTTTCCAGAAACCCACAAAATATCCAGCCCCAGAAGCCTCCTTTCTGTTCCCGTGGCTGCGCTGGGAACTTGCGTCGGCTGGAAGTGGGTTCGTGCAAAATAGAGTGACTCGCCCATGGCTAAGCCAAATTTGCTGTGTCCGGGCCCCAGCAGCA